AAAAGGAAGGTTTTAACTTCAACATAGCAAAATTACATATAACAAAACAAGTATCAAACAAGAATTATAGTTACAATATTTATATCTACTTTATCTTTTATCATAACTAAGGAAGACTATAACTATCAATTCTTCAACTCTCCATCAAAGACTCCAGAAGGATATAATATCACAGAAGTAAACAGGAAGTACATTGTAAGCAACTTCCAAAACTCTAGGAATGACAGTGACATCTCACTGCCTGGACAGTCACCCAAGGTTCTTCTGTACCGTTGGGGCATCCATCTTCAGCCTATAGGCCCATAGTATCTGGCAGACTTTCCCATGAAGCAGGAAATTTCAAAGACATGTCCACCTATATTGGCAGTTTGTCAGTCACTTTCTTCTGCGTCCTGAAGAATGTTTGGCAGACTCTTATGAAGCAGGAACCCTGAAGGATTGTCTCACCTTTAGGTAAGTTCAGCAGTCATTTCACTGCAGGTCCTGCATGTCCAACCCATCAAGCAGTCCAGGCAAGAGCAGTTTCTTGCCTAAATGGCTCACCAACTCCATAATGAGCCTCTTCAGTGCCCATCTTCCTCTTGAAGTAGACTGGTGCTGCCAGGAGCAGATGTGTCTCATTGTCATGAAAAGTTCTAAGTTCTTAAAACATTTTAAATGCCCTATTCTGTAGTCTTTGAAAGGCTTGAAGATTATCTATCTAATTGAAGTATATCTCTATATATCTAGAAAACCTAACACGACTACAAGCTTGACTATTATAGATGATTATCTATTAACCTATATTTCTTAATTATACGTTACATTTTTAAATGAGCTGCACAAACATAATACCTTAATCAAGATCAGAAATACATATACACAGTATAACAAAATTGACCTTAAATTTGTATCAATAAAGCAAGATCCATACCAATCCAAAGTATCTATCTCTATAGAATATCCCCCTTTAAATGTAAAAGAACATTTACAAGCAATATTTGGAAATATGGGCATAGTTCTGTTCAAACTTCTTCCTGCTGTTTACTGGGTGTAGCAATTTTTTGAGGAGTCTTCAAGGCAACCTTTCAGGGGTTCTTGGCCCATCAAACAATATTAGTCTGAAAGCAATCCACAGGTTCTCATCCTCTGTGGAAATAAAAGAAGAACCTCTTTTCCAAAGCAACATATTCTTAGACTCAATTTTTAAATTCAAGATACCTTTAAAATATATATTTTGGCTTTGTTTAGTAGTCCCCAGAATCAAATGTTTCTTTGCAGTCAAAAAAATTCAAAGATAATACAATAATATAAATAATCCAGACTCCCTGTGAATTTTCCATCTTTATGTGGCTTGTTTTTACTCTATTAATTTTCTTACAAGTTTAATATTTATTATCTTTACTCCTTTAGTCTGGGACTGTCTGTACTATGTCTCTTTAAAGACTTTGTTTTATTTTTTAAAAAGCCATTTACTGCTTTTTATAATTCTCTGTACTCTTTTTCCTCTCTCTCCCAAGCCTACATACATTTATCCAACACTTTGACCCATTTAGAGGTCTTTTATTTCTGAAACTGTCCTGTGTATCTGTAATTATTTTCTGTCCAGGAACACTTCTTAAAATGCTAAGCGTTTCTTAAAACTTAAGCTGCGACATTACTAGGTCAAATATGGTACTTCATGGTTGCCCCTCCCAGTCCAGCATAGTGGAGCCACTTGTGCCTCTGAGAGCCATGCACACCCCCACTTTCAGGCATACAGCCAGTCCACATTGCCATCAAGCAAGCCATAGCACACTGCTCATAAACAAACCCCATCCAAATTCTCTGTCTCCTGAAAGAGCCAGAGGTCATGCAGGCAGCATGACACAGAAAGCCAACATTTCAAAACGGCACAGCTTTCCTGCTACTGCTGAGTCAGGAAAACCTCTCTTAAAGGAGCCATGCCTCTGCTTGCTTCTAACAAACAGAGCCTACCCAAGAAAATGCTGCAAGCAAACTATGCTTACTTCTGTTCTTTTGTGTCTAGAATCAATTTTTAAGCTTTCTTGGGTTTTTATGTGGATGTAGTGCCCTACATTGGGCACCAATTTGTAGTAAGGAAGCTGTTTGTTGGGCCTGTCCGCTTAGCCCTGAAATAATCACACAGAAACTGTATTATTTAAATCACTGCTTGGCCTATTAGCTCTAGCTTCTTTTTGGCTAACTCTTACATCTTAATTTAACCCATTTCCATTAATCTGTGTCGTGGCCTACCAGCAAAGTTTCAGCACATCTGTCTCCTTGGCTTCTCTCTGACTCCACCCTTCTTTTTCCCAGCATTCAGTCTAGTTTTCCCTGCCTAGCTCTGTTCCCCTATAGCTCTGCTATAGGTCCAAAGCAGTTCCTTTATTCATTAATGGTAATCACATCATACATAGGGAAATTCCACATTAAATGCCATTAACTTTAGTTTCTTTCTTTACCCTTAAACTAGAATCAGGGTCCCAAATAATATTTTCTTCAAAGTGTACTCAGCCTTGCTTGGCAATGGGGTGACACATGCATTTAATCCCAGCACTTTGGAGGCAGAGGCAGGCAGATCTCTCTGAGTTTGAAGCCAGCCTGATCTTCATAGAGAGGTCCAGGAAAGCCAGGGCATTGAGACCTTGTCTCAAAAAAACAAGTATTTAGTCTGTGGTTATGATGTTATTAGCAATGGAAAGAAGACAGAGTAATAAAAGATACACTATTGTTGGGTGGTTGCAATGCACACTTTTAATCCCAGCACCCAACACTTGGTAGGCAGAGACGGGTAGATCTCTGTGAGTTCAAGGTCAACCTGGTCTACAAAGTGAGTTCCAGGCTATTACACAGAGAAACCCTGCCTTCAAAAACAAAAACAAAACAACAACAAAAAATACACTAACTTGGTGTGGAATATTTGTACACTGTGTGAAGATGTATTTTCTATGTGTGGTAGTTTGAACAGTTCAAATGTAATTGGTCCACATAATTCCATAATCTCATAAGGAGTGTCACTGTTAGAAGGTGTGACTTTGTTGGAGTGGGTATGGCCTTGCTGGAGGAAGAGTGTCACTTTGGGGGTAGGCCTTGGGCTTTCATAGACTCAGGATACTGCCCAGTGTGTCAGTCGACTTCCTATTGCCTCTGATTCAAGATGTAAGAACTCTCAGCTCCAGCACCACATCTGCCTGCATGCCGCCATGTTCCTCGTCACGATGGACTGAATCTCTGAACTGTAAGTGAGCCACCACAATGAGATATTTTCTATTTAAGAGTTGCCATGGTCTTGGTGTCTCTTCATAGCAATAGTAAACCCTAACTAAGACACTGATGGGTGTAATAGAAAGCTGACTGGCCAATGGCTAGATAGGAGGTATAGGCGGGACTTGGGGGCAGAGATGAATCTAGGCTCCTGAGAGACACCAGGAGATACAGAAGAAGCAGGGTAGGCGATATGTGACAGAACATAGGTGAATAGAAATGTTCTAATTTAAGTTATAAGAGGTAGTTAAAGCCAAGCTTTCATAATGAATAATGAGTCTCAATGTCATTATTTGGAAGCTAACTGATGGGACAGAAATAGACTCACTACAAACTGTGCCCACAGCCGGGCGGTGGTGGCTCATGCCTTTAATCCCAGCACTTGGGGAAGCAGAGGCAGGTGGATCTCTGTGAGTTTGAGGCCAGCTTGGTGTAAAGGTATGTTTTCCAGCCTCTCTTGGGGCTAGGGGTGACTATGGGAATAAATTCTGACCAGTAGGTGCAGAATTGATGGTTGGTATGTTAGGATGTGTCCCTGTGGGTAATCAACTGGTTCTTTCTTGCGGACTAAACTTTGGATGTCATGATTGGGTCTAGAGCAAGCCACTTTGTGTCATTTAGATAAATGCCTGGAACCAGGGAACCTAAGATATCTGGAGACCCTGATGGTCAGAGAATAGCTACTCATTCCAAGCTAGCTGAACCTCCAGCCTTGCTTTCTATAAAGTCCCAGTTACATAGTTTTGGGGGGTGGGATTTTCTTTATCCACACCTCAACAGCCTAAGCCTGTGTGGCACACAGAGGGAACCTGTTTGACCTCTGGGTGGAGTGAGAACAAGAGACTCAGGAGTCAGAGGCAGCCAGAAGGGCGCCACCGCCCCCTACCCCCAATGGAGCCTGCAGGCTCCTCCTCCTGGGTGTTTCCCTCTGAGGATGGAGTCCTGGATGTGCAGTCCCCTGTCCCTCAGGCCGTTGAGAAGTTCTGTGTTCTCCAAGAGGTACCGCTATGCTCAGTATCTCCCTTTCCTTCTAGAATGGTCCAGACTAGCCCCTGGCAGGTCCAGGACGAGGTAGAGCCATACTCAACTTTCCTTCTTGGGAAGGGGTGTCCTCTTGTCCTTGTTTCCTCAGAGGGTTAGTTGAACCCTCTCTGCTTGCCTGGTCATGAGTTGAATTCTCCCCACCTGTCCTGTAGGCACGGGCAAAGGCAGGGAAAAAGACAGACACGAGTCTGCACAAAGCAGGAAGACAGTGATGTGCACACGGAATGCCAGTCAGGATGCTCACTATCCCACCTGCACAAGGGGTATAGTAAGTAGCAGGCCCAGAGGCTGCAAAGGCCAGGCAGGGAACATTCGGAAAGTTCTAGAAAGACAGACCTCCAGCCTCAATCCTCTCCATCCTGCAATTTCTAAAGTTTCCAGATAGAAAGGAACCCAAGGACCCTGCTTGGATCTTCTCCCAATCCCCACAGCCTTGACTCCCAGGCCTGCCCATAAGGCTGCACTTGGGATGAGGAGGGGACTGGGGTTAGTAGGTGGCTCCACTCGGTGGATCTTTCTTTCCCAGTCACTAGCAGCCAGTGGGATACTCTTTCCAGGAGAAATCTGGTACACATAATGACCTTGTACCAATCCTACACTTTCTCCAGCCTCAGTTTCCTTGGTGGGGGCGTGGCTTTCCTTAGTTGAGGGGGAGCCTGCAAGAGATGGGGTGCGGGGGTGGGAGGCGGGCCCCACTGGTCGCAGCGAGCTGCCCAGGCGCAAGCACCGCGGGCGCTCAGAGCTGGTGGCTCTGCTCCTGCGGTTCCTAAACCTGAGTGGTGCCTGCAGGGAGCGCAGCGGCAGGCACCTCTTGGCCCGGGACATTGGTGGCTTGTCTGGCCCCCCGGCCTCCAGAGACCCGGGCGGAAGACGTCTGGGACCCCGCCCGGTCCCTCCCGCGGGCAGGCGGGGCGGCCCCACATCGGACTCCTCCCCCGCAGCCCGGCAGGGATCAGTCGCGGTGCGCGGTTCCGCAGGTGGCAGCTATGGTCCAGTCCTGAGCGCCCCGCCATGGCCGGCGCCCCCAGCCTGCTGCGCCTGGCGCTCCTGCTGCTCGGGGCGGTGGGCAGGGCTGGTCCCCGCCCCCAGGTGAGTCCCCGGGACCCCGGCGACAAACGGGAGGGGGATGCTGCGGTGTTCTGTGGGCGCTGGGGCTAGCGGAGGGGCCCTTGGACTTGAGCGAAACTCCAGGACCCCAGACAGGGGAAGTGCAAGGTTGAAGGGAGAAAGGGACTGAGGAGTTGGGAGGCCCAGGTGGGGAATGGAAACCAGGTGACTACGCTCGTCCTGACAAGACGCCCCGCTTCTCGGCCACCACTCCTCTGCCAGGGCACCAGCTGCCCCACGGTTGCCTTGCTCTGACTTCTGCGACGCATCTTTGTCCTTCTTAACCACTTTTCCAACTCCTTTTTCCAAAACCTACCGGCCCTCTGCCTTCCTTCTGTACCCAGGCCCCCTGTGGTGCCTCCCCTACACTCGGGTTCTCTGTTCTCTTGTGTGTGTGTGTGGGGGGGGGTTGCCCAGGAATCTCTGGAGGGCTGAAAAGGCCTGGTTGTGGAAACCTAGCTCCTTTCCCCCATTCTTGGCCCCTCGTTACAGTCTTTGACTCAGCCCCAGGGACCCTGCCAGTGGCAGCTTGTTGTCCTTCCTGATGACCTCCCAGGTGGCACTGGATTGCCACCCCCACCTCAGCCTCTGCAGCAAGCATGCAGCAGGTTCCCTGCGCCTTCCGAATCACCCAGGCTCCACTAACACCCATTCCAGGCCCCCTTTGATTAATAACCCACCAGAAAGCATACTGGGACACATAGGAACATCCTACCTCCTTGATGTCCCTAAAGAATAGGTTGCAGTTGGACTCTTGAGGACTCTTCTCGGGCTCTGTCTCTGTCCTGTCTGTGTGTACTGCCCCAGGCCCTTGCCCTGCCTGGGCATGATGGGTCAGTTGCTTGAGGGGAGGGTGGTTGTTCAGAAGTGCCAGGACACCCCGGAGCAGAAGAGGGCCAGGCCTGTGCAGTGTCCTGTGTAATGAATCCTTTGCCCATCATCTGTGTCCACAGCCAGACCTAAAGGACTGAAACCTTTAGGGAGTGGGCCATAGGCTTGAACTTGGCCTGAAACAGGAGAGGGGCAAACTTTACCTTGGCTGATAATCCAGTTGTGAGCAGATGTGCCTTCCCAGGAAGATGCCAGCACTGTTTCAGCCCTCACGTCCCTTTCCAGCTGAATCCTCTCCCTTCCTCCCCCTGTTCTCCAGGGCCAGCTGATCCCAAGAGACACCTTCCCCAGGCCCTGGCACCGTCCTCACGGTTTCCCCACAGGCCGTGGCTTTCCTGGTGACATTGGGACCTTTCCAGTGCCACAACTGCAGATCCACTGCTGAGTTCCCTCTTGGGAGCCTGGAAAGTGGGGGAGCAGGGAGCTTCCTGCTCCAAGGCTGCTGCAGGCCAAGTTTGAAGATCAGGTTGGGGATAAGGGAGAAGAGAGGGCCAAACTTGGGGCCGGCCCATCTTCTCCCCTAAACCCCCTTGCCCAGAAGGCTCCCTGAACCTCCTTACATCGTGTTACTTTGCAGCCCTGGTTCATAGCAGCACCTGGGTGGCAGAAAAATCAGGCAGCCAGCGAAGAGGCATGCTGGTGCTTTGGATGGGGCGCCCTTGCTATGGGGCCACTGACATCCCCCACTGCAGCAGAGGGCCGGGTGACAGGCTGCTTTGAGGTTAGATTGCAATCATTCCGACATGACCTCATGAACACACAGGAGACTTGAAAGGAAACCTTGTGGTTTACACTCTGTCGGTGAGGTCAGCAAGATTAGAATGTCTCCCTTCATGTCACTCATGTCGAGGTGAGTGCTTAGAAACAGGGTTCCCTAGGCGATATGGTCCAGCAGCTTAGGAACAGGGAAGCAAAGCTTGTAGGCCCCAGCTCTGGGCTCACACCTTCCTCCTGGGGCGGGGGGAGGTGGGGGGATGGGGAGAAAGGATGAGAGAGCAGGTCTGGCGAGGCCAGAAGTTACACTTCCTTGCAGGATGAGGGATGGCTGACCTGAGTTCTGAAAAATGTGACCTGGGCTACTTGAGCATAGTTTCTGGGAAGGACCACTCTTCTTCCTTGTTCCTTTCTACCCAGGGACCCTCCACAGGGGAGCTGGGCTACTGAAAAGATGGGCAGAACTTTGACACTTGAAGTTCCAACCAGATGGAGCTGGGTTCTGGTGTCAGCCCTAATCTTAGCTCTTCAGCAGGACCCTTGATGATCTCAAACCCCAGTTTTCTTATCGGCAAGACAGGGACTGCAGGATCTGTTATTGGGGGGGGGTGGAGGGGCACGAGGGGAGTAAAGCATTGAAATGGCAGCTTGAGGCCTCTGGGAGAGCTGTCTGTTGGAACCTGGCCTTTCCCCAGGCTGGAGAAATAGAGCCTGGAGCAGGATTGTTGGAAGCCCCTGGCCTCTGCACTCCAGCAAAGGGGAGTGGAGGCTGAGGCTACGGCTTGACCTGGGTGGACTTTGTCCCTGGTTGGGCTTCCTTCCAGACAGGGACCCGGCATAGGGCCGGCCAGGAGCAGCCAAGAAACCACAACACATCCTGTCCTCCAGTGCCTGGTCTGAGGAAAAGCAGGTCCTTCATTTATTGCACCTGTCTTTCGGTGAATTTCTGTGTGTGTGTGTGTGTGTGTGTGTGTGTGTGTGTGTGTGTGTGTGTGTGAGAGAGAGAGAGAGAGAGAGAGAGAGAGAGAGAGAGAGAGAGAGAGAGAGAGAGAGAGAGAGAGAGAGAGAGAGATGTGTGTGAGAGAGAGAGAGAGAGAGAGAGAGAGAGAGAGAGAGAGAGAGAGAGAAACAGAGACAGAGACAGAGAGACAGAGATGCATGTGAGGAAGAGAGAGATTGGGAGATAGGTATGCAAGGTGTACAAGCCCGTTTTTCAGCGCGTTTGTTCGGGACAGCCTGGATGAGAGTCACCATATATACAGTAACACATCAGCATATAATCACATGTCCGCGAGAGGGGGGAGGGTATCCTGCCTGTTAAACTGTGCTTTGGGGAGGGTATGGGATTGTTATGCCAGCCTGATGAATGAGTGGGATCTTCTGATGTGTGTCCATGTAGGAGAGAGGTACTGTGCTTGTGCCAGTGTTTATGTGTATGATTGCATGGGTCAGGTGTGTGTGCATGTGTGTTGGTCAGTGTTTCAGCATGTGCCTATGTGTCTGGAAGTCTGTGATGTTGTGCGAATAGAATAGAAGACTCCATGTCGGGGTCTCAGCACTGGGAACATCCCTGAGGGTTTGCGGGGTATTGGCGTGTGACAGTGTATCTCTGAGAAGGTACCTGAGTCTGAGAGACGATGCCTGCAGCTTGCCTTGCTCTGCCGCTTTCCTCAGCTACCTCAGGAAGGACCTTAAGGAAACAAAACATGGACACAAAAATTCAGGGCTCAGCAAATGGAAGCATGATCCAGGCTCTGAGAGGGACCAGAAGAAAAGTGTGCCATCCTGGAAGGAAATGGCAGAGAATCTGCAAGGCTAAACCTTGGGGGCTTTAGCCCTCTTTGCTCCTTCTGAGGGCCCCAACTCTTTCCTTCCTTCCTCTTCAGTGGTCAGGTGAGACTGAGCCCTCTTTTCTCCTACACCTCAACCCAAATGGTTCCCAGCAAAGAAGAAGCCCTGGTGCACACGCTCATGCTGAGCCTGTGACATTGAGGCGGGTGCCCTGTACCAGGGTGCAGGCTGTGGACGGAGCAGATGGCAAGCACCGTCTGCAGGCTCTGAGCTCCTTGGTGTTCCGTTCTGCATCTCTTGCTACTTCTCCTAGGGACGCCCCCTCCTGACTGTCCCTTCCACCTGGGCATCAGTCCACCTTTTTTTCAAAAGTGCTGGTCCTTGGAAATACTAGCATGTCCTGACCACTGAGGCTCCAGACCTGTTGTCCTAACCAGTGTCCCTGCCCTGGGACAGCCATGTTAGTTTCTCCCTTCTAGGAATTTATTGAATTTAGAAGGAAGACCCCCAGATTCAGGAAGCCAGGTTTGGGGTTCCAGCCTGTCTTCTACACCCTGGAATCCTCAGGACCAGCCTCTTCCATGTGCCAGGGGCCATTGTCAACAGCAGCTTAGCTGTCATGGCCCTTGACACATGCATGGACTCTTGTTGCTCCTTTTCACACAAGCAAGCTGAGGCTAGAAGCTTAAATATGTGCAGGGTCACAGACCTGAATAATGGGAGAGCTGGAGGACCAAGTACAGATCTGACCCCCAAACTAGAGTTACTCACTGTCCACTGTCCTCTTTGTCCACTGGGCTCCAGGGCCTGTTGCACCCAGCAGCTCCAGACTCAACCAGGCTTATCCCAGATCCTGTCTCGACTACCATTCTCTTGGCCCAGGAATTGCCCTGGTCATCTCTGTGGGCGAGACTCTCAGGACAGGGTCCGCCTACCATCTTCTCTACACACCACCGTCTACAATGGACACTCTATGACTTCGGGGGGTGTTGCACAAGTAATAAAAGTTCAGATACAGATGTTGACATTCAACCTGAAAACCAGAAAAGCAAAGCAAAGCAGCCACTGACTCATACCTCAATTTCAGTCCTAAAATGGCGATCCTGCCTCCAGGAATCTCAGAATGAGACTGAGACTGAGAGCTGTCTCCTCCTGTCTTATAATCCTCTCTAGTGCTGGGATTAAGGGCATGCATCACTACTGACTGGTTTCTATGGCAAACTAGTGTGGCTACTGGGATTAAAAGTGTGTCTTTATCACTACCTGGTCTGTAAGGCTGGCCAGTATAGTATGGCTGTTTTACTTTTCTGATCTTCAGGCAAGCTTTATTTATTAAAATACAAATGAAATGCCATTATGGGGGCAGGGGGAGGTGAATCAAAGTCCTGTCCTAGCAGAGCCCCGGTCTAAAGTGAAGTTTCACGTCTTTGCTCTGCTCCTAGTCATTGTCCAAGTCAAAGCCTCTTTGCAGCTCTCAAGGTCCTGTTTCCAGCTGCCAGCCCTTCCTCTCCACTGGGAGATGCTGGTTCCTTGGGTCTCCTCTCACTCCCCACTAAGGCACACCTGCTGCCCCAGTTCCCAGCAATGACCCTGCTTTCTGCCACTTCTACTAAGAGCAGACATTGTGGGATTCCTCCCCTTGTTGCCTGCCCTCACCTGCCCCACGGACTTCAGGGCAATGAGAACAGAGGAGGAGGGAAATAGGAAAGGCCGTGGGGGAGGTGGCCCCAGTCCACCGTGATTTAGTCCGATGACTCTGCCACCCCTCAGCAGTGGCTTCAGTCACAAACCACCTTTGCTGTTGGCACATTCAATTTCCTTTTTTTCTTTTATTTTTATTCTCCAAACAAATGCTGCTGACCTTTGCTCCTAGAAGAGCATGTCCATCAGGGCAGGTCACCAGCACACTTCCCCCAGAGATGCTGGTGGCATTCAGAGCAAGCTTGACCTCTTCCTGTTTCTGGAAATTTCCGTGTCACTAGGAACAAGCACATGTCACTGTGTGTTGTTTTGTGGTGATGTCATAGGAACTAGGACTCTGCTCAAACCAGGGCAAGCTCACCCAGATATCTCATCTGTTGTGTGTGTGTCGGGGGTGGGGGGTAGGGGGTGGAGGTGGAGGTGCACTGGAGTTTTGGGGATCAGGCACCTGAAAATGAGCCATTTCATGTCAGCACCTGTGTGCATCTTGTGGTTTCAGAAAGTGAACTTCTGGGTTGGAGAGAAGGTTCACTGGGTGTTTAAGTCTGACAATGAGTTCGGTCCCCAGAATCCCACGTGGTTGTAAGGAGAGAACCAACTCCCACTGGCTGCCCTCTGACCCCCACATTCACGATGCACACGTGTGCTCTTTGTGTGTGCACCCATACACATGCATGCACTCATATGCAAATTTAATTGCGTATAAATCCTAGCTTTAATGCAAGGGGCTTTTTGTTCATCTTGACATCTATCACTTCTAAATGGGTAATATTTATAATCTGTAAGGCTGTTTGTGAAAAAAATTAAAAGGCACTTCAGCTCAAGGCTGGCTAAAGGGGACAGCCAGAAATATGCAGGGGGTGGGGACGTGCTCAGTGGAGAGGGTCTGTTGGAGCTCAAAAACCAGTGCTGTTGAACGTATTTAGGTTCTATCCCTCTGTTGCAGGCAGGAGGACATCTCTCAGTGCAGACACAACTTCAGGGTTCTGGACCTTTCTGTCTCCACCCTTCCCTTAGCACCCCTTATCCTCCTGAGGCTTAGAAGCCAGGCTGCACATCAGATCTGCATCGTGTTAGACACTGGGGCATGGGAGGGTCTGTGGCCCTCCTATGGCCGGCCGCGGTTAAGTCTGGCAGGGGGAGTGGGTGATAATTTTGCCTCCTTTATAAGTCCTCAGAGTGATTACATCCTGCGTCCTCGGGTGTCCTACATCCCTGGGTGTTGCAGGTTAGCCACTGAGCTAGGTGGCTCTGTGTACCAGCCTTAGCTCTGCTTCCTGAGATGCTGTGTGCTTTTGATGAAGTCTTCTCTTGACTCTCCTGGAATGGTCGGAAGCAAGACAGCTCCTGCATGGCCAAACATCAGGAGAGGAGGAGCCCCGGGCTATGATGCAGCCCCGTCCCTCAGCAAGTCTCTCCTTGCTGAGGGTAGATGAAGGGCAGATGGGACCACGAATGAGTCACAGTCTCCCTCTGCCCTCTCCTTCACCCCACCTCCTTAAGAATTGATCCTTTAGACACTTCTTGGGACTTCTACATGTCAGCCTTGCACGGTCCCCTGGGTCCTCAAAGTGGCAGTCACTGGTGGGCTTCGGTCCCACCGGTGGAGATTAAGAAGCCAAGAGACTGGGAGGAGGTAACTAGGACTGGAAGGGGCTGCTGGAGCCACGGGGCCTCCATTTCTGCTTCTCCTCTTAGGGCGCCACTGTGTCCCTCTCAGAGACAGTGCAGAAATGGCGGGAGTACCGACGCCAGTGCCAGCGATTCCTCACTGAAGCACCACCTCTGGCCACAGGTGAGTCCGGGCGAGCCCTCACGCCTGTACCCTGCACTCCGCACAGCTCCGGGCACGCTTTGATGATTAAGTCCATAGCTGGTGTCCCTTGTCTCTCTCTAATGCGTCTGCCTGGGCCTCTCTCCTGGTGACCATACCGCATCTTCAAGGAAGCGCCTTCCTGCCCCCTTCCCACCAGTTTTCCTGCAGGCAGCTTTGCGGGTACTATTTTCTTGCTGTCTTTTACCTCTCGAGCGGAGGCCCCTCTTTCCATTCTGTGTGCTCCTCTGCCCCTCCTTAACTGTGTATATAGACCGAAAGCCCAGCAGACACATCTATTCAAGCACATCTTTGTTTTTTTGAGACAAGATGTCATGTAGCCCAGGCTAGCTTCCAGCTTACTGTGTAGCTCTGAATGCCTTTTAACTCCTTAGCCTCTACCTCCCAAGCATCAGAATACCCTACCCGTGGACCACTACATCTGGCTTATGCCGTGTTGAAGACTGAACCCAGGGCCTTATGCATGTTAGACACACATTCTGCCAACTGCCAACTGAGCCAGCAGGAGTAAATCTTTTGGGGGAGTTTCTAGGGTGGTTTAAAGATAGTTGGAGCTAGCTGGACTTGGGTTCAAATCCTGATCATCAAGCAACCTGGGGAAGGTTTCCCTCCCATCTGTGAAGAACAGCTCACAAATGGCTGATAGGAGATGTCTGTTGAGCCCCTACTGTGGTCCTTCTGCGTAACACATTATAACAAAGCTCTGTGGATCAGGGGTGCCTGCATTCCACCAAGGACATAGAGTTGTTAAGGAACTTGCTTAATGTCCTGTCCCTGACGAGTAACAGGGTCCTTCCTTGGTCCCTGCCCCATGGAGAGGGTGCTCAGAATCCAGTGAGCCCTGTGTGGGGAGTGCTCCTCATCCAGTGAGCCCTGTGTGGGGAGTGCTCCTCATCCAGTGAGCCCTGTGGGGAGAGTGCTCCTGGTCCAGTGAGTCCTGTGGGGAGAGTGCTCCTCATCCAGTGAGCCCTGTGTGGGGAGTGCCCCTCATCCAGTGAGTCCTGTGGGGAGAGTGCTCCTCATCCAGTGAGCCCTGTGTGGGGAGTGCCCCTCGTCCAGTGAGCCCTGTGTGGGNAGGACATAGAGTTGTTAAGGAACTTGCTTAATGTCCTGTCCCTGACGAGTAACAGGGTCCTTCCTTGGTCCCTGCCCCATGGAGAGGGTGCTCAGCATCCAGTGAGCCCTGTGTGGGGAGTGCCCCTCATCCAGTGAGCCCTGTGTGGGGAGTGCTCCTCATCCAGTGAGTCCTGTGGGGAGAGTGCTCCTTGTCCAGTGAGCCCTGTGGGGGGGAGAGTGCTCAGCACCCAGTGAGCCCTGTGAGGAGAGTGCTCCTCATCCAGTGAGCCCTGTGGGGGAGTGCTCCTCATCCAGTGAGTCCTGTGGGGAGAGTGCTCCTCGTCCAGTGAGCCCTGTGGGGAGAGTGCTCCTCATCCAGTGAGTCCTGTGGGGAGAGTGCTCCTCATCCAGTGAGTCCTGTGGGGAGAGTGCTCAGCATCCAGTGATCGCTCAGCACAAGTTGGGGGAGCAGCTTCCCATGGTTGGGGAGAAGATAGGAAGGAAGAATGGGTGACAAGGGACTGAAGGACTGCTCTGCCGCCTCTACAGGCCTCTTCTGCAACCGAACCTTTGATGACTATGCCTGCTGGCCAGACGGGCCCCCAGGGTCCTTTGTGAATGTCAGCTGCCCCTGGTACCTGCCCTGGGCCAGCAATGGTGAGTGTCCCCTTCCCTATTCCCAGGGCTTTGGGGCAGGATGGAACAAGGTCTCCCTTCTTCTGGGCCCAGTTCCTGTAGCCCAGAATGTCCTCAGGCCCCATGGAAGGTGGAGCACCCTTTGATGGTGGTTGGATAGCCAACATTGGCAGGTGTCGGAACTGCCTGGTGTCCTGTGTCTGATGCTTGTGCAGCAGGGGTGGGATACAGCTTAAGACAGAAATGAGACCCTTCTGACCTAGCAGTCAAAGGAGCCAAGGATATGGGGGATAGGAAGAAGGAAGAAGATACCCAAGGAGTGTCATTGCATGGTGTGTGTGCGTGTGTGCATGTGTGTGTGTGTGTGTGTGTGTGTGTGTGTGTGTCTGTCCATCCTAGAGTTGACACCTCAGCTCTTCCTGACTCTTTTAAAGGTTCATGGGCAGTAGTGCTCGAGGGCATTGTGGGCTGGCCCCTCAGACCTTGTCAAGCCCACTGCTGCCTCCAGGGGAGACTACACTGGGAAAAGTATGACGTGGTGGGATTCTCTTCCCACAGAACCATCCAGAGGGCCAGGGTGCCCTTGACTGCAGTGCTAATTTACATGGCTATTGCTCCATCCCAGTTCCCATGCTAAGGGTCTGTGGGACATAATGAGGACAAGCATTGTTGCTGCAAGAAGTCTCAGACACGCGCGTGTCCATGTGTATTCATTCATTTGTGTGGAAGTGCATGTTTATGCACAGGTGTGGGGTCCACAAGTACGGTCCTCCATGTAGAGACTGGAGGTCAACTTCGGGTTGCCCTTGCAGACTGTCCTCCTTGTTAACGCATCCTGGGGAATCTGCCAGTCTCAGTGTCCCCAGCACTGAGATCACGGGCACATGCTTCTTCCATGGATGCTGTGGGACTCAGCTGAGGTTCTCCTGTCACATGGCAAACACTTTACAGACTGAACCATTTGCCCAGCCCAGCAAAAAGAGATTTCGTAAGTTAATGATGGCCGGTACTTAGCGAATATCTAACCCTTCAGTCCTGGACTAACTGCTGTCTGGGGGATGTGCTTGCCTAGATGAGGAAACTGGGGTCCCGAGAGATTTAAGTCTCTTGTCCCAAATGAGGTAGTGACTGCTGGAATCCTGAGAACCTAGCCCTTTTCTAGGCTGTTGTCCTTAGCAGAAACCAGCCTGCGAGCAAGCATAGGACTGAGGTCAGGCTTATGAAAAGGGGTCTTCTTGGAGGAGGTGGCCTGGAGGGACAGACATGAACTTCCCCTTAGCATGAAGTACAGTCTGATGGGGCTTGGGCTGGTCTTCTAGAGAGGCTCACCCATCTCTCCTGGGGCTACTCTAGACAAACCAGGACCTGCAAAAGGCAGGCTCCAAGTGGATCAGCCACCCTTCACTCAGAATTCCTCTACATGTTGCCTGTTGACAGGCAAGACACCCATTCGATCCTGCCCATAACTCTCGCAGGCAATGAATCCCATTTTCCCTCCCATTGACGAGGAAGCTGAAGCCCAGAGATATGGCATGGCTTTTCCAAGACTCACAGCTAGCTGGGCTTAGCAGACCCGGGCATCAGTCCAGGAGGTTGGGTTAGTCTCTGCATTTCATTGTTTAATTGTTGAGCCAGGCTTCCTGGGGAGCTGGGCAGTGCTGCACGTGCATGTGGCCCTGGGTCTGGAGGCAGGTGAGTGGCCTGAATGACCTCCGTCCACTGGATACACATTAGTAAGGGCAAAGCCATCCTGCCCTTTCCCTCTGAGACAGGCAAGCCCCGTGGCTCTGCTTGTTGACGACCCCAAGGGCTGTGTGGTCAGGAGCAATTCCTAGACCTCTCTGTGCTCTGGTCTCTTTGCTCATTTGGGAGCTGGGATGGAGCCAAGTGATGTGGATGGGAGAGGATTGGATATCCTTGGGGGGAAAACCAAGTCCATTCATTTTTCCCACCCGCTCTCAGTCCCTTGGCAACTTCCTGCACGGCACACACGTTCGCTGCCTCGAAGATTTGGGACCTCTGCTCGGGCATCCTAGCTAAGCCCCTAGACCCCAGGGAGCCAGGCATGGGACAGAGCCTATCACTCAGCACTAAGCGCCCCCAGCTCTGCCTGCGCTTGCGGCTCCATCCATCACCTTTAATTTTATTTGAGCAGGAAATAGGTCCTGGTGGTGCCCGTTTATGAGCGAACACGGTTTTATTGCTTTCTCCATGAAGATAACGGCCTCTGCACAGGCCCCCTGCCAGCCACCTTCCCTCCCTTCTCGCCAGGCTAATTTACTCCCCCCCCCCCTTTTTTTTGGACACCCAGATCATCAGCTCTGCCTCCCCTCTCCTGTGCTGGGGACCCACAGAGACACCCACTGGACTCACACAGTGCAATCACCATACTGGAGGGGCTCCCTCACCCCACCCAGGGCTGTGGGGAATGAGGAAGGGGGCACCTCTGGAGCCTTCTTAGCCCATCTTGGGGAGCAGCTGGTGGCGATGCTGGGGACAGGGAGATGACAGGCAGGCGTTGTCTCTAGCGGGCACTCTAGAAAACATGCCCGGTGGGGATTTGTGAGAGCACTGGAACAGACAGAGCTGAGCATCCCCGAAGGCCCGATGAGAAAGGGAGGCTTGTGGCCAGAGGTCCCCATGATGACTGGAGTTAGGGTAAAGAGACCACCAGCAGGGTGCCCACAGAGGGGCGAAGCTATGGCCAGAGAGCCCCAGATGCCATCAGGGTAGGGGTGAGAGAGCCATGCCCAGATTCTTTCTCCCTCCTCCTGGTGTTTTCTGCCGGTGTCTCCTGTTGACCAAACCCAGAATGGAGGGCAGGAATTGTGTGGTACAACACAGAGGGAGTCAGCCTTCTGGGGTTCAGAGCGAGGCAGAGGAGTGGGTGGCCTCATGAAGAATTCAAACCAATGTCCATAGCCGAGCTAAGCCCTTGTCAGGAGCTAGGGCACGCTTGTGTGACGTCCACAGGGGGATTGCATGGAGTTGAAGGGGGTCAGCTTTACGGCTCAAGCAGAGGCAGGTAGGGGAAATCAGAGGTGTCTTTTCCCTGGTCTGTGACATCAGGACAGGCGACATTGCGACCAGGCTGGGAGAACAGGCATAGGCAGAAGGAGGAGGGCTAATGCTCAGAGGGCACCTGGGACACGGGTCAAGATCTCAGGCCTCAGAGGTGCACAGAGTCCCTTCAAGGCCGTGCGAGAGGACAAGGGTGGGAGGAAGAGTCTGGTCCACACAGGATGGAAAGGGTGAGGCTTGGAAGGTCGGCGAAGCCTTCCAGCCTCTTGGCTGCTTTGGAGCCTTTGGGCAGCCCCATTCACTCCCGCCGGGACCCACGCCTTCAACATCATCCCAACCTCATTAGGCACCCCTCTCCAGGTTCCTACCTGTTTGTTAGCTTAGTTCTAATTATATGAGGGCCATAAAATGCTTTTAAAATAGGCTATCACTCAAAGTCTTAGAAACTCTTGACAGGTCGCCTCCCTTGAGTAATGCTGAGCCTGGGAGCTTGGAGAGCAAGCCAGGGTTACAAAGGGGAGACTGAGGCCCAAGCTGGGTCTCACAGGGGCTTTGGCCTTGCAACGCTGGGGGAAGGGCTACCATGCACCAGGCAGTTCCTGCATATTCTCCTAGGAATGGGTCCCATTTTACAGATGAGGAAGCGGAGAGCCGGGGAAGTGATGTAATTCTCCCAAAGTGCCATAGCTGATTCAAGAGTGGAACCAGGTTTTGCAATTGGGTCTGGACTTTTGAACCTGGCCTCTTGTTAAGCCCAGATGCTCCAAGTTTCTCTCTACCCCCACCCAGAGCTGGCCCCTGCCTTTGACCCTGCCCCATTCTGTCACGTTTGGGAGGGATGCCAGCCTCGCTGACCCTCAGCATCTCCATCTGCAAAATGGGGGCCCCCCGGCCCTTGCTGGCCACCTCTGTTGCCAGGGTGCAGGAGCTAATAGATTCATGAGCAGCTCTCCACCACTTTGAGTGCCCGCCGTCCACGTGGAAGGGTGGCTGTTAGCTTGATTACAGACGCCGTGGCAGCTTCCGGGAGGCGAAGTGTTTAATTGGGGGTTTTATTTCCAGCACCAGGGGCTGACTTAATGAAATATGCCTGGGCCTCCTGGCATGTGGCCGCCTGGTTGTCTCCTCGTATTGACTAGACCAAGCCAAGCCCGTGGCTGTGATTGGCCAGCTCCTCACAGGCCAGATAAAGCTGGACTGATAAGCAGGGCTTTGCCCAGACCACCCACCTCCAGCCAAGAAGGGCATTTGGGGACCATGGGCTCAGCCAGTATCCAGCCGCAGCTTTTAATATTTGATGTTAATGAGGGCTAACTGACAGATGAATTTGTAGACTGCGCTTCTCTGGGACACAGTGATCTCTTGACGCTAAGCCAAGAAGGCACACATCAGTGCACACACTACCTTCCTGCCCCCAAGCTGGCCCTGAGCAGAGAGCCCAGAGCTATGCAGTCTGTCCAGGGGCCACAGTGGCATGTGTGAAAATCCAAACCCAGGGGAAAGACAGGGGAAAATGGCACCTGGCCATGGTTGACTCTTGTCACAACTCTGGCTGCTAAGTTTTGGCTCCTGGAGGCGGAGAGCTGGGAGTTAGAACCCTACCTGTGTGTCTTCCTATCTGCCTGGGCTTGAGAATGTAGATCTCTTGGCTACTCAGAGGCTTGGTGCTTTCATCTGTGAAATGGTTAACCTGATGAGGTGTCTGTGATGTTCTAAGGTGCTGGCATACAGTAGGTATTCAAGACGTGATTCTGTGAGTAAATACAGCCTTTGGAGACAAGATATGCAGTGGAATAGGGAGGAAATCTACAATTGTACAGTGCCTACTATGTGCACAGCATGTGTAGGGCTCTGTGCCTACTATGTGCACAGTACATGTAGGATGCAGTGCCTCCTGTGTGCACAGTACATGCAGGGTACAGTACCTACTGTGTGCACTGTGCATGTAGGGTACAATACCTACTGTGTACACAATGCATGTAGGGTACAGTGTCTACTATATGTTAGGGTTTGTGCCTGCTGTAGGAAGAATCTAGTGCTGTGTTTTCTCCCTTCTTCTAGTTCCCAAGGTTCCTTCTCCCCATTCCACTCCCCACTTCCTCCCATTCAGACTGCAGAGCAGGTTCCGATACCAATGTCATCCCCACAAAGTTAGGCCCAGGTCCCATCACCCTTCTTGGGGTCTATCTATAGCCAAAGACAGGCTTTGTTACCTACCAGAAGTTTGGACTCCCATTAAGGAATTTTAAACATCCATGCAACAGATAAGAAAACCATTTGGGAATCTGAGGGTGGCCCTTCAAGATGCTAAATGAGACCATGTACCTGCCCTCCCCTGCCTTTATATGTACCCAATCATTTGTTAAGTCCATAGAGATGCTTCTGGGACTCAATGTACGACTAGCCACTAGTCAAGCCACCATCAGTGGACAAGTCGCCATCAGATTCTTGGGGTTCTGTTAACGTCACTGAAAATGCAAGTTTCTGACTGAGGAGATGATTTAGCTGGTCAAGTGCTTGTGTGCAAGCAAGAGGCCCCGAATTTAGATCCCCAGCACCATATAAAAAGCTGGGTGTGATGGGGTGTGTCTGCACAGGGGAAGGACTGGCTGACCAGCTAGTCTGCTCCAGGTTCAATGAAAAACCCCGTCCAAAAAGTCAGGCGGTTGTGGGGGAGACACCTGGCCTCCACCATCAACTTCTGGCCTCCGTGCATGCATGTGCACACACACACACACACACACACACACACACACACACGTCTCTGCACACACATGCATCTGTGCAGGCTCCTCTCACAGCACTCACACTCCAAAGCTGATTTGCTCGGATACCATCTTTCCTGGAGAGATACCCGCCTCGGGCTATTCATGAAGGGAGGAGAGGAAGAGGGAGAAGGGTGTGAGGACTGCCCACACTGGGTACTGAGTGGCAGAGCTGGTGTTAGGAATAAGGCCTGATTGGCAGGTGCATGACCGCACTGCAAGAGGCTGTCACAGGACCAACAGGGAGGCTCCCTGCACATAACAATGGTCCGGGAGATTGGTTTCTGTGCCAAGGCTGCCCCGGGTGGGGGGGGGGTTGTCCCTTGGGGACGCGTCCCACAGGGTGCAGCTGCCACTCCGGTATTTACATATATTAATCAGCCTCTTCCTAGTGACAATCTCTCCACCTCAACCCTGACCAGCTATGGCCACTGAGGGCTCTTGGTGACTTCTGTATCCACCCCACCCCATCCCCACTCCTTTTCACGCTGCCTGCCACCCGTAGCCGGTCCTTCAAATCTTTTGGTCTTTAAACTATTTTATTCCATCTATGTGCTCATTTAGGGGAGGCACATGCTGCGACCTTCATGTAGAGGTCAGAAGACAGCTTGTGGGAGCTGGTTCTTTCTTTCCTCTTAGCATGTGAGGCCCGGGAACTGAACTCAAGACAGCAGGCTTGATAGCAGGCATCTCCACCAGCTGATCCACCCCGCTAATTCAAGTTAGTCTAACAGAGTCTAAATCACCTGCAGACAGTCCCTGACTTCTGCTGCCCTCCTCACTCTCCTGCGCTAACCCCACCTCCTGCAACCTCTTGGTCCCCATCCCTACCTTCACCCTGTTCCTTGGCCCTGGTGAAAGATTTAAGTTCTCCTGCAGGAAGACAGCGAGTGAGGTATTTCCTAGATGAATAGAGCTCTCTGCTGCTCTTACATGGCGTCTTGGGCCAAAGGCCACTCCTCTCCCTAGACAGGTCCACAGGTCCGTAGTAGGGGCATGATGGGGACTGCCCCAGCACCCCGATAGTCAAGTGGCTGTGTAGCCTGTAGTCGCTTCCCCCTTCATTTCCCTTTTCACCGTTCTTCTCTGGGAGCTGCATGAGGGCAGGGCCTGGGTTGTTGGTCGCCTTCTCTCACAGGTTAGGGACGCAAAGAGCAGTTTCTTCTTGGACACAGGACTAGGGGTTACGTGAAGGAGCAAGCCTTATCTCCCAGTCTGAAGGGAAAATTTCCAAGAGCAGCGGTTATGATGGCACCATGAGACTTTATGCTCATTTAGAGGCCTTAGAGAGGAAGTCTGAATCTCCTCAGATGGGCTCCCTGATGGCAGGCCACATCTCCTCAGACTGGAGCTCCCTGATGGCAGGCCACATCTCCTCAGACTGGAGCTCCCTGATGGCAGGCCATGTCTCCTCAGACTGGAGCTCCCTAAGGTAGAGGTTGCTTTAATTCTGTTCTTATAAGTTCAGTGCCATCTTTGCTCTTAGAACTGTCTGTTCCCCCAAAAAGAATGCAGGAGGCTGAAGGACTGAGTCCAGAATATTAGAAATCATAGGGGGTGATTGTGATTGCAGAGTCCCATCTGCTCGGCATCAGACCCTGTCAATACTGTGATTTGAGGCTGGAGATAAGATATAGATATCTTGTCTAAAAGCTATGGATTCACTCAACTGTGTCCCTGGGGGACTAAGAGGCACAGCTGAGGGTGACTGGGTGATCCTTGCTGTGCAATCCTGGACCATCATGGTACATGTATGCGCGCATGCCTGCATGCATATGCTTGTGTGTGTGCATCTGCGTGTGTGTGTGCATGTGTATGTATGAACACAGGTGTGCCTGTTACTAACTAAGGGTCAGCTCTAATGGAGCAGGGTCCCCCCGAGAGGAAAGGATAAGGGCAACAGTGGGTGGACTGCTCATTTCTAGGCTGAGCCTCAGCTGCCCTGTCTCCCTCCTCTAGTGCTTCAGGGCCATGTGTACCGGTTCTGCACAGCTGAGGGTCTCTGGCTACACAAGGACAACTCCAGCCTGCCCTGGAGGGACCTGTCGGAGTGTGAAGAGTCCAAGCGAGGGGAGAGAGTGAGCTGACGGGTTCTGAGCCTGGGAAGGGGTAGCTGGGAGTCTGCTCCATCGGAGCAGAGACTCTAGGTTTTGGGCGGGGCTGGCCATTGTCACATCTGTCCCCCTGCATCGGGTGACTCTGCACATCTGCTGTCTGGCCAAAGGTGATGTGTGCTCACCTTGGAGCCAGGTTGTAAACATCTCTGGACCACTTCCGCAGGTCATTCTCTTTCTTGATTGTGGAATCTCAAGTCGGGTCCCAGGTCACCTCAGTCCCTGGACCCGGAATGAAGGTTATGGGAGAAGGAGGCTCATGGGGCATGCACACATCCTTGTGTCCTTCTGTGTACGCAGAACTCCCCCGAGGAACAGCTACTGTCGCTGTACATTATCTACACTGTGGGATACGCACTTTCCTTCTCCGCCCTGGTCATTGCATCGGCCATCCTTGTTGGCTTCAGGTAAGGAGAGCTCAAGCCTAGGAGGGAGGGGGCTGCCCTGTGCTCAGATCCTGAGGAGAGGAATTCCAAGACAATCCAAGCCAAAGCAGCAGAAGCAATGAGTGGGGAGTGGGGGGGGGCGTTCTGCTTTCTAGGACTTCCTGGAAAACATGAGTTCAGTCTAGTCTCCACTGTGTAACTGTGCATGTGCACACTAAAAAATTGCACACGCGTGCGCGCGCACACACACACACACACACACACACACACATGAGTTGTAACAGTGGGTGGTAAGATGATAGGGAATTCCAAAAAGTTACATCCACCAATCAAATAATAATCAATAATTCAGCATAATTTTAGCAAAGTCTCAGTAGTTAGAGGTTCTTCTGTCTTGGAGCTTATTAATGCCACTGGAAAGTTCTGTTTTGGGCCTTGACCCCCTGAGGAGGGGCTGAGAAGCAGCTTCCTTAATCTCTCGGGGATAACTGAGGGTGAGGGGAACTGAGTTTAGGGTCGGAAAAATTATGAGGGCAGAATCCTCGGGATATTGATCATCAAGAATAAGAGTTGTTGGACTAGAGAGATTGCTCTGCAGGTAAGAGCATATACACAAACTGCTCTTACAGAGAACCCTGGTTCAGTTCCCAATACCCATGCTGGGCAGCTCACAAACACCTGTAACTCCAGCTCTAGGGGATCTGATGCCTTCTTCTGGACTCTGTGGAACCTGCACGCATGTGCTCACACCCTCCCAACATACACATATTTAAAACAACAAACATAACTACTTAATAGAAACAGGGGATGTGGTTTTCCTCCTCTTGTCTCTAAAGCAGCTGGTACAATAGTAGACATACCGTTAGTGTTCAGGAGTTGCAATCGATGGATGAGTATTGCGTGAGCTACTTTTATGTGCCCAAGAGATGCATGCGAGGACAGTTTCAGAGTGGAAAGATTTATTCTGGCTGATGGTTTTTTGTTTGTTTGTTTCTTGATTCCTATGGGATTGGGTAGAAAATCATGGCCGTGAGACTGTGTGCCAAAGGGAGCTGTTCATCTCGTGATGGACAGGAGGCAGAGGGGAAGGTACCCCACCACGCCAGTGACTTACTTCCCCCAGTTAGGCTCCACCCCCTACAGTGTTCAGCACTCCTGAAATAGCCTACCACCCAGGTCAGCACATCCCAGTCATATTTCATAGTCAAATCATGTCAAATATTCTCTCATTGTGAACCATTTCAGAGAGTCAAAGGTATAGTGGAAATACATACAGGAATCAATGCTTAGAGTTAAGGCATGGTGAGCTGGGGAGATCACTCCGCAGTTAAAATGCTTGCCACATCAATGTGAGGACCAGAGTTCAGAGTCTGAGACAGCCACATAAATGCCAGGTGGGCATGGTGGCTCACCTGTAGTTCCAGCCTTGGAAGGCACCGAGAGAATCGTCAGAGGAGGCTTGTTAGCCAGGCTAGCCACATCAGTAGCTCTGGGTTTGATTGAGAGCCCTTGTCTCGATGAAGAAGTTGAAAGAGCAATGGTGTAAAAGTCCCAGCATCATCTTCAGTCCTCCCTCTGTGTACACAGAATCATGGGAAAACATGTACACACCTACACACACAAAAAAATGGGAAAATAAAGATAAAAACGAAGTGTTACAAGTTGTGTGTGGTGGTAAACACGTGTAATCCAAGCACTTAGATCAGGGCAGGATTGTCACAAGCTCAGGGCCAGTCTGGGTTACATAACAAGGTCCAGGCTAGCCTGAGCTATAAAACAAAGCAAAGCCCATCCATCAGGACCCCGTGTCCACCCCTGAAGAACTAATCCTTGCTCCTATTCTCTCTCTCTCATTACCTTGCACTTCCTTGCTAAGGGTCTATAACAACACACAGTGTGGCTTGCTGATATTTTAAACAGCATAGTGACCATATCCTGCTGCAGTTCCAAGGGGTGGGAATCCAACATTGTGTTTTCGTGAGATTCCTTCTGATACAGATACTCCTAGTTCCTTCCTTTGAGCTGTCCCTGTTTTCCATTGTCATCACACTGTCTGTGGCTATATGAAGTATTTGTTGATTTTTCTTTCTGAGTTACAAGCCTTACAGCAATGGGTTTCTTCTGGGGGTCTTGCCTGTGTGTTTCCTTAGGGCATATCCCCAGAGGTGAAATTGTCACCATTAACCAACTGCCTGGTTTTTAGCGTTTTTGTTAGCTAGTGTTAGGTGGCCTGCCAGGTGGCTACTGCCAGTCTGTGCTCTGGCTACTGGCGGGAAAAGGATCCTTTGGCTCTGTACCCGACTCACATTTAGTGTTTTTAGAATTAAGTGAAGTTAATCTATAAAGCATGCAGAAGAATGTGTTATGGTTTTAATTTGCTTTTCTTTGACCCCTAGAGAGGTTGTTTCTTTCATACTTTAGTCTATGAATTGCTTGTTCATTGCCTTTTATTGTTATTATTATTAGTTTATTTGGCTTGTTTTAGGCATTTATTATGTGGATATTAACCCGAGACATCTTAACCTATGCCAATGTTTCTCATTCTCTGGTGCCTTTTATACACAGGAGCTCGGCACTTAGATGAAATGAAATTGGCCAACTATCAATTTTTATTGCTAAGTAAAAATGTATCAATAGGAACTATTGATTAATAAAAGTTACTTTTATCAGTCGATAGGCATTTATTAATTTTTTCCTGAAGACTAGATTTCATTTTGCTCTCCCTCCCACGATCTTTTCTTATCTGATGGTTGCAAAGCCTCTCAGCTCCATTCCCTTCAAGAAGCTGCCGAGTCTTCTTCTGTCCTTGTGGCTCTGCAGTCCCCCTAGAATTCAGTTTGTGTCTAGTGGGAATCAGGGATTTTCCCCATTCCTCCATATATAGGTGGCCACTGCTGTGTGCCTTTGCTGGTAGTCTTGGTTTGCCACGAGGGTCCCTGGATCTGTAAGTTGATTTCCGTTGTTTACATCCTTTTCGCTCAGTCTGTTCATCTACCCTGCTCCCAACCACAGCACCTTGTCTCCTAAGGATTTATAGGAAATGTAAGGTCTCAGGCCAGTAAGTAAAGGCCAAGCCTGATGGCCTAAGCTGGATCCCTTGAATCCACAGCACAAGGAAAGAACTGATTCCTCCAAATTTGTTCCCAGACCTGTGGCCGCCACACAAGTGTTCTTGTGTATGTGCAGCCCATACATACACATACATATACACATACACATACATATATACCATACATACATAAAGTAAAGGAGAAAAGAAAAGAAATCCTGTCTCTCAGCTGCGCAAATGGCTCAGGTAGTTAAACATTTGATGCCCAAGTGTGGGAAGCTGAGTTTGCATCCCCAGAACCCACTGGTGGCGCGTGTTTGTGGTCTGGAGCTCCTGCAGTGGCACACAAGGCAGAGACGGGAGTATCCTAGGAAGTTCCTGGGCCGGCCAGCCTGGTGCGAGGAACAGTAAAGGAGAGACCCAGCCTCAAACAAGGTAGAAGGTGAGGGTTAGCAGCGGAGGATGTCCTCCAACCCCTACCCGCATACTCACACTCATACACATGTTCATGCACACATATGTGCAGGCACAGTACAGGTACACAGAGAACTCCCAGCTCTCTTACAGCAAAGACTCCTATGTTCTGATGCCTTTTGTGTGTTGATCCTTTCAAGACAGGGTCTCACGTATTCCAGGCTGGCTTTGAACTCTGAATTCCCTTACCTTCACCTTCCAAGTGCTGGGACTATAGGCATGCAAATCAAGCCCAGCTGAGGGCTGTTTTTGTTGAAAACAGGTCTTGCTAGATTTGCTTCAAACTCCTGATCCCCCTGCTTCAGCCTACCCTGTGCTGGGATTACAGGAAAGGGCCACTTGATGGTTCTGTGTGACTGTCTACACTTCTCTTGACTTTTGGCCATTCTTTGTAAATTTTTTAAGTACCACGAAAAAAAGTTGGCATTTTATTACAGCTGCTCTGAATTCATTGTTTAACATGGGACCGTGACAGTGGCATTTCTATTCCTAAGTATGGTGTGACTATGTATTTCCCACTAATTTAAGACTTCTCTAATAATTTTAAGCCAATTTTATTAAGTTGCCCATAATGATCTTACCCATCTTCTTGTTAGAGATGTTTTCAGGAAACCGAGTAGAATCTTCCGAATGGATCTACAATTTCTTTTTATTGCCTATTGCTAGAAGGTGTCAGGGAAGCCGTCAGCTTCCAATCTTGCCGGACTCTTTATTGTTATGGTTCATCCGTACATTGTTGTGGGGTCCCTCTGAAAATGCTCATCTATAAGCCATAACCAGTTCTGGTTCACCTCTTCCGTGGCCCTGTTGTAGCGGTGAGATCTGTAGGGCAGTCATTAGAGGCGACAATAGTGCACATCCTCGCGGGACTGCGGGTTGTGGAGGAAATAGTTGTCAAGATCCTCTGCTAAGAATGATGTTAGCTTTTGCTTGGGAGCTAGCCTTTAAGCAGATGAAGTGCCCTCAGTTTGTCACATGGGGTGTGTGTGGATGTGTGTGGATGTGTGTGTGTGTGCGTTGTGTGTGTGCTCACATGTTCACATCTACATGCTCCCCACATGGCTTACATACCAAGCATGTGGAAGCCAGGGAAAACCATTGGCCATCCCTCTCTGTCACTGTCACTGTCTCCTCTTGAGAACAGGCTCTCTCACTGAACCTGGAGCGAGGCTGGCATGGCAGCCAGCAAACCCCAGCCATCTTCTGGTCTCTATGCCCCACCCCCACCCAGCACTGAGGTTACAGGGCCGCACACTTGATTTTCCACATGAGCGCTGGGGGCCTGAACTGGGGTCCTCATGCTTGCAGAGCGAACACCCTGACCCACTGAGCCACCTCCGCAGGCCTGCTACACGTTTTCACCTGGGAGTGTACTGACATGGTACCCAGTCCCTTTTAAACTTCTACCATGTGCCTAGACGCACTCTGCCCCAGAGAACAGTCCAGAAGTGTCATATCCTGAACTGATCTGACACATACATTGTTTTGGTTACAATGTATATAGTGTTTTGGTTACATGTAACTGTCTGAGAGAAGGTACGGCAGCAAGGACAGAGTATGGGTGAGAAACAGGTAGTGACTACTGGTTGAGGGCCTCTTAGGCAGCTCTTCAGGGATTTTCAAGGTTGTGAGGAAAAAAAGCATTCTCAGAGGGAAGAAGCCGTCAACATAGTCCCAGAGAGGCACACGTGCCTGATGCGTGTATGGGCTGGCCTGGGAGACAGTGTTGTCCATCTTGCCAGGGAGAGGCCCTGCTTTCTCCCGCAGACACTTGCACTGCACCCGGAACTACATCCACCTGAACCTGTTCGCATCCTTCATCCTCCGCGCACTGTCCGTCTTCATCAAGGACGCCGCCCTCAAGTGGATGTACAGCACGGCTGCCCAGCAACACCAGTGGGATGGGCTCCTCTCTTACCAGGTGTGTGGTGTGGCCTGGGGAGCCTGGGAAGGGGGGACATCGGTGAGGGGTCTACTGCGGAAGCCTGGGATGGGTGAGGACAGAAGGGGCCCAGATTTGCCCTCAGGGAGTCCCTGTATGATGGGAGAGGTAGTCCATAATGAAGAGTCCCTAGTGCTATGGGAGAGGCAATCTACCTTGGGAAACTCCTAGTCTGATGGGAGAGGCAATACACCACAGGGAGGCCTTAGTCTGATGATGGGAGAAGACAGTCTACCCGGAGATGCCTAGTTTGATGAGAAAGACAGTCCAACACACAGAGCCCCTAGTCTGATGGAAGAGAAAGTCCACCATGGGGAGCCCCTAGTCTGATGGAGGAGGCAGTCCACCTTGGGGAGCCCCTAGTCTGGTGGAGGAGGCAGTCCACCTTGGGGAGCCCCTAGTCTGGTGGAGGAGGCAGTCCACCTTGGGGAGCCCCTAGTCTGGTGGAGGAGGCAGTCCCCCTTGGGGAAACCCTAGTCTGATGGAAGACACAGTCTATCTGGGGCAAGTGAATCCAAGGTAAGAGATTCTGCCCTAGGGAATTCACTTGGACACAGGTTTCTCTGGATGCAGGCCCAAGTTTGCACCCTAGCCCTACCATGTGCTAGTTGTATATAAATTCAGACCCACAGCTTCTCCAGGGCTCAGTTCTCCCAGCATGGGGGCAATAGCAGGTGCTTTCTTCTTTGGATGGGGCGGGGGCTGATGAACTAAAGCAGAGGGTGTCCCCGGTAGCTGCCCTGGCCATATGAAAACCCTTCTATCCCATGTTAACCATGCTAGGACAGTGGCCAGGCCAGGACCGTGAGGAGCGGCGGGTGGGGTGGGAAGCAGGGCTGCTGTCCCCATGGGACCCTTCTCTGTCCCCAGGACTCTCTAAGCTGCCGACTGGTGTTCCTCCTCATGCAGTACTGCGTGGCGGCCAATTACTACTGGCTGCTGGTGGAGGGAGTGTACCTCTACACGCTGCTGGCCTTCTCCGTGTTCTCGGAGCAGTGAGTCTTCAAGCTGTACCTGAGCATAGGCTGGGGTAAGGCCTACTGTCGTTCACCTCCCCACCTCCATGGGTACCCGCGCAAGGGGTGAAACCCTCCCTTAAAAAAATCTCCTTTCTCAATAGATGCTTCCACTCTCATATGGCCAATTATTCCCCTACCTGACCCTTTACCCTGCCAGCACACCCTCAGAAGTCAGGACATTGTCCCCAGAGCGTTTCACACCCAGTGCAGGGCAGCATGAGGTCCTGTGGGAGATGCCGCATCCTGGGCCTGGAGGTGGGCCGGGGGTGAGCAGGGTACGGGCTGACATAGGATGCCATTGCAGCGACGAAGGGAAGTCGGGAGGGGTGAGCAGCCGAGGAGAGCGGAAGACTGCGGATGTGCCTGGAGCCCGGCTGGAAATGTTCTAGCCAAAAAAAGTCTACTGAGATCCATTGTGCCCTTTTTTTTTTGCTGGAACATTTCTGGTTGTGTTTCTGCCTCTCGCCACGTGGGAGCCACATGGAGCGTAGGAAGGACTGCAGTTGCGGGGGGAATGGGTGTGGTGTGGTGGGTGGATTGGAGCCCTGCAGTGTCAGGGAGACAGGTGGGGACACCACGCACAGAGGGCCAGCAAGTACCCCTAGCTGGGACATAACAGAGGACAGGCCTGTGGTCAGCCCTCCGTGATTGCCTCCTGATGTTCCAGAGCTTTCTTCCTCATGCCAAACCTGTAGTCCCTAGAGCTATTCTGACCTCTCCCAGCCTTGCCTTCCAGACACTTCTCAGCTCAGTCAAGGCAAACTGTCCTCTCCCATCCTGGTCCTGCATCGGCCCTTCCAAAATGCTGCTTGGTGCTGAGAGCACCTCTTCATGTCAAGGTTGCCAGCTCGCCCCCCCAGGAAGCTGTGTCAGGTTTTCAGCCCCTTAGGGCCCTGCTCTCTGGTCCTCTCAGCCCCTCTGCACTCTCCTTGCACCCTGCTTATTTCTTCGGGTGCTCCTCAGCCACCTCAGGGATGAGGAGCTCTAATGGGGGTTTACTAGAACCAAAGTATTAAGGTCCCTAAGACGCAGAGAGCAACTGGCCTTTAGGAACAGAGCAGACACTCGCTCACAAGAGGCAGCTGGCTCCTGACTCTGGGACTTGTTGTCTCCCTGCCAAACACAGGTCTTGGCCTCCGCTTTTCTCCTCAGGCCCCTGCTGGTTCTGCTGAGCAGGCTTAGGTCTCTGTACACGTAAAAGTGGCCCTGGCTTTGGCATACAGAGGTCCCCGACAGTCCCTTCCCCCCCCCTCTGAGACCCAGTCCATCCTACTTGATCCTTCCTTCCTTCCTTCCTAGACCTCTTTATCCTGCCAGGCAAACCCATCAGGTGGGGCATCTGGAGCGTCCTGATGCTCCCTAGGGGTGGGTGCAGGGACAGGCCATTGAGGAGAACTCAGGGAAGGGCTTCTTCTGTGTGGGACGATCGCGTCTGTCCATTCTGGGAAATAACATCAGCGCTGTTTGTATCTGTCGCCATAGCAACCTAAGGGCAGGACCAATCAAAGGGATGTGTTCAGAAAAGCAGGGAGTTGGTAGGGGTCAGTGGAGACATATGGTACTCTGGAGGTCTCTAAGTAGGGGATGGGGAAGGGTGCTAGGTCTTTTCGCCTACCCCAGCTCAGGGCTCAGGACCTTCAGGGACATCATCCCCAACCAGAACATCTTTTATTGAAGAACTGGGGTGGGGAGAGACAGAATCAGAGAGAAAAGAAAAGTCAAAGAGACCTGTGTGCTCTATGACTATGCCAGGAGGCCTAGCCCAAGTCGGGCTAGACAGAAAACATCTTGCTTCCTGCTCAGCTGAACTAAAAGTTAAGACTGGTGGAGTTGTGGGAAGCCCTTAAAAGGTGCATCGACTTGTGCTGCCTTCCATGTGCAGTTGGGCATCCTCAGAAGGGCATGAAGTGATGGAGGGAAGACATGGTATCCCAGGACCTGTTCTGTGCATCTGGTTGACCTCTCTCCCCTGGCTCGTCTTAGAGCACCGAAGCCTGGAAGGAGTATGTCACCTTGCAGGTGGCAGAGCCATGCCCCAGTTTCTTTACAAGGTCCTTGTTCACCAGATGTTAGTGAATGGATGAAGCTCATCAGGGCTGGCTGGTGACATGAGCCAGCTCATTCTCAGAATGAGTTCTCAGAGAGAAAGACCAGTAACTGATGGAGGACTTAGAGTCTGAAGTTTCTGTACATGTATGACCTAAGAAATTGCATGGTCTTGTCCAGAGAGCTTCCCTTCTCTCATTGATATAGCTATTCCATTCCCACTGGGCATATTCTATGGGGCAGGGTCTATGCCATGCCCCAGGCCTCCTAGGTTATCCCCTATTTGTTCAGTCCAATGAATGCCTGTTTATAAAGTATCATGGATGTTGGAATGGCTAGTCTGTGTAAAAATGAATAGGGTGGGATAGCTCACTTGATCAAAGTGCTCACTGGATAATCATGAGGACAGGAGTTTGATTCCCCAGAACCCACATAAAAAAGTTGTGGCATACACTTGTAGCTCCAGCACTGTGGAGACAGAAACAGATGCATGCCAAGGACTTACTAGCCAACCAATTTAACCTAATCGGTAAACCCCAGGTTCCCCCAAGAGACCCTGACTCAAAAAACAAAGTACACAGATCCTTAGGAATGACATCTGAGGTTGTTCTTTGGCCCCCACTTGCATGGGTATGTACATTTTTATACACACACCCTTGGGCATAGATAGAGATGGACTCCACACACACACACACACACACACACACACACACACACTATGAATGTAATTAACCTTTTAAACAATAGTAATAGCAAAATTAGTAAATGGACCAACAGGGAGATCTGATAATAGCTGGCCAACTGGTCCATTGTTAGGTCCCCTCCCCTCCCCTTGTCCTATCCCTCCCCTCTCGAATCATGGGCCAGTACAGTGATCCAGACACACAAGTTGCTCAGTAGCTGTGACTGTGTGGACATCAATGAGTTAAGGACACTGATGACGGCGTTTGGAAAGGTTATGAGGTGGTTCTGCCCTGGAAATGTACACCTGGGAGAGATGCCTCCAAACCACACATGCGAGTGCATAGACCCTCCACCACACACACGAACCTGTGTCCACACACTTCAATGTGCACATTGTGACCGACTTCAGACGTCCACGTGACCAGCTTGAGCTAGGCATAGGTGGAGGCAGGTGATGAGAATATTGATGCAGGAAGCCTGAGGGTGGCTGGAGTGGTGTAGGCTTGCAGCCCCAGAATCTGCGCCTACCTGTGTCTTTTCCTCCCGTCCAGCTCCTCATCTGCCCTGAGAAGGAGAACAGCCCACCTGCCAGTTAACAAACACAGACTGAACTCCAGGGAGTCCATTGTGTAGAGCTTAGAAACCAGCCAGATTGCTTTGCCATTGCTATCTAACAGTGATCTCTGAACTTTGCTGCTTAGAGCCACAAACTACTATCTCAGTTTCTGGACTCAAAAGTCTCGAGTTCAACATGGCTGTGCATCCCTGACTCGGAATATCTAGTTAGATCTGTCTGTCAATCAGAGTTGCTGTCATCCAGGGCTTGACCGGGGAGTCTATTTCCAAGCTCACTCATGGAGCTGTGGGCAGGAGCCTTCCATTCCTTGGTGTAGGGAATTCTATGCAGGCTGTCAGGAAACACTTTTGGCACTACCCTTCTTTCTCCTCTCCTAACTAAATGGAGGCAGGGGTAGCGAAAAGGAGAGAGAGAGAGAGAGAGAGGAGAGAGAGAGAGAGAGAGAGAGAGAGAGAGAGAGAGAGAGAGAGAACAACACAAACCACAAGTCTTTAATCCTAGTACTTAGGAAGTGGAGGGAGGAAGATCAGAAGTTCAAGGTCATCTTTGACTTTATAATAACAAGTTTGAGGCCAGTTTGGAATACTTGAGACCCTGTCTAACAACAACAACAACAACAAGATGAATACCCAGAGGTAGTAATCACTGGGAACCATCTAAGTGGCTATCTATAAGCTGTATTAGTTAACTTTGCATTGCTATAATATAATACCTGTGATAGTTGTTATCATAAAGAGAACAGGGTAATTTATAAGATCACCATTCTGTAGATTCAAGTCAAAGATTAGTCAGACCCGTTTCTTTGGGCCTCATGTGGGGGTGTCACATTGCTGTGTTGGGGTACATATGGATGAGTAAATAGTCCCCTTCATGCCAGGAAGAAAAAAAATCTCCTCTTGGAAGGACTGCCCACAGGCCCTATATTCTGAAGACTCCACTACTAGTGTTACATTGATGCTTATCTAAACTCTGGCACTCACTGGGAAGTCTTGTGGCTGCAATTGTTGATTGTGTAGACATCTGTGTAAATGGGACAGGCCTTGTCTCTCTTTTAGGCCTCGAACAGGTGCATGGGGAAGGGAACAAACACCTGAAGGGACTTCTGGGACCTGAAGGAGTGAACTGAGATGAGCATGTGGGCAGATTAAAAAGGAGGACGGAGCATCAGAGTTTCTGGTCCCCTCCTCATCCCGCATGTTCTCCCCACCACATTGTACTGATCTGGTGCTACTCGAGCGTTTGTCCTGGGGTCTCACAGCCAAGATTCTGGAGACAAAGGCACTTGGCACACAGGAGGGGCTGGCCCACAAAGAACTCTGTCAGGAAGCAGGAAGAACGTGGAGCATGAGTATGAAACCCTTCACCTCCATTCTCACAAGCGCGGTTGTAGGGCCGGGAAGGTAGAAGTGCTGGAGGTGTGGGGGTCTGGGGTGTGGAGAGGAACTGGGCACTGTGGCAGCAGCTCTGTCCTGCCAGCTCCTCTCTCCCCTTTGTCTTTTCTTCCCTCCTCCTCTAGGTGTTCCCATGCTGTTTGTCATCCCCTGGGGCATTGTCAAATACCTCTATGAGGATGAGGGGTGAGTGTCCTGCTGCGGGACAGTGGCGGGGTCTCATCCTTATAATCTATGGGATTCCTGAACCCTGGAGCACAAGTTTACTACTTGTTTGGGAAGATCCGTGGGATCAGCGGGAGCTTAGCCTGTGAATTCAGTCTCTGATCTCTACTCCCTGAACCTACCCTGGGATGGTATGATGATCAATATTTGCTGGCTTTTGCAGTGTGTAGTACCTTCCTGATGGCTTTTATGAACATCAGAGTGAATAGCTGTTGTTTGTGTATGATGCTGGGTGTGCATGTGACTGCCTGCAGAGGTCCATGAAGATAGGGGAGAGGCATGGGTCTCTCTGTGTGTGACTCTGTGTGGGGTGTGTGACGCCCTTGCAGGACTCTGCATGCATCTGTGGCTGGGTGGAGCACTTCCCTTGGCCTCGTACACTTGTACCTTTGTCCTGCACTAGCCACTGGGGCCTCTGAGTGCCCAGATGCATGCCTTGTGTGCCTCTCTCTCCCTCCCTAGCTGCTGGACCAGAAACTCCAACATGAACTACTGGCTCATCATTCGACTGCCCATTCTCTTTGCTATTGGGGTGAGTGACTGACAGAGCTGGGGATTGGAATGGAAGCTGGTGGACCTGGCCTGGGGCCAGGCTAATGACTGGGGAAAGGTGAACAGTCCTAGCCTTCTGCCAATATGCTCTGCAGGTCAACTTTCTCATCTTCATCCGGGTCATCTGCATTGTGGTATCCAAACTGAAGGCTAATCTCATGTGCAAGACTGACATCAAATGCAGGTACCTTAACCAAGATGGGTGTAGGAGTGCCCTCAGCTTTCCCTTCCACCAGAGAGAGACTCTGGGGCACTCTCTTTGGAGCCCTGTGTAACCCTCTTTTCCCACCCAAGCCTGGTCTGCACCCCCTAAACTTTTCTCTCTATTCTTAGCAGCCTCTGAGCTTCTGCAATCTTGACCTCTGCACCGTGCCCTCCTCCTCCCCACCACACACCAAGGCACCCTGTCCGGGGCATTTTCAGTGAAGAGTATTCATGACTCAGATAGAGAGGGGGAGGGCACAGAGAGAAAGAGCAGTCTGTGCACGCCGCCTGAATGACACAAGCGGTCTCACCCTATCTCCAGACTTGCCAAGTCCACCCTGACGCTCATCCCCCTCCTGGGGACCCATGAGGTCATCTTTGCCTTTGTGATGGATGAACAAGCCCGAGGAACCCTACGCTTCATCAAACTGTTCACAGAACTCTCCTTCACTTCCTTCCAGGTGACTCACGGCTTGGAGAACTTGCCTGGGATGTCCCAAAGTGAGGGAGGGGCGGGCACCAACCTACATCATATAGGCGGGGAAGAGGAACAGGAAGAGATCTGGGAGAACAATCCGGGCCCCAAGTCACACGGTGGGAGCAGAACCAGAGCGAGTGTCCCCAGGTATTCAGACATAGAAGTCAGTCTTCTCTGTAAGCCCGTAGGACAAGAAGCCTTCCAAGATATGAACCTGAACATCTAGGCATCTAGAGAGAGGTGCTGCCATCCACTGGAATCCTGCCAGGCAATTTATACACACAAAGCATTTGGTCCTCCCAGGACCTACAGTTGTGAGATTGTCCCTACTTAACATAACTGGAAACTGAGGCCTGGAGATGTTGAAACAAGATTTACAAGTTTCTTTACAAGTGGCACAGCAGTTAAGAGCACTTGCTGCTCTTGCAGAGGACCCAGATTTGGTTCCTAGCATCCTTGTGTTATACAATTGCCTGTTACTCCAGTTCCAAGGGATTAGACATCCTCTTCTGGCTTCCAAGGGCTTCTGCACACACATGATACCCACCCCCCCCTACACACACACAGAGCCCAGCTGCCTAGCTGTGGGCCATTGGGACCTAAGTTCAGCAGTTGGCTGGAGTGGGTTCTTCATGCTTTACCTGGTCTAGCCTCCTCAAGAAGTGGTGGAACTTTCCTAGCACCTGAGAAAGGAGCCTCCTGTTTCCTGAAAGGAAATTAAGAAAAAAGCAAAACAAAAGAAACAAAAAAATAAAAACAAAACAAAACAAAAAAGCCTTGTCTGACAGGACTGGAGAGATGGCTCAGTGGTTAAGAGCTATGTTGGCAAAGGGCCTGGGTTTGACTCCCAGCACCCACATGGTAGCTCACAACTACCTGTAACTCCAGTTTTAGAGGAGCTGACACCCCCTTCTGGCCTCTGGGGGCACGGGGCATGTTGTATACAGACATACATGCAGACAAAGCTCTCACGCGCGTGCATGCACACACGCAGGTACACGCACAGACACATTTAAATTTATTTTGGAAATTTAAGAAAAAAAAATTTGCCTATTCCCAAGCCAGCCTGGGCTGCCTGATTTGAGGAGAAGGATCCCAGGGGCTAGTTGCCCGGGTGCCTCCTCTTGGCTCCCTTCATGCTAACACACCTCTTGTTTGCAGGGCCTGATGGTAGCCATCTTGTACTGCTTTGTCAACAATGAGGTAAGGGCTGCAGAGGGATGGTAGGGACCCTGCTGGGGCTGCTGCCATTGGCTGGTGTGGGACTATGCAGTGTGGGTTCGCTTCAGTCTTTCTAGTTGAAACCTCCAGTCCCCCTGACTGTGGCTAAAAACTGAGGTGATATCTTGCCTTTATATTCTACTCTGTGTCCCCAACACACACACACATACACACACACACACACACACACACACACACACACGCGCGCCCCTAATGAAATAAGAGCTAAAGGAAGACCCAGCCTTGTGTTAAAGGGTTAATTGACTATTTCAAGCAGGGGTGTCTGACCTTTTGACCTTGCCTTATGCCACTGCCATCCACAAATGATTTAGGCCACATTTGCCGCTGTCCTAATATGCATGTAGCCCTTAGGCTACAGGTTGGGCACACCTGATTTATTGCAAAGTGATTTCACGCACATGTACCCCAGCCACTCTTGTGGCCTCTGCCCACAAGAGCTGTTCTTCAGATCCAGGAGTTGCCATGGTAATGCCAGGTACTTGTGACCTGAGAAGATGGCTTGAATGTTGGTCTCGTGTGGCTGTCAAGGCCTGCACCAGCTGCTGGTCGGTGGGGAGTGGGTTTAGGGAGGACTGGAGATGGGTTTACTGTAGCTGGTGTCAAGGGCCACAGTGAAGTCGCTCAGGAGTACTCAGCCTGTTCTGCACAGCTAAGCTGTGTGACCTCAGGCTAGCCACCTTGTCATCTTTGCCTCTTCTGCCCAGGGGTCAGTGGAGATAAGAAAGATTTACCAAACCCTGAGCTTGATTGGTATTTAGTCGGGGAAGGATCTTGGGCATAAGTGGTCAGAGGGCAGGGAAGGGTTAACAGTGGAAGGTGCAGATGCCACGCCCGATCATTTATTCATTTACTTCCTTTTAACCATTCATTCATTGGGGTGCAGGCTCTGTGTGCCACCAAGCTCAGGTGAACGCCAGAGAACACTTTGGGGGAGTTGATTCTCTCCCTCTTCCATGTGGGTTCCGGGGTTCCACTTCAGGTCATCAGGCTTGGTGGCAAATGCCTTTGCCTACTGAGCCATCTCACCAGCCCCAGGGTATTGTTTTTTTCATTTCTCTAACTGATCAGTGGGAGGACCTCACATCAGAGGCCCCTTCCTTGGTTGAGTGGTCGTTCATTTGACTCACGGAAGCAGCCTGCAGAGAGTGCCTGCTGTGCGCTGAGCACTGTGCTGGAAGCGTGGGTGCTCAGAGCAGGCAGCCTTGCCTATCCGGTACTCTCTGCTAAGTGGGAGGAGATGCAGCCGGAGACTGTGGCATACAGGAAGCCAGAGGTTAGATGAGGGCGCTGGAGTCAGACTAGACCTGGGTTCTAATCCCGACTGAGCCCTGGGGAAATATTTATAATTCCTGGGGAAATAACGTTCTTCTCCCCTGCTGCCTCCGCTTTACTTGAGGAGTGATGGCTGCTTCCCAGGGTTAACGAGGAAGGGAACCAAAATGGCATTTTGTTTTGGGTGTGTGGATATGTACATGTGCACAAGCGTGTGAAGGCCAGTGCCAGACATCGGTACCAAGTGTCTTCCTTAGACACCCACCACCTTGGTTTCGAGAAACTGTCTTATGATCTGGAGTTCATAAACTAGTTAAAGCCCTAGGGATCCACCTGTCCCACCCACCTCCCCCATCTAGTGCTGGGTTTATAAATCTGAGCCAACATGCTCAACTTGTTTTTAAGATTTAGTTTTGTTTTATGGGTATGACTGTTTTACCCTCGTGTATGTCTGTGTATCCGTGGAGGCCAGAAGAAGGCACTGGATCCCCTGAAAATGGAGTTACAGATGGTCGTGGGCCACATATGGTTACTGGGAATTGAACTCGGGTCCTCTGGAAGAGCAGTCAGTGCTTTTGACTGCTGGAACATCTCTCCAGCTCCCCCTGCCCAGCTTTTTATGTGGGATCTGGAGATCCAAACTCAGAACCTCGGGTTTCTGAAGCAGGTGATTTACTGACTGGCCCATCCTCTGCAGCCCCTGGAGGGTGGTTCTTGAGGACAAGTGATGGCTGGGGCCACCATGGAGGCTCAGAAAGAGTGCCGAGGGAGACAGAATCGAGCTATCATATGCTTTAAGTCTTACTGGTTTAACTGTGCCTCCGTTTACTAAATTTCCCCTCTATTCCAAGTGGGAGACTGTAGGGGATTTGCTTTCCTCCAGCTGGACGGAAGGGCGCCCGCCCCTTGGGCTCAATGTCCCCACCCCAGCTAGGCAAGGCAGCTGCAGGTAGTGTCTGTTATGCCTCCTTCCCTCACCCTCTAGGCCTGGCCTCCAGGCCTGGCCTCCGCGACACTGTCTGGGACACCGAGGCGCCCTGGTAGGCGGGATCTGGGTGATCTTAGCCCTACCCAGTGCAGAAGTTCTTTTAAGGGATGGCATGTGACCACACAGGGTATCTGGCTGGGCTTAGCGAAACGATGACATGGAAAGAGTAGAGGAGGGGTGTTTGCTCAGGGGCAGGTGGGGGCATTGGCAGCGAGCCTCTTGTACAAAGCCGCCGGCCGCTGGCCCTCCTGATGGCTTGGGTCTGAAAGGAACACAATCCCTAGACACTCCTAGATGGAAGGGCTGGTGGCGAGGTTGGAGAGGCAGACAATGAGAAAAACTCCCTGAAGAGTGATCCAGCCCTCAGGACACGCTATGCAGCTTGTAAGAGCTCTCTCTGGAATCCCAGTCCCAGAACTGCCCTGGAGCCAGCATTACCACCAGCACTGGAGGGATTCGAGCCCCTCAGTGTTCTGTGTACTGTTCTGCCCCAGCGATCTAATTCCAGCATCTGACCTTCTAAGGGGCCTCTTCCCCTTGAGAAGGCCTGAGCTCAGCACAATGGGGGATCTGGTTGGCTGAGCTCACCTGGGCAGATTGCCCAGCCAAGCTCCCTTCAATTTCCCTGGATGGGATAGGTTCAAAGCCAGGCACAGAAGTCCTGGGTCTTGTCTAGTCCTTGCTTCCTTCGCCCCTTCCCTGCCCTGGGAGGTCCAGGAACTGAGTGAAAACCTTAAGGGGAATCTGGGCTTGCTAGTTCACACTTGTAATTCTCAGCATTTAAGGGGCTGAGATAGGAGGGTGAAGAGTTTGAAACCAGCCCGGGCTATATAGTGAGATATATGCTGTCAGAAAACAAACAACAGTGACCTCAGACCCAGACAAAACAAAGCAAAAGCTCCCAAGGGAGCTTAGAGGGTTGCAGGGTGTCACCAGGGTTAGGGTTGGGCATGCCTTCCCTTTTCACTTGTCTAAGCCTCACGGTGAGAGCACTTCATAAAGAGAGACCCCATCTTCTCCCGGTTCTACCCCTATCCCTGCATCTCTACCTTGCTCTCATTCTCTTCTGCTAAACAATACTGTGATGGATTGTAGAAGGTACTTAGCTGAATCACCGACTTTAGAGAGAGAAAGGGCCAATTAGGTCATCAAACCCATCTCTCTCCTGAGGAGAGGCAGAAAATAGGAGACAACAATAAACAATTTTATTGGGATATTAATTTAGGCGCCTGAAGACCTTGACTTGTGTCTCTTAATATAATCCAGCGGATTTTTTTCCCTTTCCTGCTAATGTAATAACAGGGCCATTTTGTGGGCAGTTGGTTTGCCTGATGGCTTTCACTTCCCTCTCTCTTTTTTTTTTCCCCACGGAAGGTCCAGATGGAGTTTCGGAAGAGCTGGGAGCGCTGGAGGCTGGAGCACTTGAACATCCAGAGGGACAGTAGCATGAAACCCCTCAAGTGTCCCACCAGCAGCGTCAGCAGCGGGGCCACCGTGGGCAGCAGCGTATATGCGGCCACCTGCCAGACTTCCTGCAGCTGAGCCCCAGTGCTGCGCCTTCCTGTGGTCCTTGCTGCTGGCTAGGTGTCCATCCCAGGTGGGAGCGACCCTCCCAGGGACAGGGACGGGGAGGGACACAGGCACACACACACACACACACACCCCTTGCTTTCCCTTCTCCAAACCTCTCAGACAGGCAAGTGGACAGTGCCTCCCGGGACTGTAGACACATGTTCTCCAAGGAGAACAGCCTGCTAATTTAATCACCCTGGCAGGAAGAGAGGAAGAAACGATTGCGGCTAAAACGAGGAGGACTCCTTCCTGTTAAAGCCACAAGGCCCTTGGGGTTCCCTCGGACAGAACAGCAAATCAGCCCCGGACTCCTACTCAAGGGCATTGCTGGTTAGTGGGGTTGGGACTTGAGAGAGGAGCGCTCCCACAAGAGACCCACGGTTCTAACCTCGGCCAACACAGAGCTTGGCAAGGTGAGCGGCTGCTGCTTTTTGTCTGCCTGGGGTTGCCACCTGCGTCAGCCTCCTCGTGAAAGAAGAGAGGCTTGCTCCATGCTCCTGGGTTGCTGGCATTACCCCGTCCACCTGTTCGTCTCACCATCCATCTTGCCTTGGGACCAGGGGCTTTCTTGGAGCTACAACCCGCAGCTCTCTCTGGAAGTGGCTGTGAGTGATGTTTGGGATAAATACCAAGGAGACGCTCAGAGGTCACTGTTGCTGGTGCCCGCTTCTCACCCAACCCTTTAAGTCACTTTGCTCTCAGCTTCTGATGTGCCTAGTGGTACTAGGGCAAGTCCTATGGTGAGGAGCCCAGACCCTGCGGTGTGAGGTTAAGAAGCTCAAATGCCCTCCTCTCAGGTTCATGTGGAGTCACTTAAGGAATGTCCCCCTAGGAGTGTTGATGACATGAATCTAGATGAGCAAGATATCCATTGCCTCCATCCCTCCACCATATCTGTGACCAGATTCCATGTCTTGGATGGGAATTGGGGTACACCCTCTGAAACCAATAGCTCCTGACATTGCTAAGATGGCAGGCTGCCCCGACTTTGATATCCTCCCACTTTAAACACATATATACACTTATATGTGTATGCAAGTATATACATATATATGTATATATGCACTTTATCCCTTCCCCTTTATTGCGGTGGCTGTTGTGTCTATACCGACATACAATTCTGATTTCTCCCACCAGATAGAAGAACCAAATCATAGCTGTTGTTATGTTTGATGGGTGTGGGGGAAGTGATCGATTTTATCCTCCCCAGACTCCTCCCACACATAATGAGCAGCAGATAGGGCAGGACGGAGGAAAATCAGTCACTCCTACCCCTAGCCACCATGGTAAAGTTGTCAGGGGACAGCAGTGCAGAGACTCAGACCCAAGGACGGCCTCCCTGGGGAAGGCAATGAGTTTGGAGAGGCCATGGAAGCTTCCAGAGCTGGAAAGAAGCCTAGTAGTCCAGACCTCCTTTGAGGTTGGGGTAAGGGTGGCTTCAGACGGGAGTCTCATGTGAGGCCGATCTCCCCTTCATCCTGTGGAAAGTGGGGGACCCTCCCCAATGCTTTCACTAGACACATTCTCCTGTGCTCCTTGGAGAGGCATGGGGCATGTATGGGAGATAATAATGGGCCATAAAATATACCAGGCAGAAAATTTCTTCTCCTTCGGCTTTGACCGAGTGTTGTGTCTATGTTAACAGGGAAGTGGAGCCTCAGGCTAGAGAAAGGCCATGCCGCCTTGCTACCTCCTTAACCAAGACACAGGGTTCAGTGGGGGAAGTGGGCCCAGGATCGTCCACTCCCTAAGAACCAGGGCAGGCTTCCCATTGGGCACCTCTTTCTTGCTTTCCCTCTGGGAACAGTGGACAGATAAGCATGGGATAAACTGGGGACTTTGGAGAATCATTAATTACCCGTGAGTGAAAGGAAAAGACAGATTTAATAGGCCTGAAATAAGGTTTTCAGGGGAGAGATGCTGGAAGAGTGTAGGCAACTCAGTAGGAGCCGTTTATGTGGGGTCCTTCCCCCCTCTGGACTCTGGATTCCCGGCTTCTCCAAGATTTTCAGTGCAGGTTTCCCTTGCCAGACTTGTGATACTGAAGAAATGTTTGCCTTTCCTCAAATCCCCATTCTATTTATGTTTGTTTGAATGGCACCACACTTCCCCTGAGCTCTTTCCAAACTTGCCCAAGCTAAATATAGCTCCCCTAGGCCTGGGAATTATCCAGTGCTATGTACTCTGAGATTCCACTAGCTGTTTACATGCCTCATGCCATAAGTCTAAGCCTGTCATTGCTGAGAACTCTCTGGCTGCGCCTGACCCTGTCCTGGGGCTAATATTGCTGGCCTATAGGGTGTGTATGTAGTGGCTTTGATGGAGATATACAGCCAGTGGGAGCATATGGTAGTTGTAGGTGGCTGCTGGCTTCAGCACTCTGGCCAGCTCCTGGGACCGTGGTAGTGGCCGAAGTCTCAAAGACTCTCATAGGCTACTTCAACCTTTGAACAGCTAAATCATTGAGCTTCACAAATCACTTACACTGCCTTCTCTTTCAAACGACTTTCTGGAAGGCAAGCGTGATTACAATTGCCCTAGCACTCGAGACGACATTAGTGGGGTTCTGGGATGCTTCGTAGGCAGGAAAGATCCTGACAGTTCCTCCTGACCTTGATCTACAGAAGTGAGGAGAGAGGCTTGCAAAAAGGTTTGCTGGGGGCCACAGCACTAGCCTGCCAATGCGGATGGGCCTCTGGGCAGGCCAGGTGAACGCATGAATGGTCATTCAAGATGTGCCAAGTACAAGTCCTCAAGTGACCTGGGATTTATATTGAGGAAATGGAACAGCAAAGGTGAACCCACCACATGGCAAAGGTGTCGCCCCTGGCAAGAGGAATCAGGGTGTGTTTTACAGCATGATCTAGTATCTCCCTCATTCTTGTCTTAAAATTAAGAGATGAGGGGATGGAGAGATGGGCCAGTGGTTAAGACTGTGAGCTGCTTCTGGAGAGGACCCAAGTTCCCAGCACCCACCCACATCAGTAGGCTCATGATCTCTTATAACTTCAGCTCCAGGGTATCTGACACCCTCTTTTGACCTCCACTGGAACCTGCACACATGTGGACATGTGGCATACACACAACTCATGCAAACACATAATACACATATACACAAATAATAATAAATAAAATCTTCAAAAACAAAGAGATGAAATGCATCTGAGCATATCGGACTCAGTATTAGAGAGAGCATGGCATTCTCAATGACTCTCTTACAGTTTTTCAGATTCATCTTCTTGTTAGGAGGCATATGAAGGGACTGAACGAAACAAAATGGTGACCCAGAACTTCAACTTTCCCCCTCTAGTGCTCCCTGAATTTTGGAGCGCTGTCACAAATTGGACCACTAGATGGTACAGCACCCCCAAAGGACAAATAGAGTCAGTTTTCATTCATGCCTGAGCTGGCTGTGTTTCAGCAATCCAAGGGAAAGAACACTATGTGTGCCTGTGTTTGTCCTGTGCATTCCAGTCCAAGGTGAGGAGATGCAGGAGCCAGGTTCAGTCCTCCTCCGCCATGAAGGTCACAGGCCTGCACAGCCGGGGTGGGGTGGGTATGCTGGCTAGGAATCTGGCAGATGCAGCCCCTCCATGCACAGGCAGGGCTTCCATTATCACTAATGCCTGCAACGTGCTCGGGGAAGGCAGAATATGTTTCAAAGCCTTATTTTCCATCTGCTGAATTGATTCTAATCTACAGGGCCGACTCTACTTTTGGCTCCTAGGAGGCAAACTTTTTTTTTTTCAATCCTCAAATAATAAAACACGAGGATTGATTTTGCTAAGACTGCTATGCAAATGGCATGTTAAATATTCAACAGAAAGCAAATTAGCATCAACTCTAATGTCACGGTGGGGTGGGTCCCCTCCTCAACCTTTTTTTTGATAGCTCAATCGAGTTTCCTTGTTGAGAAAAGGGGTCCAGTTTGAGAACCTTCTACCCACATTGCCATGCTCCCATGCTGTTGTCTGCAGCCTGAGCCATTTCTCTGGCCCTGGGGACAACCACATCAAGAAGAATTATTCAGGATCAGCGAGATGGCTCAGCTGGTCAAAGCACTTGCCTATAAGCCAGATGACTCGCATTTGATCCTGGGTCCCACATGTTAGAGAGAACTGATTCCCAAAGTGGTCATCTGACCTCTACATGCATGAGATGGCATGCATATCCCCCAACACATACCCACATAATAAATAAATAATTGTAATTTAAAAAAAATTAAAAGAATAATAGCAGTCACATTGCTTTGGAAAATATTTTTTTAAAGAAGTGTGGGTAAGCAGTGTGCTTTTGGGAGCTTTCCTTGGTTCCATGGTATGTCTAGAGCACAGTTATTTCTACTCTGCTGATGGGATGATTGGCAGGATGTTGTGGAATGATGCTCTTGTACACTGTAAAGATTTGTTGCTCGTATTGGTTTAATAAAACACTGATTGGCCAGTAGCCAGGCAGGAAGTATAGGTGGGGTGACCAGACTAGGAGAATTCTGGAAAGATGAAAAGCAGAGACAAAGTCACCAGCCAGATGCAGAGGAAGCAAGATGAGATGCCTTACAGAGAAAAGGAACCAAGCCATGTGGCTAAACATAAATAAGAATCATGTGTTAATTTAAGTTGTAAGAGTTAGTTAATAATAAACCTGTGCAATAGGCCAAACAATTTATAATTAATATAAGTCTCTGTGTGCTTATTTAGGGCTGAATGGATGTGGGACCAGGCAGAGAAACTTCTGTCGATGGCAGAAAACAGATAAGGTTAATTGTAAATTTGAACAGTAAATAAGACACCTTGTTAGAAACAACAAAGTGCATCAACTTCGGTTTTGTTGTTAAGGACCTCACTGTGTATTGCAGACCAGCCTAGAGTTTTCCAGTCTGAAGGAAAAACAAAAAATAGAACAATATTTTAAAAATAAAATTTAGAGGACTTGAAAGACCTATTAGATGTTGTGGTGGTTTGAATAAAAACGGCCCCCATAAGTCCATAGGAAGTGGTACTATTAGGAGGCATGGCCTTTTATGGATTTGGTGTGGCTCACAGGCAACCCACAGCCACCACATTCTCCTAAGATCCAGAGAGGGCAACATACCCCAACGAATGGAACACCCACTTGACAAAGATAGGACTAGATATCAGCCCCAGAATTGCAAACATCCCAAACTCAGGTGCCTAAAGACAGAACCAATCATAGCCAGGACAAATATGTCTCCACTAGAGCCCAGCAACCCCACTACAGTGGGCCCTGAGAAATGCATCGTAGCTGAGGCAGAAGGCAAGGAGTGCGAAATGGCCGTGATGAGCAGGAGCCTCAGAGGCAGGAGTCTCAGCAACATAATCAGGAGATGGAACAGAGAGACGCTCAGGCATTGCTGACACAGTAGAGGGAATAGATACCTACGTCAAAGAAAGTGCTAGATCCAAAAAAAGGGGGCACAAAACATCCAGGAAGTCTGGGACACGATGAAAAGACCAAATCTATGAATAATCAGAAGAGAGGAGGAAGGAAAAGAAACCCAGGTCAAAGGCACAGAAAATATTTTCAACAAAATTGTAGAAGAAAATGTCCCTAATCTAAAGGAGGAGGTACCTGTCGAGGTACAAGTAGCATACAGAACACCAAACAGCCTGGACTGCAAAAGGAAATTTTCCGCAGCACGTAATGATCAAATCACTAAACGCACAGAACAAAGAGCAAATACTAAATGGGAAAAAGACCGAATAGCATCTAAAGGCTATCTTTTAGACTAGCAGCTGACTTTTCAATGAAGCCTCTAAAAGCCAGAAGGGCTGGACAGATGTTCCATAAACTCTAAAGAGAACTCAGATGCCAGCCCAGATTACTATACTCAGCCAAAGTTACAATCATGATAGATGGATGAAGAGAGGCATTACGTAATAAAAACTAAATTCTGGCAGTATTTTTCTACAAATCCAGCCCATGAAAGGTGCTAGAAGGAAAATTTCAATCTCAAGGTTTCAACTACACTGAAGAAAACACAAAAAATAAATATCAGACCATTAGATCAAAAAGGGCAGAAGCTCATACAACAACAAAATAACAGAAATCAGCAAACACTGCTCACTGGTAATTATCAACATCAATGATCTCCATTCCCCAATGAGAAGACAGACTAGCAGCAAGGATGGGAGAACAGAATGCATTCTTCTGCTGCATCCAGGAAACACGGCCACATCAAGGGTAGACATCACCTCAGGGTAAAAGGATGGAAAAAGATATTCCTAGCAAATGGACCTAAGAAACAAGCTGGCAACGCCATTTTCATACCTGTCATAAAGACTTCAAACCCAATTAGAACAGATAGAGAAGGGCACTACATACTCATCAAAGGAAAAATCCACCATGACGATATTGCACTCTTAACACACACCCGACACAAGGGCACCCAGGTTCATAAAAGCAACATTACTGCAGCTAAGTCACATATTAATCCTCATACAGTGATAGTGGGCGGCTTCAGTACTTCACTCTCCCCGATAGATGGGTCATCCAGACAAAAACTAAACAGAAATGCTGGAGTTAACTGATGTCCTAAAACAGATATCTACAGAACATTACATTAAAGCACAAAAGAATATGCCTTCTCTGCACCTCATGGAACTTTCTCCAAAGCTTATGTCTACATACTTGGCCATAAGGCAAGTCTCAACAGATACAAGAAAACTGAACTAACACCCTGCGTTGAAGAATATTACTTTAACTATGACAAGTTGTGTTTGTTTATGCTGCATTTGTTTAATGATATAAAGATGCGTTGGTTTCTTTGTCTGCCTAAGGCACCTGATTGGTCTGATAAAAAGCTGAACAGCCAATAGCTAGGCAGTACAAGGATAGGCAGATCTTATGGGGAGAGAGACTAAGTAGGAGGGGGAATCTAGGCTCTAGAGAAGAGAGAATGAGGAAGAAAAAGAGGAGAGGGGGATGCCCAGGGCTGGCCAGCCAGGAGACTACCAGCCAGACAGACACAGAGTAGGACATACAGAATGAAAGGAATGAGGCAAAATGTAGATGATGAGAAACAGGTTGAATTAAGTTATAAGAGCCAGTGGGACAAACATAAGATAAGGCCAAGCATTCGTAACTAATAATAAGTCTCTGTGTCATGATTTGGGGGCTGGCAGTCCAAGAAAGCCTGCTACAACCCTGCATGCTACCTGACCACCATGGGTTAAAGGTGGCTATCAATAACGGAAACAACAGAGAGCTTACAAATTCATGGAAATTGAACAACAAGCTTTGGAATGAGGAATGGCTCAAGAAAAAATTAAGGAAGAAATTAAAAACTTTCTAAGTTGAATGAAAATGAAAACCCAGCACCCCCGAACTTATGCGACCCAAAGAAGGCGGTTCTAAGAGGCACGTTCATTGCGCTAACTGCATTCAGAAATGCTCCATGTTTCCACATTTATGTGACTCATGGATTACAACCCACAGTTACAAAGCTGGGCGCAACAGAGCCATAGCTAAGCTCAGTCATGGGCAGTCCAGAAAGATGGCGTGAGGGCTGTTGTTTGAGTCACTACATCTTGTCTATATAGGAAACAAGACAGTGCCTGCTTCCCCGGCTCCTCGTTGATCTTCTGGCTCTGTCATCCTTCAGCTTGCTCTACGGAAGATAAGAATATGTAATCCCAGCTACTCTGGAGGCCAAGGCATGTGGGCCACAGTTCAAAACCTGCTTGGGCTAGAGAGTGAGAGTCAAGGCTAGCCTAGACAACGTGGTAAAACCGGGCTGGTGGTGTGCTACAGCTGTGAGCGCTTGACATGCTTGCTAGCATGCAGGAGGCTCTAGGCTCAACCCCTGCTCTCAGGAGAGGAAAACAAAAAGCTCAGCCTTCACCTCCACCCCACACACTGTCCTCCCAACCCTGCCGCTCTTCTGAGGAAGTCCTCTCATAATTGTGTCTACCCCGTGATGCCAGGAGCATGGTTTGCAGCTGGAACATCTGTCTGATTATCCCCCTTCTTTCTTTCCTAGGCATCCTTTCATGTCAGTTCTTTTGTGGTGATTTCTGCTGAAGGTTCTGAATTTCCAGTCAAAACTTCATTACCATTGTTTAAAGATTTACTTTATTCTTTAGCTACGTAGGTAGCTGTGTGTCGGTAGGTGAGTGTATGCATGTGAATGCCCAAGACCGAGGCCGGAAACACGCACTGGAGCTGGAGTTACAGACAGGTGTAAGCCACCTGATGCAGCTGCTGGGACCTGACCCCAGGTCCACTGGAAGAGCATCATGTACTCTTCGATTGCTGAGCCGTGTCTCCTGCCCTCCAGTTAGAACGTTTAAGAATTCGTCTTTGTGCTGATGTCAGATTTCCACGCTGAGGCCACCAGCCTAGCTTGCGGCAGGTCAGTGGCTGGGATGACTCCTCACTGTCACACCAAGGCTATCCTTCCCGTGTGCTCGCTTTCACAATTCTCTCTTCCTTTCCTTCTTTCCTTTTCGTTTACTCTGTGATGAGAGGAGGCACCCCCTGAGACCTTGGAATAAGAGTGCAGAAGAAGAAAAAGTTTTGAGGACCCCCACGCTTGAGGATGGGGTGTGGAGGGAAGTATAGATTACAAAGGAAGCATGGGGCACTTTGGGGCTAGATGGATGTAATTATTTGATTGTAAACAATAATTTCAGAGTTATATGCATTTGGCAAAATTCATTAAATTGTGGCAGTATATTATGGCATGTCAATTAAATTCCAATGGGGCTTCAAAAATATGAAGAAAGGCATACACACACACATATTATATATATTTGCTAAGACCCTATGTTCTTAGCAAGTCCATGGGGAAACAGTTGCTCTCAGAAGTGTTGGTCTTACTCAGAAGAAATAGCACAGTCTTGCTCAGGAGAAATTAGATAATATGCACACAACTGACAAATACATTTAGTCTTTGGCCACTTTTGAGAATCTGAGCTGAGGGCCAAGGCTGTAACCCAGTGATAGATACTTGTCTACATTCAGATCCCAGTGTTACTGAGCGCCTTCCCTCCTTCAGCCAATAGCCGCTGAGATACCAGCCCATTGGGGCGTGGTTTCTCTCTCTCTCTAAAAAAGCGGCCACTGCCCTCCGCCGGGTTCTCTGGCTTCCGCTAGGCTCTTTGGCTTCCGGCTCCACTTCTGGCGACTAGGCTCCCTTCCTGATTGCACAGAGGGCTGTTGTCTGGGACAGTGATCTGTAAGTTTTTCTTCCTTAAATAAATAACCATTCTATTAATCATAATTCCAAACTGGTATGGGATTGGTTGTGACCTACGCCTTTATCCCAGTACAAAAAAAGAGAGAGACCATATGCAAATACACACAAAGGGAAACAGAAATGACACCTGTGCAACACTATTCGTCAATGCTCCATTTGTAAGAGCAAAGGAGCCATGAAATCTCCATAAACAACAGCGCAGTACAACTGCTCAGCGAAGCACTGTGCCACTGAAAAGAAATGAGGGCACTCTCGGAAATACTGCTATGGAGAGGCCCAGAGGGACGGCTCAGCAGTTAAAAGTAGACACTGCTCTTGCAGGTGACCCAAGTTCTGAGCACCCACATCTGCTTCAGAGGATCCCACATATCCATCTAGACTCCACGGGCACATGCCCTCACACAGATGTGCATACCTAAAAATAAAACAAATCTTTAAAATATGTATACTGCTATAGCATTGTCTACCAGGAGCATTATCAAGTGGCAATACAGAGCTACGGAATACTAAGTACATCATATTCCTGAAAATGCGGCACATCTTGATCAGGATAGTGGCTGCTGAGGGTGTATAAACCTCCACTGAGCCGTGCATTCGAGATCAGCATGCTTTATATAGAAGCTGCATCTCCATGAGTTTTTCTCTCCTTAGATAGAGGAAGGTAAAGGAGTGAGAGGGGCCTGCGGAAGTGCAGACAGTAGGCATGCGACCTAGGAAAAGGAAGGACTGGCTAGCTGGAATGTATGAAGTGACAAGAGTTTCTCCTCTCTGCTCTCGCTCCCTCTAGCCATCCCTTCCTTTTTGTAATTGAAAGACTTAAGCATGTCTAAATGACAATGGCTGATGGGAAGATCAATTAAAAATGTTAGACTCGTGTGTGTGTGTGTGTGTGTGTGTGTGTGATGGAGCGTGCCTGTAATCCCAGCTCCTGGGAGACTAAGGCACAATAATCATGAATTTACATACAGCAATCTTGGTCTACATAGCTAGTTCCAGACCAACCTGGGCGACACAGTGAGATTCTGGCTCCAAAACAAAGCAAACAACGCGAGTGAGATGGTGTTTTACACGGGAGAGCTGAGGTGCAATCACGAAGACACTCCCCAGGAAACAGGGGTGGTGGGGGATGTGAGAATCCATGTCTAAACAAAGTGGTCGAGACATCCCCACTGTCCCAGGCACAGAAGGGGAGGACGGGGACAGACACAGAGGACGCAAAGGATTGGGAACATCAGACACAATTGTCCTCTGTAAATGAACGAGGACAACATGGCATGAGGCAGGAGAAGTGTGGTAGTAGGATTTAGAAAGAAAGAATCTTTCAGGAAGAAGGATAGACAGGAGAATATGTAGGCTGGTTAGATATCAAGTACTTACTTTGAAGGTCATGTGACTTTCTCGGACAGCGATACGTGGAAGCCGTATGATGGCTCCATGCATGAGCCCAGTTTGCCCAGTTGTCACCAGTAAGAGAGGGGACGGAAAGAAAAGGTCATTGCCCGGGGTGTTAGTAAAGTGGTGGCCACACAGCCAAAGATGGCTACATAGAGAGGGAAGGGAAGGGGAAGGCTGATTGATTCCAGGTAAACAGAGGGGTGAGGGACTGAGGTGCTGGAAACAGGCCAGGAGGCAGGAGGATGAGGCCAGAAAGGGAACGCTTGAACTGTGGGTGCAGGACATCTCCAGAGGATCTCTGGCTGAGACAGCTGAGGTGAAATGAGAGTCTCACACAGAGATTAAAAACTGTGTGAGTCGGTGGTGTTTTTTTTTTTTAAGAACACTACTCAGTCACAGGTTCATGTAGTAATAATGTCTTATGTGTAAATATACCCATGTATGTATGTATGTACATGTGCATATTTATGTGTGCGCATGTATATATTTAAGTGTGGGCATGTGTATACTTATGTGTGCACATGTGTATGTTTATCTATTGCACATATATGTTTGTGTGTATGTACACATATGTATTTATGTGTGCACATGTGTATATTTATGTGTGCACATGTGTATTCACATATTGCACATATATGTTCGTGTGTATGTATATATTTATGTGTGTGCATGTGTATGTTTATCTATTGTACACATATGTTTGTGTGTATGTACATGTATGTATTTATGTGTGAGCATGTGTATGTATGTGTGCGCATGTGTATATCTGTAGGAGGCATGGAGATGAACTAAGGGAACCTAGAATGTTAAACACACAGGGTTGTTCATTCGGAGGAAGGGATGCATAACCTGTTATCCATCCAGGCTGGGAGTGGATGGGATTAATAGCCTGGTGTGACCTTTGCACTATCTGTGTGCAGGAGACCACACTGGACGGAACCTCCCCAAACTCTGGTAAGCTCTTCTTAGTCAGCGTATAGAGCCCATCTTTATGGAACATGTCACGTGTGCTTTACAAAGACTTTGATGCAGTCACGTCCAGTCTTTATTTGGCTCACTTGTACCTCAAGGAGATCTATGCATGCTTTATTGTGCACACGGGACTGAGTTAGTTATCGCCAGGGAAGTTTCCCCCAGATTTCAAGTTCACCATCATCCTCTCCACTTCAAACTTTCCAAACAATGTTCCTTTGATTACCTCCAAAAATTCTGGGGCCGTGTCACTTGGGGATGTCCTTATCCACCCTCCACTATTAAAGACTTGGCTCTGCCCCCCCTTTTATTGTCTTTATTGAGCTATACATTTTTCTCTGCTCTTGGCTCTGCCCTTTAAGTTGTTTGCTGGAGATTCTTGGTGAAACTCTGTAAGAATCACAACACCTGCTGCCACTAAAGCGGTAACTCATAGATTAATTCATCAATAATTTGTTCTTCCTTCCTCCTCCTCACCAACGGGCATTACATACCAACAAGGTAATGATGTTATAGAAATTAACTTATGTCATATTCTCTGCAAAGATCTGCAACTCCTATATACAAGAAATTATAGAGCTGATAATGATGGGAAGGGCTCTTCTTAAACAGCTTACTGGTAAAGAGCCTACGGACATCAGTGTGCCATTCGGTCAAATGCAGGTTGGCTATTTGTTCCACCTGGATAATACCTGGCAGGAAGCAGTAGCATGTTACTCTGGGTGTAAAGATAGTCATTACCCTATAGATGTAAAGATAATCATTACCCTATAGATGTAAAGATAATCATTACTCTATAGATGTAAAGATAATCATTACCCTATAGATGTAAAGATAATCATTACCCTATAGATGTAAATATAATCATTACCCTATAGATGTAAATATAATCATTACCCTATAGATGTAAATATAATCATTGCCCTATAGATGTAAAGATAGTCATTACTCTATAGATGTAAAGATTTTTTTTAAAGATACCCCATGGGTATTACAAAAATTATATCTAAAAATTCTAGATAGAGATTGATTTTGATGCTTTTACAGGTGGCTCTTCAAAAGGACAAGGAGCTTACGTCTTATATACAAATTCCACACCCTCCACAAAAAGATCGTCCCCCGTCCTTGGTTGAGCTCAACAGTCTGAACTTGCTGTAATCAATCAGCCGTTATTGGATGTTTCTCAGCCATTGAGTGTTTTAACTGACTCTACATACTGTGATCAAACTGTTCCTCTTTCAGAAACTACAAGACTTAAACCTAAGCCCACTACTGTTATTTCACAATCCTGTCTGTCCCTTCAGACATCTGTACGACAAGGACAACCTCTCTTCATATCTCCTTTCCCTGCTGATTCTAATTTGCCAGGTCCCTTGACATCTGCCAATACTCAGGTCCATGAGCTGAGCCGGCCTCCTTGCCCCTAATACTTCCTTTTCAGGCTGCTCAAAAAAAAAAAAAAAAAAAAAAAAAGTCCTATGACCGGCTTCAACTTCTTGTTCTTCTTTTACACCACTGCCCTCTACTGGCAGAATTAATCCTTGCCAGTTAAAATCTAACTTCATTTTGACTTCAGGTTTTGACTCATACCTCAGAATCAGGATGCTTAAAAATATGTTCATGAAATGGTTGATACTTTTTCTAATATGATTGTTGCTTCTGCTTACAAGGGTGAAACAACCTCAGGTTCGATTCATCATTTATTATACACCTTCTACTTCCTAGGCCGCCCGCTACAACCAAAAACTGATGATGGCCCTGCTTATGGTAGCAAACGCTATAAGGAATTTTGCAATTTATGAATTATCAGTCATATTATTGTGATCTCATACAACACAGAGGATCAAACTATTGTTGAATGGCACAAAAAAACTCTTAAATGTCAACTTTAAAAATATTTATATACAATATTTAATACTTATATGTATACAGTATTTGTCATTATATATTGTATATGTAACACATATACACTATTTATTATTAATATATACAGTAAAGTATGTTACAGTATACAGTATAATATTAGGAGTATAGACATTTACCTATGCTAACTTTACTTTTTTTCCACTGTAAAGGATAATGCTTCTTCTGCTTCCCCCAAACATTTTACCCTTAAGGAGACACAGCCTAAGGTACATGTTTTTATGCTTTTTTAAAGATTTCCAGTCCCGGGAATTATTACTGAGCTACGAAGAGAGGTCTCAAAGATGTCCTGCATGGTAAGTAAAGCTACTAATATTACAGCAAAAATATTAAATATTAGCAGAAATCGACCAAGAGATGGGTGACCTGATTATTTGTTGGTCAAGCATCATCTTGGTTGTCAACAATTTCCTGGCATGGGTGGCTTTAATATGTCAGATTTTTCTCCTATGATCAATAGTCAAGCTAATGATTTGCATAAAGAGATAAACGCAATCTCTCAAGTGACCTATGAATGTCCATCATGATTAACGTGGCTTTCCCCTTTCCTCGGTCCGTTGTTTGCTACTCTTATAATTATGTGATGCCTGCCCATATTAGCTAGATTAGCCATGCAGGCAATGGATTCAACATCGGCCTCTGTTACAGCCACAATCTTCTCTTTGAAAAATAAAAATGGGGTGATTTGGGAGGCATGGAGGTTCTTGTGCTTACAGATAAGCCCTAAGGGAACCTGGGATGTTAAACATACAAGGTTATTTCTTCAAAGAAAGGCAGGCATAACCTGTTTCCCACCCAGAAGTCTAGGAGAGGATGGGATTAATAACCTGGTGACCTTTGAACTCTCTGTGTGGGTAAGACCACACCGGATCCTCCCCCAGACCCTTATTGTAACCTTATTTTTCGCAGTCAATATAACCTAGCCTTATGGAATGTATGTTATGTATTGTACAAAGAGTTTCAGTGCAGTTACGTCTGATCTTTATTTAGCTCACTTTGTTCTTTAAGGAGATTTACGTAAACTTTATTGTGGACACAGGATTGAGTTATTACCGGGAAGGTTTTCACCAAATTGTGCTGTGCTTAAATAAGCCTAAAATAAACCACTCAAGGTCAGACTCCTGATGTTTGAACTCACATCAGCTACTTAGCCATGTTGAACAGAACTATCTTCTTGTCCCCTGAGGATCGTCACTTTGTTGACCATGGTGGTCACAGAGACCCCAGATACATGTATGTGTGTGTATATTTATGTGAGCATACAAGTGTGTATACATATATAATGTGTGTATTTTGTGCACGCTTATTTATATGTACATTTGTATGTTTATGTATGTGTATACTTGTCTATTTAGTATATAAATATGGATATTTATATGTATGTATGCATGTATATATTTGTGTGTGCCCCTCTGATAGATTTTCGTGTTGCCCAGGTTAGCCTCACACTCCCTATGTAGCACAGAATAGTATACCCTCCTGACCTCCTCTCCCCAACCTAAATTCTGGGATAATAGACATGCACTGCCAGCCTGGCTTGTACAGTAGTGGGGATTGTACCCCATTGCTTGTGCATCCTAGGCAAGTGCTTTACCTACTGAGCCACATCCCCAGCCCAGGCAGGAGCTTAAAAGTCTAGTTCCTGTACAACATGATAACCAATGGATACAAACAACATCCCCAGTATGTCTACCAATCCTCAGGACAGTTCTCTCTGCTTCCATTCCTGGATGTGTTTGTGTCCAGTCCTGAGTGTTTTGGATGTCCTCACAGTGGCAACTTTGTGCAGGGGAATCGTAGGAGGCCTTGTTTTGGCCTCTCACAGCTGAGGTCTGCGAGCTGGTGCTAAGATGTCTTTGGGTGAACATTTCACCCCGTGTGACAGGGCACACGGATCTCCCCAGCCACTGGCTCGGCCCCTCACTTCCCACCGTTCTTTTCACAATTTCCCATTTTGAAATCCTGCTGGGCTCAGAATGTCCCTTTGAGCACAGCATCTCCAGTCCCCAGTTAGGGAGGGACTGCGTGGAGCTGACGAACGTGGCTGTGGCCTCTGAGCTCTATTGTTGGGTGGTATGAAGGCCCTTCTCTGGAGCTGATGTGATACTTTGATGTGGGCCTGTCTTCTCCTGCCAGCTGGGAGCAGCAGGGTAACGGAATACTTGGTGTCCGATGTGGGGACCGAGATTTGGGTCTGAAATGCATTTTCTCCGCGCAAACAAGATGAGACCCAGTGATGTGGCCGAGGCTGTTAGCCGCTCACCTTTCCGAAAAGATGCCATCTGCTCGGAACAAGAGTAGGCTCTGACATGCGGGTGCCCCCAGGGAAGCAGCCATGGCAGCAGCTGGTGTTAATGAGCGGGCATGAGGGACTGCTCCCGGCGAGCCCTCCTCTGAAGTCACTGCCACTAGCGGCAGCGCAGGGGACACAAGGGCTCTTTCTCTGGGCTGGGGCAGCCTGGTTTAGGACTCAGGTCACTACAGCAGAGGTCTCAAGTCCTGCCTGCACCCCCAGTGTCACCGCCGGATGATGTCCAGGACCCTGAGGCTGGCCCTGCTGGCTTTGGCCTGTACTGTGGATCTGAGCTGGGCCAGTGGCTTCACAGGTGAGGGATCTAGGGGTAAGTTTGGAGAAGGGGCTTCCTAGGAGTGGGTCTTAAGAGGACAGTGCCTGCTGGGACCCTGGAAGGCCACAAGCATCTTCTCTGAGAGAGGCATCCTGTCCTGACTTGCCACATTGGCTGTACCTATAGCAACAGGCTACCTGGGTCTGTGTACTGGGTATGCGCACAGAAAGAGGGAGGATGCCTCCCGGTGCCCAGGGTCTATGGGGTTGAGACACAGATTTTGAGCTGGGTCTGTGCCTGAAGCACTGCATATCTGGAAGAACTGATGTGGACAATGGGCTCCTAGGTGCCCAGAGGAAAGGTCTTGCGTATCAGTCAGGGAAGTCAGGGTGGTTCATGTTCTCAGGTACAGAATTAGAGTGAGCCATGTAGCGAGGGAGCTGGCCAAAGAGTTAGGAAGTACATGGCTTACAAAGTTGCTTAAAAAAAACACCTTGTGGGGTTGAGATGCAGCTCAGCGTAGCCAGCATGTGTGAGCCCCGGCTCCTATCCCCAGCACCCCCTAAACCAAACCAACGTAGCCAAACCTGTATCCCTGAAACCGCAGACCTCAAGGAATTGATTGTGAACCTTGTGAGTCTTTTTTTTTTTTCTCTCTCTTAAAATCTATCTGACTTGGTTGGGATTTTAGAGACTCTGTTTGTTTCTAAAGTCACCTCCGTTTCTGTGCCAGGTCCATGTTGTTCTCTATCTAGGGAGGGTTTTTGTTTGGTGCTGTGTGTATGAGCCACAAAGTTTAGTCACGGGAAGAGTGGGGCATCAGGAGGTTCATAGAGATCTTAAACGGGAGGTGTGATCCTCTCAGTGTTCGTGTGAGGCCACGGGACAGAGCACGGCCTTCCTTGGGGTTACTTGCTTGCTCGCTCTTCACCAGGAGAGCCATCGAGCCCGCACTGACTCACCGCTGTGTGGAAGGTATTAACTTACTGCTTTACCCTGAAACTACAGGACGTGGCGATTATTTTATGAATGACAGGGTCAGGACTCTGAGAAGTATAACACATTCTTGGGGACTGCTCCATCCGCGGCATAGTTTGGCGTCGATGGCTTTGTGTATATGCAAACAGAGGGATGCTTTTGGTATTTGAAATGACAAGGCCTTGACCAGGACTGGCGGGGCTGGGCCTAAGTCCCATCCAACAATAGAGACCTCTGTCCACTTGCCTCCCATATACTTCACAGTGACCCAGGGCTCCCCCTGCCCCATGTCTTGCTAACGCATCCTCGACGGTCTCCTCTGCAGAAAACGGCCTCTCGCTGCTGAGCTACCAGCTGTGCAGCTATCCAGTGACCCGAAATGTCCAGAGGCTGCAGGAGGTGCAGACCTCACACACAGCCTATGTGCACTGTGGAGCATGGATCCCGTGGAAAAAGTGTCCCAAGACCGTGTACCGGACCCAGTACCTGGCTGTGGAGGTCCCTGAGTCCAGGAATGTGACCGACTGCTGAGAGGGCTTTGAGCAGCTTGGCTTCTACTGTGTTCTGCGTGAGTCCGGGACAATGGGGCAGGGTGGGGCGCTGAGCTGGAGGGAAGAGTTGCTGGGATTGTGTGTGCAGGCCTGTGAGGTTTCCCTGAACTACTAGAGCATTGCTGTTCAGTCTTGATTGTACCCCAGGAGCTTATAGGATACTCTTCACAGCTCCTCCACCCCCAGTTTCTGATTCCATAGCTCAAGTAAAGTACAGGGGTCATCAGTCTTTTAACACGTGCTGGAGAGACACCATGGGTAGAGAGCCTCAGTGGTCCTCAGACCTCACTGGACAGCGAGGGCTTCTGTGCACCATGCAGTGATCTCAGAGCTGGTAATGGAACTGATCTGAGCCCAGCATGAGCTTCTGTGGCTTTTAAAATGTTGAATGGTTCTAACACAGTGGCATTTGAGACCCAGTGTCCCAGCCTCTCCAGCAGTGGAGGCCGCCTGCCCCCTCTTTCCAAGGCTACTGTGAAACTCTTGTCTCAGCTGGAATCCTAATCTAGATTCCACTAGAAAGAGATGGAGGGGCGGGCTGGGCTTCCTGCCTCTCTGCCCAGAGGACCCCGTATCCTCCACCTCCCTGGTACAGGCTCATAGGTGGTGCAGGCTGGTTACCCAGGTGATCCATATGGCTGCCCACATCACGGCTGTAGCTGGGTGCGGCTGGGGATTCAGGGCCCAGCTCCTAACTTAGGAGGGTCTCCTGGCAAGGGACATGGCGTGGGAGACCATCTCCTGGTAGGCAATGCAATTGGACTCAGACTGCGGCTCAGCTCTGGCCTGTGTGAGCCCAGTCACAATGTAACTGGGACAGTTGTGTCCGTCACCACAAAAGTAGGAAGACGGGGATAGAAGTTTTACATTGCGTTGTATTCAGAGAGCCTGCAGTCTGGGGAGGAGGGTGGTGGCAGCCCCAAGAGCTGCCTGCCTCTTACCCCTAGCCAGCAAGCTTTATAGGGATGGGTGAAAGGCAAGTCAATCGTCCTGAGTGGTTGCCCTCTGGCCAGGTGGTCAGCCTTGTCTCAGGTGTCCCTGCCTCCTTCCTTATGAGTCCTGGCATTCCTCCTCCATTCTGTGGACATTTGGGCTTAGATGCTGTTTTCATTTTTAAGTGGCTTCAGAGGTTGGGTATAGTTCGGTGGTAGAATGTGTGTCTTAAAAATGCAAGCCTCTGGATTCAGTCCTCAGCTCCAGGGGAGAAAACACATAATTATTTACGTGTGTGTGTGTGTGTGTGTGTGTGTGTGTGTGTTTTCAGAGGACAACTTCTGGAAGCCACTTCTCTCCTCCCACCATGTGGGTCCTAGGACTCAAGCTCAGGTTGATGCTCTGTATCAAGCCCCTTAATCCACCTCGCCAGCTCAGGAGGTGCTGCTTTGTAACACACTGAGTCAAGTGAATGTCTGCCAGTATCAACCTCACATGTATCCAAGGACGTCTAGGTTAGGGATGGGGTAGGGGTTCACTCATAACAAATGAGCCATTAAGAGCGGTTGTGCTAGGTTATTAATAAGACACAAAATCATAATACAATATGCAATACAAAAAGAGTGCCCCGTCTTCCCTCCTGCCCCCAATGAAAGACATTTTCTTGTTCACCCAGTACAGCCTATAGGGGAACCTGAAACCTGAGGCTAGTAGTCCCAGAGAGGGTAGCAGGGGAGGCATCTCAGGACATGGAGGACATCGGTGATCATGGACACAGAGGCTCCTTTGTCACCCTCAGTAACTTGATGGGTCCTCTCCCCTCCTAGAGACCTCCATTCAGGAGAAACCAGGATTGGTGGCTCCGTTGCAGGAAAGGATTCCAGGATGGGGCAGTATCAGAGAGTCAGCGACAAGTTAGGGGTCATCTTGTCCCTAAGTTAGCAAGCTTTATTGGTCATCTTTGAGACATCGGTAGGAAAAGCCATGTTATCCAGGCTGGGCAGTTTGTGCTTCCTCAGGGGGCTTGAGGTCTCTTGTCTATCAGCAGAAAAGATGAAATCGGCCCCTTCCCTTCCTTCCCCCTCCAGGGCACATTCCAGGAGGTCAAGCTGCGTGCAGCAGCCCCAGTTCTGCTTGGCCCCTCTCCACCTGCCAACAATTTGGCAATCTTGCTCCTTGTAAGAATCCAGGACCTGCTGGGTCAGGGCACCTCCAACCTCCCATCTCCATGCGGCTGCCCAGGGACCCCTAGGGCTGACCAGTCTGAGGAGCAGAGGAAGGAGAGCCAAGAAAGACAGTGCCCGCCAGCCGGGGATTCCTTAGCCCTGGGCAGCCTTAGAGACTGTGGTCCAAATAGGAATCTCCGGGCAGCCTGGCTGAACTGGAACTCACTGGGTTGCCAGGCGCTGAGCAGGGCTGCTTCAGTGTTTGCCTTGAGTTGAGAAAGGAGAGATTTTTAACTTTCTACCAAGTTGACTGGTTATTCCTTTAGGGCATAGGGTCAGTCACCAGCCCAAGCGGGAAGGGGAATTCCCAGCTGCAGTCAGATTGAGATGAAGAACTTCTGTTCCAGAACATAGAGCCTGTTCTATCCTTCCTTCCTTCCTTCCTTCCTTCCTTCCTTCCTCCTTCCTTCGTGTGTGTGGAGCCAAAGAACGACCTCAGTTGTCACCCTTGGATACCACCCATCTTTTGTTGAGCAGGGTGGTATCCTGGCGGGCTCTCCAATCCAGCCATGCTGACTAGTCAGTGAGCCCTAGGGATCCAGCTGTCTGTGACTCCCAACTGCTGGGCTGACAAGGGTGTCCCACTACACAAGGCTGTTTTTACCTTTTCACCTGGGTTCTGGGACTTGAACTCAGGTCCTGGTGCTTGTGTAGCAAGCATATTGCCAATCTCTCCAACCTGGAGCCAGTTTCTATGGGGTCAGCTATATTTTCTTCTTTATTTCACTAAAATAAAGAATGGAGTTTCGAATTGTCTCAGATCTACAGAAGATGTGCCTAGAGCCTGCAGCTCAGTTTCCTTCACTGTCAACATCTGTCCTGACTAGGACATGCTTCACAGCCCACGAGTGTGACTGATGTCAAACCTCAGGCTGAACTTGGACTTTGCCCACCCTCTATTGCCTTTCTATGTCTCAGGACACCTTATCCCCACATCCTCCTGCCTGCTTGGCCCGAGGCCTTTGGTGATCATGTCAGATGGGCAATGTCCAGCTCTTCCGTGCAGACAGCACAGGGATCCCTCAGGCCTTCTTTGACCTCCAGCTCCTCAGAACTTGACCCAGTTCAATCCTTTCTGGAACCTGGACATTGTATATTCAGTCACCCAGATGCCAAGGAAATGAAGGACAAACCCACAGCTTGGAATTGACAGAGTTACTAATCGTGGCCTTCAGCCATATGTGTCCAACAGCAAGATGCAAAGCCCGGGATTCCTGAGCAGGGCCCATACCACTTTATGTGTTGTTTGCTTTGGCTGAGCATCTGTCCCTGGGACTTGTTCCCAACAGAAGTAAGGCCACGGCTCTCTTCATTAGCTACAGAAAGTTCCATAGACCCTGGGAGACCCAAGAGGATTCTCTCTGAGACTGCAGCATCTCCAGATTGCCTTTATCCTCCCCAGGGCCCTGCTAACCTTCCTCCACCCTCATGGGGGTACTGTCTTAGTTACTCTATTACTAGGTTCAGAAAGCATGACCAAGGAAACTTATAAAAGGAAGCATCTATCTGGGGCTTACTGTTTCAAATGGTCAGCATCCATGGCCATCATGATGGGGAGCAGGGCAGTAGGCAGGCAGACATAGCCCTGGAGCGGTAGCTGAGAGCATACATCTTGATCCACAAACACGTGGCAGAGAAAGCCTAATTGGGAATGAGGAGGGCTTTTGAAATCTCAAATGTGATACATACAGTGGAATACCTTCTTCAACAAGGCCACACCCCCTAATCCTTCCCAAACAGTTTCACCAACTGGGGCCCAAGTATTCAACTATATGAATCTATGGGGATCATTCTCACGCAAACCACCACAGGTATATTCAGATTGGTTAGCACCATCTGGGATTTCAGACATTTGGAATGGCACCCCTGGACACTGGAGTGTTGTTAGATACATGGACCTTTAAATGTGTCTGAGCAGGAACATAATAGGTTTGAATGAAACCCATGGTGGCATGTGCCTATCACCAGATGCCGGACACATATGCTGCCAAGTCCCCGGCCTTCCTCGGCACTGGCATCTTCCTCCTGCTGCTCTTCCCACTGACCTTTGCCCTTATGCTCACATCTCAGCCCCCTTTCCCCTGGGGAGTGAGACTTTTGCTCGTCCAAGCCAGCTGCTCCTTCTTGGCTGCCCTTGGCAGTCTGCTCTGCTGTGTGTGAGAATCTTCTGCCTCTGGCCAGAATGTTCCACTGTCCCCCAGCAGAGTGTGTTTCCCCCAAAACATGTCCCCCTGAGTTCTAGTTTTGCCTCTTGTGCTTTCTTTGTTTGGAGGAGTGCACACTCCCTGGAATCCTGTTCCCCTGTGGGTCCTATGGACTCTCAAGTAGTGTCAGCCTTTCTAAGAGATCTAAAAGCAATTTTCCCTGAAACCCCACCATGGCTTTCCACAGGTTCTGAGCTCTAGGTGCCATGCATGTAGTTCTGGTTGATCTCACTTCCACCTGAAGCTGTATTAATGCTTTATTCACAGAGAATGCATGTGAACGTCCTTTCAGCACTATAGCTACAGCCTGGCCAGCTGCTTCAGTCGACCGCTTGTGCCAATGCAATGGAGTGCCACAACCTCTCCACACTGGTGTCTGGTAGGAGGTCAGATGGCATGCAAGGCTGGACTGGACCTTTCCAAGTCTGGGCTGCTGTCCCCAGTGTCCATCCCTTCCCACACCATGCTCCCAACTAAGAGTAAAGAGCCAGGATGGTACGCAGTGCAGCTCTCCAGCCCTCCTGAGGCTGCTCCTTCTCTCAGTACCCCATCCCTCTGCCCACACAACTTAGGCAACTATGACATCATTTGACCCTTTGTCCAGCTGGCTCCACGTCCCATGGATCACCACAGCAGGACTCAATGGGGCTCCGACTCCTCTCAGGCTTTCAGAAGCCACTATAAAAAGAGTCATTCTGCTGTTTGTCCCCAGGACTCAAGACAACAAAGGGAAAGGAGCAGATGCTGAGGTCATGGCATTGTCTCCAGCTGGGAAGTTCACTGTTGAGACTCCAGCAGCTCTAGGGCCCAGAGTAGCCCAAGGAGCACAAGAGAGGGGAGAACGGAGCTGGACAAAGTGTCTGAAGGCCTGGAGGCACCAAAAGTGTCTCTGTCACCCCAAACCCAAGCCCCCAGGCCTCACAGGAAGTCCTCTGTGGCACCCCTTCTGTCTCCACTCCACCCATGGTGGTGTGTCAGCTTCCTGTGGTCCTTGGCCAGCTGTCACCTCAGAGCTAAGAACTGCAGGGCTGTTCGGAACTTCCCTTGACCCAGGTGCAATCCCTTCCAAAGGGTGACTTCTTCTGAGTCCACCTGGCCCCACCCAGCACTTGAGGCTCTGACCCTACTTGCTTTCCCAGGGTTTGCTAAAGTGTTTCCTTTGGAATCATTTCCTAGAGGTTAGGCGTAGCCATGGCTGGGGTCCAAGCACAGAACAGCGTGTCTGGCTTCCAGCAAGTGCTCAGTAAATGTGTGTGTGTGTGTGTGTGTGTGTGTGTGTGTGTATGTGTGAGAGAGAATGTATGTGTTTGAGTGTGTGTGTGAGAGTGTGAGTATGTGTGTGTGTAAGAGTGAGAGTGTGTGTGAGTATGTGTGTGAGTGTGAGTATGTGTGGTGTGCATGTGTACACGTGCCTGCTCTGCATGCACATGCATGAGTAAGCTACTATTAGGAACAGAAGTAGCACTGGTCCTAGAAGAGGGTGGAGGTCCCTGCAAATGGACATCTTAGGCTTGAAAGGCCAGGAAGCACTTGGGACCTCCCCTGAACCCGCCTTGATAGGAAAGAAGTGCAATGGTGTCGGAGCCAGTGTAGGCAAGGCTCCAACAAGGCCAGCCAGGAGGCCTCTGCCCCGCTGGAGAACTGACCAGGACATGTGGAACCTCTGATATTCAACACAGAATCAACTACGGATGTGTGCTGCTCTCTCAGTTCATCCAAGCTGCACTCTTCATGGGTTTCTGTTGTTGCTCTTTTTTTTTTTTTAAAAAAAAATCTATCTATCTACCTACCTATCTATCTATCTATCTATCTACCTACCTATCTATCTATCTATCTATCTATCTATCTATCTATCTATCTATTTATTTTACTTTAGTGTATGTGTGTTCCCATGAGTATGCCATAGGTGTGGAATGCCTGCGGAAATCAGAAGAGAGTGTCAGATCCCCTGGAGCTGGAGTCATAGGTGACTGTGAGCCACCATGAGGGTGCTAGGAACTGACAGTTGGTCCTCTGCAAAAACAGCAAGGACTCTGAATCCCTGAACCACTTCTCTAACCCATTTGTTGCATTTGAGACAGGGTCTGGTGTATTCCAGCATGGCTTCCAACTTGCTATATAGCTGAGGGTAACCTTGAACTTCTGATTCCCCCGACCACTGCATTTCCGGGCATGTGCCACCATGCCCTGTTGTAACAGGTGCTGGGGAACTGAGCCCAGGTCTTGCTCTTGGCAAAGCTCTCTGCCAGCTGAGCCTGCTTTTGATGCTAATATGGTTCATTTGTATCACTCCACCAGCCCTGAACCGGTCCGGAGAGTTTGCATCAAGACCTGGGGTCTGCCCAACGGCAGAACCAGAGTCACCTAGCCCACCGTGCAGCTTGGACACTGACTGCTCCGGACTTCAGAAGTGCTGCTCCTGGTCAGGGGTCCGCCGCTGTGTGGCCCCTGCACCCACAGGTAGGGCTGCACCGAGGAGGGTCTCAGAAAGACAGTGACTCAGGGAAAGGTGCAGGGGACTTAGCAGCCATATTTGTCTGGAATAGGGCAGGGGGTCTGCTGTCCCCATGGCTGGTCCCTACAGCCTCCAGGGAGTTAAATGAGGGGGAAAGCAGCCGTGAGGGGGCAGAGCCATGGTCCTTTGTCAGGTTGGGCAAGTTTTGGCAACTGCAAGTGGGTTTGTTGGAACTGTGTCCCCCAAAGAAGTGTAGGCCTGGTTGTTCTGCACACATCTCACAGCCTAGAGCAGTGGCTGGTGGTCTGGCACATGTGCCCACGCTTCGGGAATGTTCTCTCTGCCCAGAGGCTGTACTATGGACAAAGTTGGATCAATGTTCATCACTTAAGAAATACAATTTAGGAGATTAGATTTAGGGTTCTTGTTTTGAAAAGAAAAAATGGGGAAATGCTGTGGTATAATGCTCTTGTACACTGTAAAGATTTATCACTCAGGAAGTATAGGCAGATATGCACATATACCACATATACTATATTGTCCTATTAGCATATACTCATAAAATTAGCATATATAATATCAAGGATTAATATATTATAATTCTTCTATATGTCAGTTATACTCCTGGACTGCGGCTGGCTCTCCATATCCAAGGGTTCTCTATCCAAGTTATTTAAAACATTTGAAAAATGTTTTGTTGCTAAAGTGTTCTATACAGGTAGACCTGAGGTGGTCACATTGGTACTGAACTGTAAATGGAAGTTTCTGTCCGACCTGGTCCCACAGCCATTCAGTCTCAAATAAACAAACACACAGAAGCGTATATTAATTAAAACTGGCCTATTGCTCAGGCTTATTACTAACTAGCTCTTACAACTTAAATTAACTTATAATTCTTATATATGTTTAGCCATGTGGCTTGGTACCTTTTCTCAGTAAGGCATCTTGCTTCCTCTGTATCTGGCTTGAGACTGTGTCTCTACCTTTCCTCTTCCCAGAATTCTCTGCCTGGTCACCCTGCCTATACTTCCTACATGGCCAATCAACATTTTATTAAACCAATATGAGTGATAAATCTTTACAGTGTACAAAGCATTATCCCACAGCACTGGACCTATAAGGACATTGATAAAAATCATTATTCCCTAAACAATCCACATACAGAGACTGACAGGCATTAGCAGTGTTTGAAGCACTATCAGCCATCCAAAGACAGTTAGTGTGTTTGGGAGGGAGTATGCTTATATGCAAACATATGTCCACTTTAAGTATTTTTAAAATTTTTATTCATTTAATTTTTTATGTGTATTAATGCTTTGCTTGCATGTGCAATGCCCACAAAGGCCAGAATAGGACATTTGATCCCCTGGGACTAGAGTTACAGATTGCTGTGAGCAGCCATGTGGGTGCTGGATATCAAACCCAGGTTCTCTGGAAGAACAGCCAGAGCTCTAGCTCTGAGCTAATTCTCTAGTCAGACTTGTTCAGTTACACAGGGGACTTGAACATCTGTAGACTTCGGTGGCCCCTGGAAGTCTTAGAACCCACGTTCACCATTATTGAGGGTAACTGACTATGAGTGTTGCATGTACTACACATGACAGCAGCCGTCTAGTATGTAGTCAGTCATATATGTCTCTCTAATGCCAGGTGCTTACACTTTTCACCTAGACAACAAGGAATATCTAATATAAACAATGTTACATAGAATATTACATATCATATTACTTGCTATCTGCATAAGGAAACAATGGTAGATTGGACTGATTATATATTACATTATAACAAAGGCTGTAGCTGAAATGTGTTCCAAAGGTCTCTCTTCGAGGGAGGACCTTTGACTCTTCACAGGTGGGAGTCAGTGGTCTTTGTAGCAACAAGAAAGAGAGGGCTGAGAGCAGTAATGGGAAACCCCTGCAGGCTTTTTATGCAGAGCGACAGTCTCTTGCCTTCCAGGCCTGCTGACCACCAGTGGCCTCTTGTGGCCTTGCCCTGTCCCCAGGACTGTAACTCACTGGCATCTGCCCTCCAGGTGCAGAGAGGATCCCAGTGAGCTGGTACAATGTGACTGTGTTGGTGAAGATGGGCTTCGAGGACCTGCAGCGAGAGGACCCTGGCTTCCGGAACCACACACGCCTGCTCTACTCTTTGGTGAGTGTGACAGTCAAGAAAGTCATGTTCCTCCCTGGGGAGATAGGATGGGGTGACATCCCACAAGTGTCCTGAATGACTGACTCTGAGCCAAACTTGAACTCTTAACTAGGGTAAATCAGCCTCACTGGTAACCCCAACCCATTGGGCATAGGAAGAATAGGAGTTCAAGGCCATCCACAACCCTGTAGCAAGTTCAACGTCAGCCTAGGCTGTGTGAGTCTCTGGCTCAGAAAAACAACAAACCAGAGAGACACACAGGGGAGTGGTTGTGGTCAGGGTGTGATTTCTTGTGTCCCGGCATGTGTATCTGAAGCCACACTTGGTATGTGGGATGGGGAAATCCTTCTTCTTGAGACGCTCAGCTGAGAAGATGAAAAGGGTCAGCTTGTCAGTATGGCCTTGGCCGCTCAGTCCCCAAACCCTGAAGTCCTCATTCTCACTTTGTAAGATCCTGATCTGTCTTGTTTGGGCCAGGAGCATCCCCCAGTGTGACAACCAAACATATCTCCAGGCAGGGTCTACTAGGGTCAAAGCCATACTCTTATAGACCCCCTCCCCCCCGCATGGTGGCCACACCTACAGACATGACAGCTATTTCCAGTCATCTTATCTCTCTCTGCCAGACTTGGGAATGCTGGGATAGTAGGTCCTTCTGCCCTCCTGCTGTGCCTTTAAACAGCAGCCTACTCTGATGGCCAGCTGTGGATAGGAATGGCCCAGTAGGGTTTGCCACCCTGCTGCTGGCTCACCACAGGCTATTAAGCCCAGCAAAGACAGACAGTTTCCATTCTGTACCTTTAGGGCCCACAGATAATGCCCCACGGGTGTACAAATGAGAATGGCATCTGCCCTCAGTTACTATCCTTGCCAGCCAGGTAGCCTGGAACAGACGGGGCATGCTTACCTTGCCCTGGTCACTGGGAAGTGACGCTGCCCTCGGGGTCTTCTGCAACCTCACCCCTGCTCAGAAGTTCCCTGATGCCCATTGCTGGAGAGACCCCTGTTTATTCTTGGTTTGTTAAGGTGTTGCCCAGCTGGCCGCTAGGAACACAGCTCTGCAGATAGGCCACCAGGGTACGAACCCCAATCAGGCACCTGCTGTGTGTGTGACCTTGGATAAATTATTTCCCCTCTCTGTGCCACAGATAACCATCCATTCAATGTGAATTATCATAATTCTGTGTGAGATGGCGGCTGGGATTTAAACAATATCCATGACCGAATGCCTGCCTGAGTGACTCAAGGCTCACAGTTTGAAGGTGCCATGCACACTCAGGGTGGGTCTTCCCTGCTCAGTTAGCCTCACTAGGAAGCTCGCTCACAGACACACTCCACCACTTGACTCTCGGGTGACCAGGTCCTAACAGGTTGACAGAACTAACCATCACAGCCTGTAAGGAGTTTGTTTGCAGCAGTTTCTGACACGCTAGGTCCTGGCACCGTGTCACTTGCATTCATTATTTCTCTAGCTCTGGGCTTGCCTCCCTCCCGAGGGAGCCAACTTGCCCAGGCAGGCTCCCGGCTGCAGCAGGTGCTGGCTCCTGGGCTCCTAACTGAAGAGTTCCAGTGGGGGTGGGCGGGTCTTAGCTTGCCTCCTGAGTTAGTTGCACTCAGTCTCCTGGGAAGGGCTCCAGGTTTCTGCTCCCACAGAGGCAGGTCTGTTTACAAACCTGCTTTGGAGACAGCGGCCAGAGTGTGCAGTGCCAACTTGCCTGGTTTCCATAGGGTTGAGGATGCTGAGATGTAGGCTAAATAGTAAGAATCCTATGGGATACGCCAAAGGGGGGGGGGGAGACGATCAGACAGGACAGCAGGAAGACTGCCCCCTCTTAGTGACTGCTCCTTGACTCTAGATTCCCGTGTCCTTGTCATTAGGTGGAGGAGGCCAGATTCCTACAGGTGAGGGGGACTCAGGTCATGAGGCCACAACTTTGTAGGCAACCTGGGGCTGCCCTAGCAAAGAGTCACTATCAATAAATGGTTTACCAGAAAGGTTCTCTGTGGCCCCATGGGCCGGAAAGTCTGTGTCAGGGTATCAGCAGTGTTCCTTCTGAGGTCAAGAACCCCCAAAGACCCAAAGTCCTTCCTCTTGGCTTGTGTGGCCATCTGTCCTCCAGTCTCTTCACGTTGTCCTTTCTCTGAACGTGTTCAGCTGTGTGTCCACGTTTCTCCTTCTGGTTGGTCAAGATGGGGGTCTCACTATGTTTCTGTGGCTGCACTCAGACTCCATGGCCCTAGCGGCCTTGCTTCCTCAGCCTCTCAGGGGATTCGTATACAGGTGCGTTCCACTGCACCCAGCTCAGATCCTTCCTTTGGATAAAAAGAGCATCAAGGTCCACCCTCAGCTTACCCAGTCACACCTATGTCCAACCGAGACCATGTCTGGGACTGGAGGCCAGGGCTTCACACCTGAGTTTGGGTGGAGCTGGATCTACCAGTGGCGGGGGGGGGGGGGGGGGGGGGGGGGGGGGGGGGGGGGGGGGGGGGGGGGGGGCCTCCAGAAGCCAAGGGCAATCTGATTTTCTCTGAAGGTCACAGTCCTGAGAGATGTCGGAGCAGCTGTCCTCAGCCTGTCCTCCCCCTCCCCCCTTCATCATCTCCTTTTAACAATCTCAGTAGCCCAGGCTAGCCTTGAACTCACTAGGTAGCCAAGGATGGCCTTGAACTTGCTTCCCCTGGCTCCACCTTCTGAGTGCTAGGATTCCAGGTGTCTGTGGTGCTGGGGATCAAATCCAGACTTCCTGCATGCTAGGCAAACACCCTCCCAACTGATCAGAACCCCAGCCCCATACCGGTTCTTTACTGTTCGGGAGACAGGTGCGTATGCGTGTACGTGTATGCCTGTGGACAATTTGTTTCAGCTTCTCGATCTTCTGGCTCCTTCCCCCTACACGGGGTGCCCCTCTACCATTGACCCTCTGGTTCTGTTTCCCAGGTCACCAGTGCCTTGCGGCCTCTGAACGCATCTGTACACTACTTGAACTCCGCTGGTGGCAGGGACACCTTCACCACGGTGTCATGGCTGCTGCTGGGCCTTCCACAGTGCTTGACAGTGGCCAATATCTCTGCCACGTTGGATGACGTGGTGAATCGAGTCTATGAAGTGGTCAGCATCCAGGTGCAAGGTGGGCCTGCCCCGTGGGGACACTGCCAAGCTGACAGGTCCTAGACACAGTGTTCAAGCAGGCTGAGCCCAGGTGTGGGAGACCCCTGTCTCAGAAATATTGCTCTGCAGAACGTGGGTGGGGTTCAGCTCATCTTCTGCTCCTTCTAGACCGAATTAAGTTCAAACTCAAGTTTCCATGTGCAGATTTGGGGAAATTATCCTGCTGCATAAGTGCCTGTGTCCCCCTACACACACACACACACACACACACACACACACACACACACACACACAACATACGATGTCTCTTCCACTCCCTTCCCTCCTCCCTAACAGCCCATCACCTGCCCATGGTCCACTACACTGCAAGCTACAGAAAACACATGAAAAATTCAAAATCTAGATATGGCCTTTTTTTCAGAAATAAAAATTTTAACATCTATGGCTAATAAAAAAAACCAAACAACTATGTCAGGGATTGGTAAAGGTTTTGGAAAACATTTTATGTCTGTCTCAGTTCCTGAGGCCTGCTGCTGGCATGCAGCAGTCACTAGTATGTGAGCAAAGGGCTGGGGACTAGGAGCAGGTGCATCTAGACTCCTGGCCAGCCTTGCCTCTGGTGTCAGACATGTTGTGGGTGGAGCCCATGACCGAAGCACTCACCTGGTCCTTCTGAAAGTGTCTCTCAGTCACTGGTCACAGGCTCATTCCCAGAGGCCAGTGAGCATCCTTAACTAGAACCTGTTACAGATGTGGGCTTTCACTGTGTGGTTTGGGGAGGTTTGCATGGACAAGGTTGGGTTCTCGACTGGAGACTGTTGTTACCTGTGGTCATGGTGCAACTGGTTTATCTCCATAAATCATGTGCATAGAAAATAGAAAATGCATGGAGATGACTAGCTAGCAACCACACACTTATCTTCCTCCAGGAGAAGAGGTTGGTGCTTTGTGAGTGACCGTGAGCTTTCCTGCTTACGCTTAAACATACTTAGCTATGACGTGACCTCGCTTTGCCCTCCTATCGTGGGAGAATGGCTTTACAAGAGGCAGATATTGTGGGGCCTTGGAGGGGAGGATGACAGACCCAAGAGTGAGACCCTGGCCACCTGGAAATGTTGGGGGATGTTTCAGATCCTTTTTAACTTAGGAAGTTTCTGGTCCCCTTGGTTTATTCTTGGGCCCATGATGCTATGACCGTGGAAAGACAGGCCAACCCCAGAGCATCATGGGGAATGAGGAAGCAGCTGTGGTGTTATCTCACCTGTCCCCCTTTTCCACAGATGTGAATGAGTGCTTGCACAGGGAGCTCCATGCCTGCTCTGGAGGAGAGCAGTGTCTGAACATTGAGGGCTCCTACCAGTGTGTCCCTACCCACTCGCCGAACTGCACAGATGAAGGTAATACCGGAGTCCTCGGATGGCATGAGACTGACATTGGCCATATCTAGGGTAGATGACCTATAGACCTCAGCTACTCATGTCAACCTCCTATGAAGGTGCAAGGTCTAGGCTCCAAAGCCTGGAGCGGAGGAGGGTCACAGGAGGCTGGGAGGTTGAAGAGGATTTGAAGAGTTGTGGGCAGATATGACATACTTGGTTCATTGGCACTCAGGCCACTGGGCAGGAAGACAGAAGCAGGCACTTAGGCACATGCCAGCTCACATAAGCCACATATAGGTGGGTGCATGCACAGACACGAGCCAGCAGTGCACAGGCCTCAGACCTACAGGCAGACACACACAAGCAGGCTGGTGAAGGCACAAAGCTCTGACCCCAAGGCCATATTTATGTAGAATCACACAAAAGTGGCATTCTTCCGGAAGTAGTTAGATTCCATCACAACTTACTTTCCGTACATCTGCGTCAGTCATTCCATGATGACTTATGTCCCCTGCCTCAGATGACCAGCATTAGGCGTCTGGACCTGGAAATCCATCGGCACTATGTTGTCTAAACAAACTGGCATGTACAGCCTTCTCGTCCTGTTGCTCCCGGGTGTAGGACGGCTACTGGATCCCTGCAGCCGTGTCTGCTCTCCTAGCGGGTGGTCCCCCTTGCATTCATCCTTTGATATGGCAGCTGTCTGGCTAATGCACAGCCTGCATTGGAAATGCCAGGACCAGATCGGAGCCCTGCTCTCAGATGCTCCCTGGAGAGCAGTGGCTCCTGAATAGGACAGTCCCTGACCCCTGAGTTTCTGAAGAGAGAGAGGGAGTCAAGGAATATTTATACCAAACCCAAAGGGATGAGCTGGGTTAATCTCTGGCTTTGTATGGGTGACAAAAAGGCCAAGCCAGGAGGCTATAGGGGGCTTTGGACACACACGCACATGCACACGCGCGCGCGCGCACACACACACACACACAGATCTACAGCAGCTCTCCCATTCCCACCCCGCTTGGCAGCCTACCTCTCCTCCCACCTCCCATAAGCACTGAACCTTCATCATAGTCACACTAGGATGTATCTCTAAGAGATAAGAGAGATGCTAATATCCAAAATAACATACCCTCTGACTGCCCCTTTGTAGCCAAGGTAACTTCTCCTTAATATCCAGCATCCAGTCTCTGAAATGTGGGGTTCTCTTCATTGCCATCTTAAAGTCTGAACTTATATTTCAGCTGTGTTCACCGCTCATCTCTGACAGCAATGGAGTTGTTTACTTGATCGTACATTGTTTTCCCTCTGCCTCTACTTCCAGCCCTTTGTCATCGCAGCTCTTCGGGCCTCTTAGCCCAAAGTGTAGGAACAGACTAGAGACCTAGAGAGAGACCCCCATGCCATCCTGTGGGCTGGACTAAATGACTCTCTCTCTCTGGAACGTCCCATCCATGGGATCTTGTGATGGGCACTCAGATTTGGAGTAGGGACTTCCTAGACCCCATCAGTGCCTGGAGAGGCTAAAGGCACTTCAGAAAAGGTCCCAGCATATATACACATAGTCAATGGAGTGGACCTCACAGCCAGAGTGAAGGCAGCTCTGTTCCTGCCCCTTACACAGGGTCCCCTGCTGCCTCTTTCGAAAGCTATTCAGGCTGGATTCTGGGTACACCCAGCTCCTAAGCTTTCCAGATGGGATGTGTCATGTGGCCTCCTTTGGACCCTGGTGGTCACCTTCTCTCCTGGTGTTTTCTCCCCAGATCCCTCAAAACCAGGCATGAAATCCTTATCTCAGGTGCATCCTGGTGTTGGGTGGGGAAAGATTACAGACCAGATCAAGACCCCATACCACCACCTCCCTGCTCGGTGGAGGAAACCATGGAACTTCGCATGCACACGCTCTGTTAAAACAGCCTTGTATCCCTTCTTCCCCGGAAGGTGACAGGTCATGTCACTTAACTCTAGGAACAGACAGGCAGTAGAGTGTGCCTCAGGGCTCACAGGTTAAGGGTCTCTTGAGAAAATGCCAGACATAGCAAGGCCACACCGTACATCTCTGCAATATAAGATCCTTGGAGGCTCTGTTCCCAGGGTCTCCTGGTATTGAAAATGAAGACAGACAACTCTTTCCGCCTACACACATTCTGCCTACAAAGCCCCGTCTCCCTGGAGAGCATGTGACCTTGAGGGTCTGCAGAATAGTGTGACTACTTCATACACCATCATCCCGGGGAACTTGGTGTGTGCCCCCCCCCATGTGCCAGAGATTTCCTGATCTGTGGACTCCAGGCTGAGAATCCTATCCCTGCAGTGGGAAGGCAGGCTATGGCACAGACACGTGACTTTGGTCTAAAGGTCTAATGCTAGGCTCTCTCTGCAGCCAACTGTGCTGCCAGCTAAATTGGTCTATGTTCTTTGACACAATAAAGTTCCAGTAGCCTCTCAGATCAAGGGCTGAGAATGGATGGGGGACATGACCAGGGAAGACTACCTATCTATCTGTGGTTACATTTCTCTGAGGGCAGAACAGGCGTGTGTGTGTGTGTGTGTGTGTGTGTGTGTGTGTGTGTGTGTGTGTTTCCAGACTGGAGAGTCAGAGACAATTTGGCTGCAAGTTGCTACGAGGATCACTTGTATTTTAAATTTAGAAGCTAACACAAATGAGCAATCTGTTGGACCAGCCCAGCCACACAAGTTGGTGGAAAATAGAGCACAAATTTCAGATGCGTTTCTTGTGAAATTAGTCACCCAGCTGATGGGGCAGATGGATGCTCGCACAAGGTAACAGCCAAGAGAAATCTCGCGTGGTTCACTTGCCCTTGCTGTTCCAGGAATGCATCCTGCTTTGAGGAAGGCCTGAGTCCTTCCCATACTATTCGTGCTCAGCTGGCACCGGCCAGATTTTCAGCTGGCACCTAGACTTGTGGTCTGGTGGATCAGGGGTGCCAGCTGCAGAGATGAGCTTAGCTGGCAGGGAATAAAAAGTCATCTTCCCCGAGGCAATGCTTGTGGCTTCCATTCGAGCTTGATTTCAATACTCGGAGTCTTTGATTGAATTTGTCAACAATGCTCCCCACTCCACAAGGCTTAGGGCTCAAGCTGCTGGATTCAAGAGGAAAGGGGATGAGTCTGACAGAGAGAACTCATGAAGACCCGACTGGAGGAGGATGTGGCTGGTCTCTCAGTGTCTAATGACCTTCCCTGTCCCTTCCTTCCATGAAGGCAGGTCATCAGATCAGATCTTGGGAGTCTCTTTCAGGTGGTCACAGGGGCTCTCAGGATGGTGGTATTGTCTCCTAAGTCAGAGGACAGAGGTCCCCACACCGTCAGATCATGGGAAACATCAATCCATTGCTGTTGTTTCCTGAGCCATAGGAGGGCATCCTGATGGGTGGAGGATAAAACCAAGTCTCTGGGGAAGAAAGGGTGAGGAGGAAAGAGCGGTTTCATTTGAAAACACCTCAAGGAAGTCCTACAGAGGAAGGTTGGCCTTGATTTTGATTTTAGTACCCAGAGTCTTTGATTGGATCAATCAAATTGATTCAATTGGAATTAAATAGTCGACTTGTTCATTTGCTGTGCTCAAAGGCTTCTCTCACAAGTTTCTAGCCCTAACCCTAACCCTAACCCCATGACCAAACACAACTTGGGGAGGAAAGGGTTTGTTTTAGCTTACAGCTCAGAGTCCATAGTGAAGGAAAGTTGGGACAGGAATTGAGGCAGAGGCCATGGAAGAGTGCGCTTACTGACTTGCTCCCCATGGCTCACTCAGCTTGCTTGCTTATACCACCCAGGACCACTCTGCCCAGGGGTGGCACTGCCCACAGTGAGCTGGGCCCTCCCACATCAATCACTAATCAAGAGAATACCCATAGAGTTGATCACAGGACAATCTGATGGAGACATTTTCCCAGCTCAGGTCCCTCTTCCCAGAAGACTCCAGCTTGTGACAAGCTGACAAAAGCCAACTCAAACAATCACCAAGTGAGCAACTGGGCATCCATCTCTTCTTATAGCTGAGACTTCCTAAAACACTCACTTCTGTATCCTGGGAGTGTTCCAGGAAGCAGACAGATGTGAAAGGTGCTCTCTCTCTCTCTCTCTCTCTCTCTCTCTCTCTCTCTCTCTCTCTCTCTCGTGTACACGTGGGGGTGACATTCATACAAGTAAGCATATGTGCTCGTGGAGGCCAAATGTCAAGCTTGATTGTCATTCCTACGGAGCCAGACAGCTTGTGCTAGGATTAGAGGTGTGTGCACCACAACAAGGTCTCACCAGGATCTGAAACTCCCCGATAAGGTTAGACTGGCTGGTTACTGAGCCCAGGTATCCTCCTGCCTCTGCTTCCCCAGAGCTGGGATTTCAAGTACGTATTACTATGACTGCCCCCACCCCTTTCAGGTTTACTTTTAATTATGCATCTGCCTGCTTGTGTATGTAGGTGGGTGTGCAATACTGCAATTGCCTGCAAGGCCAAAAGAGGGCGTCAGATTCCTTAGAGCCGGAGCGGTAGAGGGCATTGTGAGACACCTATTGAATCTGGGAACTGAACTTGTGTCGCCTGGGAGAGGGGGAAGTGTTCTTTACTAAGTCACATCTCCAGGCTCCCGGGGGTAGGGGGTCATCTTTTGCCAGGCAACGCCCTTCTCTAGGGAAAGCTCTTGCTGCGGGAAGACTCTGATGGTCTTGCTAGCTGTTTCTGTAATCTGACCGTGGATGTATTCTGCAGGTGACACGGTGACCCCCACAGGAGGTGGACAGTCTGTAACAACAAAAGTCTCAGCCCCAGCTGTCACTGTGGAAATAACAAGCCTTGGCCCAGAGGCCCTCACCTTTTCACCCAGTCCCAGACACCCGAGGAGCACCCCAACAGGAAGTCAAGCCTGGACCCCAGGGCCTCCATCTAAGAGAGGCAGTAGCAGCACAGCCAGGCAGGAGACAAATAGCGCAGGGCAAGATGTGGAGCTGCCCAGCACAGCCCCGAGCCCCGGAACAAGCCCCGGAACAAGCCCCGGAAGTTCCAGCAGCATGTCAAGCTCCTTTCCCAGGACTCCAGAGCCAACCCACGGTTCCCTTCCGAAGACCACAGTTGTCCCACTGCACGCCACGGGAGGGCCACAGGCAAACCTCACTGTAGACCTTCCCCTTGTGACTGCTTCATCCACGGGCTATGTTGCATGGCACCCCAGTCCCACTTGGGAGGCACCCCCTCCGAACTCCACAAGACTGCAGAATAAAGATCCTCGCCCTTCCCTCTTCCCAGGTCTGCCATCGGCTTCAACCCCTGTGGCTTCAGAGTCCCCTGCCTGTGGTGAGTCATCAGGGGGTAGGGGCCCTAGTGGAAACCTCAGCCTGTGTGAGCCCTGGTGTTAGGCTTGGCAGCAATGTAGAGTGTCGTTTCTCATCTTGAACACATGTGGACCCAGGCATAGAGCAGTATGGTCCTCTGCAGCAGGTGTCTGGTCTTGTTAGAGAGAGAAAAGCTCCCTTTCTGTCCCTCGCCTTCTCCTTATTTCCTAAGAACCCCTGGCTTTTCGCAGCTGGGGCAGAAGATGGCCTTGAAGGGGGATACTCTAGGGAGTATGTAGCCCATCTAGCACTGGGGCAATCCCCTGTAGTGTGGATACCCCAACAGTCCCATAATCCCTAGCAGCAAAGCACCCTCAGCCCTTGCTGATGGATCTCAGCTTCCCAAACCCTAACTTTCTATACTGACCCTGTTGAACCCTGGTTCTGCCTCACCCCAGTCACACTGGGTCTCCAGCGGTCATGCACCCTGGAAGTCTGTCCTTCCAGCCATCTATACCCACACTCGGGCTCTCTATACCTCACGGCTCTACTGCCACCCTCAGCTGATCCATGTCATACACAAAGGGTTTAGCTTGTCACCAAGTCTTGGGGACACCCAGGAATGAGTGACCCTTCCAACAAGCAAACGGGCTGGGGCTCATAGAGACCTAGCAGGGACAGCTCTGTTTTGTCAGCTTGCAGAGCTGGCGCCACTGTGGAACAGGGGTGAACTCCTCCATTGTTTCCTCTGTGCCCACCCACATGTGTGCGGGATTGTCTCACAGGAGACACGGACTTCCGTGTCAGAGGGACTCTTGAGCCAGCAATGCCAACGATTGCCCCTGGGACACCAGCATAGAGTTAGGGTGGACCACCTTGTGGAGGAACCACCCAGAACCAGCAGAGGAGGAGTGGTTTGAGGCTGCCTAGGCCCCCAGGGCTGAGTCTGAACCATTTCCTCTGGGACAAAATATCCCAGGAACCACTTTCTGTTGTCTGAGACACGTGACTTCTGCTAAAAAGCCAAACTAAGATCCCTATAGGGTCCTGCATACAAGGGTCAAGGTCTCTGTGGGTGCTCATGACAATCTGCACCATTGGCAGGTGTCACCTCCTCTCCATTGATAAGTATTAGACTCTAGGAAACTCTTTTTCTGTCCCTCAATGTATTCGGGTCAGTTTTCACGTCAGCATGTATGTCCCACTTCCCAGTTCCTGGACCCATTGGAAAGGTCACCGTCTCCAACATGACCAGTACCGGCTTCTCCCTGGAGTGGTCAGCAGACATCAGCTTCTCCCCTACCTTCTACCTCACTTTGGTCTCTCCTCGGGGACCCGCCCTAACTATGGAGACCCGGGACAATAACGTGACCTTGTCAGGGCTGGAGCCTGGAGCCTTGCACCTGGTAGAGATTGTGGCCAAGGTGTGTGGGAAAGAAGGTGCCAGAAGACAGCTGAGAGTGCGGACAGGTAAGAGACCAAACAGGCAAGCATGAAAGACTGAACAGAGGAAGGCCTGCCTGTGGGCCGCTGGGTGTCCATCCCCTTCTCAGCACAGAAGCACCTGGCTCACCTTGTGAGAGATGGTGGCAGAATCCAATACAGGGACCCCATTACATGGGAGACAGTCCTCCCCACACTTACACAGTCAGATAAAACCCCCCACTTCTCATTACTTCTGACATGTTTTCCCAGCACTTGGCTTTCTACGTGTGTGATTCTGTAAGGAGACTTCACATCTCGGGGAGCTTCCCACACACTGGGGGCTGTGTCTCTCAGGTTGGGGGTACATTCCTTGGGTGATGCCTAAGATGTCCTATTGGGGTGCAGTAAGAACAGCTCATGTTTGGATGGGCCAGCAGGGAAACCCCTGAGTCTGAGCCAAGCCAGGAGACCCCCAAAGGTCTCCCTCACTCGGGAAGGGAGGGGCTGTGCATGGATGTGTGCCCTGCACCTTCAGACAAGTCCTGTGTCTGCATGTTCTGTCATGCCTCTGTGCCTCTTACATCAGGTTGCATGCACCACTGGGCATGGTTCTGGCCTTTGGGTACAATGACAGCAATGTCCTCCAGGGACACGATGTTTGAGGCTCATCAGGAATGCATGGTGGGCTGGCTTTACCATTTGTCTTAGGACTGAGTGAGATTCTCTTGGGAGGTGGCCTTGAAATCACTTTCATCTGATGCCCCAGGCCCCTTACACGAAGCAGGCATGCCACAAACATTCAGAAAGGGGCTGTGTCAGAAGCCAGGACTTGACTGGGGAACATTCCAGACTATGCTCATGTTCCATATGCTCCTAGATGCTCCAGAGAGCAGAGACTCACAGAGAACAGGCTGGGCCAAAGTTAGACCACAGAGACGCAAGTCTGGGGGTGGGAAAGGCACTGCATAAACAAGGCACCCATGAGGCATGGGCTCTGAGCGGAGGCTGTGATGTCCAGGTTTACACTGTGAGTCCGATTGCCTCTTGGTGCCTGCTCCCTCTCAACTGTCCTGGTTTGCTAGCCAGCTGCATGACTTGCAGGGAAGCCTCGAGGAAGGCCCTCTGCTCACTGTCTCACATCCTTCAGAGCCTGGTGGGCTGTGTCTGTGGGCAGCAGTCACTATCTCTTCTTTGGGGCCAGGTCAGCCTTGCTACTCATGCAGTCAGGGATGCTGAAATGACACTCTGTGACCTAATGCATGCTACATCCTGTAGTGGCCCGGAAACTTGCCGGTGAAGTCCGGATAGCAAATATTCGGTATTCAGAATCCTTCCGAAATGCCAGCAGCAGGGAGCACCGAGACTTGGTACAGCTATTCTTCAGGACGGTGAGTTGGGATGGTCAGTCCTGTTTCCCGGGGGCAAAAGGAAGGAGTCAGGGTGGGAGCGAGATGCTAGATGCTTCCAACTAGGAATAAGACTCATGGGTCTTGTCGACTCCCTGCTTCTGGAGGAAGCTGAGCCAGACTCCAGCAGGTTTGAGTCCTGAACTGTATGACGACAGAGGCCTGAAGGCAGAAGCCACACCTTTCCTCAGACACCTTGCTTGTTGCTCCCTGCAGAGCAGAAATCTCTATATTTATCAAAGTGTTTAAACAGGGCTTTGGTGGTGCAGGACTGTAATCCTGGCAACTCAGGAAGCTGAGGCAGGGTGGGTTGCAAGTTCAAAGCCTGTATGGGCTACAAGAGGGAGCTCAAGGCCAGCCTGGATGACTTAGACCCTGCTTCAAAATTTAGAAAGCAGAAAGCTAAAGTGTATTGCAATGTTTACCTAGAATGCACCAGGCCATAGGTTTAGTCCCCTGTAATATGTGTGCACTGAACACACACACGCACACACGCACACACACACACAAGTGACTATTTAAAAATTTAGCTCCTTTTAAAATACCATGAAAAGTTTAAGTGTAAAACCCAGTGATTTGTTTGAAAAAAAAAATCTGCAGCTGCCACCACCATCCAATTCAAGAATGTTTCATTACCCTTAGTGTGGAGACCGTGTACTCATTCCAATTTATTCTCCCTCTGCCCCTCCCCCAGCCCCTGGGCTGCTACTTTGCTTCTTTAGACCTGCCAACTGGATGCTCATGAACGTGGGCAAGATTAAGTGACTTGTTGTTTCTGTCACTTGGTTAATGTGCTCCAGGTTCATCCACATTGGCCTGTGCATCTGCACCCTATTTCTTTGATCACTGTGCACCCCCAGACCTGGTTTATGTGGTATTGGGGATGGAGCCCAGGGCTTCACATATGCAGGCGACACTCCACCCACTGCGCTACAGCCCCAGTGCTAAATTGCATCACTCTCTAATTACCATAATCTAGCGATCTCATTTACCTTTACTTCTTTTAGCTTTTCCATAGTCAGAGTTATGTTTTAAGGGTGTGTTGGACAGTGCCACCTAGTGGTGATTGTGATAACTTGCTGGTATGTCCAAAAGCCAATGGGTGTTATTCTCTGGTTAACCACGCAACCTCCGGAGCTGTTCCAATCTAGTTCCACAGGATCTGAAAGCCCTGCCTTACATATTCTGGAATTTCCAACTCTCTCAGTGCCTGGACCCAAGAGTCTCTGGTGGGGTGGCTTAGGAGGCGTAACACCCCTCTTTAGCAAATCATGACTTTAATGTAACATCAAGCGACAGATGCTGAGCCCCCTTCCCCACTCTGGCAGCCAACTACGGCAGTTCCAATACAAGTTTCTAGATCGGTCTTTCCTTTTAAAATCATTTCCTCTTTGGCCCATTTTTTTGTTTGGCCCAGTTTAAGTTGCTGTATTTGTCTCGTGTCTCCAGACAGAAAATAATTGTGCAGCCATATACATGGACGGGATGCCAAGACCAGTTCTGGAGGTGGAGGGCTAATGGCTCATTGCTTCCCAGCAGGGGCTGCAGCTTCGCCTGGAGACCACTTTAACCCAGTGCTGCTGTGGCTCTGCATATTGGGGTGGGGTGGGGTGAGGAGCAGGAACTGTAAGAGAAGCACAGCTGCTGACTGAGCCCCCCCAAAGGCAGCTGGGCTGGGGTTGGCAGCTTATGATGTGGGATGATGGAACCCTCTGCCTTGGGTGACTTTGAGGAGGGAAAGTGAGGCCAGGAGCTCATGCATTGGGGTACCGCCCTCCCCTCATGGGTTCCTCTGACAGTCCCTGGCTATGTCCTTCCCAGGGATAATTTGAATCACGTGAACCATTGAGGCTCATGATAAGGGCACGTGTGTTTGACTATTTTGGGCTGGATTAGAACAACGTGGTCTATGACACGTGACCCTGCTCTAAAGGACAGAGGACAAAAGCAAGCCCTCCGGAGGCAGGAACTGGGTGTCCTGTTAGGGCTGCTGGAGATATTCAGAAGTGGCCTGTAACAGGTGGAGAGGAAGAAGAGAGGGGGATGTTCTGAAGCATTTGAGGCAAAGAAACGTTCTAGAAAAACAAAAGGAGTATGTGGCCTTCCTCAGGACTACTCACCCAGCCCCCACTGCCCCTACCCCTGAGCTAAGAGCTAACTGTTAACCGCTACTGGGAACTTTTGTGTTACAGACCCATGAGGGTGGGGTCCTGCTAGCATTGCCCCCTATTCCACCCAAAGACAGCTCTCTGCAGCTGTCTGCTCCATGTAGGGGGAGAGAGATCCTCCAGGCATCATCAATACCTGCAGGCATTTGTTCTGGGCTTAAAGAGACCAAGAACTGATCTGGGGCCTGGACCTCCTTGTCACAAGCCTCTCCTACAGCCAGGCAGAGCACCAGTACAAACAGCCTGTGACCTCAGTAGGCAGCTCTTCTCACGTAACCTGTTTCTCTAAGGTGCGGGACTCCTTACCAGCCCCTCTGTGTCAGCACATGGATGCAGGCAGGATCCGAGTGGACATCGTCAACATCACAAACGGCAGCGTCGTGGTGGAGTTTAATTTGCTAATAATGGCAGACCTGGATGTCCGGGAGGTGTCCGCTGCCTTCCTCACAGCCCTGCAGAACACATCGGTGCTGGAGGTGGACAAAGGCAGAACCTTTATACAAGGTACGCATTTAGTCAGGGTCTCACTGTGTAGCCTTGGCTGTCCTGGAACTCATTCTGTAGACCAGGCTGGCCTCACATTCACAGAGATCCGCCTGCCTCTGCCTCCAAAGTGCCAGGATTAAAAGTGTGCGCCACCACGCCTGGCCCTAGATGGTTTTATGCTTTGATTTTAGAAAAGACTTTAAAATTGAATGTCTTTTTTCGTTTGGAGAGGGAGGAGGATTCCCTAAGCCAAGTCAGGTTTTCAGGGAGAAAGACTGCGAGGTATGAATGACCTAAAAAGACCAACCTTCCTGTCAAGCAGAACAAAGCTGCTCTTGTAGAAACGATGAGAAAAACTTCTCATCAACTAGTGATAGCCTGAGTACAGAGTGAGTTCACACAGAACTGATGAAGACCGAGCCCGAGAGGTCAGCGTGCAAAGATGAAAGCAGACAAAACCGCAAAGGAGTATATAGGTCATTGACACATGATCACAACGAAATGGACAAAAGGAAAAAACATACTATACATAAAACTGAGTTACAAAACAAGCCAGCTTCCAGATCCCCTCTGATACGAGCATTGACCCTGACAAAGCATGGTGGGCAGGCAGGGGCTGTGGAGTCTGCAGAGCAGGCTGGTGGGGTAGAATTTTCTCACCCTTTGGGAAACCAAGGCAGTGATGGTTTCACTGTCCACAGCATCTCTTGCTCATTGACTTGGCAGTTGATTCTGAGACTTTGTCCTGGGAGAAGGGACCTCAGTTAAGACCATAGCTAATGCAAAGATAGCCGTCATCAGAGTGCCTTCAAAAGCAAAGTAATCGGAAATAACCCATAGTCTGGGGTAAGAAGAAACGCTCAGTTCTGTCCACACCACAGCATCCATGAATGGGGTTTGCTGAGGAGGAAGATGCTGGAAAATCATACGCTGAGTTACAATAGGGTATCACGTGTGAGTATGCACACATGCTTGTTTGTGTCTGTGTTGAGCAGGCACATGTGTGTATGTACATGTGTATGAGTATATATGTGGACATGTGTATGCATAGTAAGTGTGCTGCCACTGAGCCAAGCCTCGGCCCTGGAGTCTGCTTGGTAAAGACCGGAAGGAGACCCATGGTCTGTGCTCTTTGCTCTGCATTTGGTTCCTATCACCCTTCTGCAGGATAGATGGACCAAATGGGCAGAAAGATGGAAAGTGCGGGAGGAGGGGTGTAGCAGGCCGCTGGGCTCAGTGTTTTGCTGCTTGGGTCTCCTGGGCTGGAGGGGGTGCAGCTCTGCAGAAACTCCTTTCCTGTCTCAGGGCTGGATTCTTCCAGAATAGCCCTGGCTCCCCACTTCCATGGCAGTTCCCACCCACAACTGAGTCTCCTGGACTGTCCTGAGCTTGCTACATTCGTGTGGCCTGCTCTCTGGATATAATTCTACCCTGCCTCCTGATATGCACTGTCCCAGATGCATGCAGCTGATGGCACTGCCCACCCCAGAGCCACTTACAGCCTGCCATGGCTCCTCTTCTCCTCCCAATGCTTTTCAGACTACGATGAGTGTGAGATGAGGGAGGATGACTGTGAGCCTGGGATGTGCAGAAACACCTTCGGATCTTACACGTGTAGCTGTGATGGGGGAGACTCACATGTGGAATATTCTGGAAGATCCTGCGATGGTAAGTTTTAAAGCCTTTTCTGGAGTGCTATCTCATAATCTTCTCTCTTAAGAACTCTCATTTCTAAGAGAAGGGGTTTTTTGTGCAAATGAAGTTAGCACATTTTTTATGACCTGGACAAGTTTTCTATATGTGTGCGTATGTGCATGTATGTAGGTGCATGCATGCGTGCATGTGTGTGTATGTGAATGTGTGTGTGCATTGTGTGTGTGCTTGCGTGCATGTGTGTGTATGCATGCGTACGTGTGTGTATGTGTTTGTGCATGCGTGTGTATGTGTTTGTGCGTGCGTGTGTGTGCGTGTGTGTATGTGTGTGCGCATGTGCGTGTGTGTGTATGTGCATGTAGGGTGGGTGTGGATGTGCATGTAAGGGTGTGTGTATGCCTGGCTCTCCCTCTTCCTTCATATATGTCTGATGGAGGAAGACAGCCACCTGTGTGAGTGACAGTCTCTGGGGCAGGGGATCTACTTGGCCTGGGGGACACAGAGTACAGAAGAGGTCAAGTCATGTTGGGATGTCATCAAGGCCAACTAAATCAGCACCTGGTAGTGGGGTCCAATCATGCGATAGGGACTGGCTGAAACTTGGGAGCCTACAGAAGTGGGTGGCACAGAAAAGCATACTGTCCAGGAATGTGGGTGACGTTTCCATGGGAGATCTTTCCAGAGATCCCTCAACATTGCAAAACTGTGACCTTTGGGGCAGGAAGGACGCCAAGGCTGGAGCAAGGGGCACAGACTCCTGAGAGGACAACTTAGGACTCTCTGTTTGGAGATAAACCTCAGGACCTTGGGGACAGGTCCTTGCTCGTGTGTGGTGAGCCCACAAGTGTTATGCAGTACATGTACAGCCAACAGATCTATTAGACTCTCCACGGTAAGTGCGTATGCACACCCCACCTGGACTAACCCATTTCTGCAGAGCTACGGGGACATCTGTCCTTTGGAGAAGTCACTGTCAACTCTGTAGAACTCTTGTGAAATCACGGCATTTCTCCCATCTATAATATCCCAGCAGCTTATAAACCTGACTTTTCCTGTAGGGCAACTGGATAACTCACCCTACACCGTGAAGCCATGAGATGAAAGAATTCAGTCAAGCCCTTGTTCTCACAGCCAAAATCTACAGAAAAATAGTCGCCCACAAACTTTCTTTATTGACAGTAGTCACTGATAAGAAAGGAGCCTCATACAGGAGACAATGTGTCTGCCCTAACAGCAGCCTCAGGAAGGTGTAATCTATTGCTCTCCTGCTCTGACTTCACAGGCTACAAATACTTTGTATCTACCCTTCACCTTGGTTGTAACTAACATAGGATCATAGCTTGGGAAATTAACTGCTTATACAGGAAAAAGGCCTGAGTCGATAAAACTAGCTTCAGAGAGAAAAATTTTTTGCCTGGGCACCTGCTGGAGTCAAAAGCAGCGTCTCCAGAGAGATCATTTTAACTCAACCAGCCAGATGCTAATGCAAATCAAACCCATAGGTTAGTATAGCTACCAGCACTGTGTTCCCAACCACAGGGGAACTTCAGAGCCACACCCCCTCTGAGATATAAAGTGCCTACTTGCCCAATCCACCAGTTTCTTGAGACTCTGTGAAAATGCATGCTTGATACTTTTGTTACCACCTATGGGATTGCTAACTTGTCTGTACCCCTATATAAACTGAAACCTTTGTAGAGGCCGGGAGAAGCAGGCTATCTTAGCCTCCTGAGGCACTTACTGAAGCAGTTTGTTATCTGGAGAGGGCAATAGGGCCTCCTGGGGTGAGAGCTGCCATGGCTGGAAGAGCAATCTGTAACACGTTAAATGATTATAAATCTGGTGGAATAGATATAAATTACTGGAAGAACATGAAGCTAAAAGATCTTCCAAGGCTTCTTAGGTACACACTTTCCCTCTCTCTCCTAAACCTAAAATGCCTCTCTCTCCAAGTGTGACTCCAGCAGGCGGCCCAGGTGAGAATTTTTCTCTCTGAAGCCAGTTTTAGCGTCTCAGGCCTTTTTCTTGAATAAACAGTTAATTTCCTGAGCTATGATCCTATGTTAGTTGAAACCAAGGTAAATGGCATATACAGAATATTTATTAGTAGCCTGTTAAGTCAGAGCAGACCAGTAGATCATACCTTCCTGAGGCTACTGTTAGGGCAGATACATTATAACCGCCTGTATGAGGCTCCTTTCTTCTCAGTGACTACTGGCAGTAAAGAAAGTTTGTGGGGAACTATTTCTATGTAGATTTTGGCTGAGAGCAAGGACTTGACTGAATCCTTTTCACACTATGGCTGTGGGGGAGTTATTCAGTTGCCCTACAGGAAAAGTCAGGTTTATAAGCTGCTGGGATATTATAGAAGGGAGAAATGATGTGATTTCACAAAAGTTCTACAGAGTTGACAGTGACTTCTCCAAAGGACAGATGTACAAGTAGCTCTGCAGAAATGGGTTAGTCCAGGTGGGGTGTCCGTATACGGTTCCCGTGGATAGTCCGATAGATCTTTCGGCTGTCCATTTCCTGGATAATACTTGTGGGCTCAATACACATTCATGCTTAGCACATCCATGGTACTTGAGGACCAATGGAAGCCCAGTAGCCCGATCTGTGCAAAGTGCGGGGACACTGTCTGGAGCAGGCACCTCCTGGGTATGGCAGCTTTAGAGTCCGATATAGGGCCTCAGAGGCCTGCCCTGTCCCTCCAGCCCCAAACAGACTTACCCCGAGCCTTTGTCTCCTTGGAACCTGCAGGTGGCTCTTCTAGCAACACAATCCAGACCCCAGGCCCAGAGTGGCTCCCTACCCCAGCAGGAACCAGAGTTGACCCTGTGCCAGATGCCAGCTCCGTGCCCCAGGACCCACCCCTGCGGCTGAACCTGACTGACGCGGTTGGAGTGTCCTGCGAGATTGAGACGGTGGTCATTACCATCCAGAAACGCTTCCTGCAGCAGGAAGCCATACCCGAGGCCTCCCTGTACCTGGGGGAGCCCTCCTGCAACGTGAGCAAGAGCAACAGCACGCATGTTTTCCTGGTGGCTGGCTGGGGCCAGTGTGGGACCCTCGTGCAAAGCGTGAGTCACCCGGAGGGACATTAGGGTGGGGAGGGTTTGCACCTGGTAGGACAGCACCCAGGGTCTTCACTCCTGGGCCTCTGACTTCTGAGAGAACCCAGAAGAGGAAATCAGACAGGCCCACGCCGTCACAGTCAGTACACTGGAATCCTGAAGAGGAGATGCAAGCTTCACGTTGCAGAACTCCTCTGGTGCTAAGGGCCTGGGGCTGGCTGGAGTCAGGATGGGAAGGGGAGGTAGGAAAGGGGAGAAGGACAAGGAGTCATGTGGGAACATGTGTGTGCATGGATGTGCATGTTTAGGTGTGTGTTGAATACACCTGTGTGCACATGTATGTATACATATGCATGTGTGTTAGACATATTGCTGCCACTGTAACAACGTGTCTGAGATAAGTCAGCTTCAGGGAGGGAAAGGCGCACTTGGCTCACACTCAGAGGTTTCAGCCCATGGTTTGTTGGCTTCGTTGCTCTAGGCAGGAGAGCGTGATGCTGCAAAGCTGCACACGTCATGGTGTCCAGAAATGGAATGGGGGGGGGGCAGAAAATGGGGGAGAGAGGGAGAGAAGAAAGCTAGGGGAGGGAAAGAGGGGGAAGAAAAAGAAGGGGGAGGGGAGGGAGAAAAAGGGGAGGGAGAGGGGGATGAGAAATTGAAGAAGAGAATGAAGGAAAGAGGGAGGGAGGAAGAGAGAGAGAGAGAGAGAGAGAGAGAGAGAGAGAGAGAGAGAGAACTCATTTGCTAAGATCCAAGTGCTCCTTCAAGACTGTTCCCAGTGTGTCAGTGTCTCTCAGAGGGACAGGACACAGGAGCCAGCATATAGAGGCTTAGGTCACCTCTGTTTTCTGAGCCAAATGTCTCATCTGACAGTTCAGTCCAGCTGGGTTTGGGGAATGCTGGGAGAAAAGGGAACACCACCGATTAGATATGGTATGACATGGTAAGACGCAGGTTGACGCAAGGACACAGCTGCACGTATATGACGGCATAAACATAACTGGAAGACTGGCCTCCTCTGGGTGAGTAGGATGGGGGCTATAGGTTCCTTCCTAGAGGTAGGAACCAATGCCCAACATGAAAATCTCTAGCAGGTGACATCAGGGGACACTTGTCAGGGCCATCACACTTCTAGGGATAGCCCTCCAGTACCTGGAATATAGCTGCAGTTGGAACTGGGGCACACAGAGACCCAGGGGATCACTAACATCCCCTCTGTTTATACTCAGAACATGACCAGCACAGTGGTGACGACCACACTGAAGAACGACCTGTCCCCAGAGGGTGTCATCCACCACCTGCAAATCCTCAGTCCCATCCACTGCGCCTTCCGCAATGACCTTCTGACCTCCTCAGGCTACACCCCACAGTGGGGGTAAGTGGGAGGCTCCCTGGCCTCGATATAACCTGGGCTCCCTCTGAGACCTTTGCTTGAAGGCTCTCCAGGGTGCCTCTCCTCCGAGGGCTTTCTTGAGTCTGCCTACACAACTGCCATCTTGCCCCCATCTCTGCCCGAGTCCTTTGTAGGATTGACTAGAGAGGACCAAACGCTTTCCCATCTGCTAGGCAGAACAGCTTCTAGGCAGTTGCCTCCAGCTTCTCAGATCACAGCCTCCACATGATAGCCCTCTCTCCAGGGCAACCGCCCACACAGAGAGGAGTCCGGCTTCTTGCTTGCAGCCAGCTGTGCATGCGTCACCTCCCCTCACCTGGCCTCTTCCTTGGCTTCCGTGCCTCCCCAGAATCAGTTTTTGTGGGGAGGAATGAGAAGAAAGGACTTCAGAAAGCAAGCCTCAGCTAGCCTCTCCCCCACAGGGTCTACACCATCATCGAAGACCTCCACGGCACTGGGAACTTCGTCACTGAGATGCAGCTGTTCATTGGAGATTCTCCCATACCTCAGAATTACAGTGTGTCCGCCAGTGATGAGATCAAGATTGAAGTGGGGCTCCACAGGCAGAAGAGCAGCCTTAAGGTGGTGCTGACCGAGTGCTGGGCCACCCCCTCCAGCAACGCCAGGGACCCTGTCACCTTTGGCTTCATCAATAACAGGTAGATGCTGCATCACCTTGCCCAGCCCCATCGCCTACTCTGAACCCTTTGGAATTTCCAGGCAAATGCTGATGTGGTCTGATTTGGGGCCAGATGGAGCAGCAGCACCTGAGACTTCCAGGAGGCTGTAGGGTACCTGTGAGGGGCAGAGGTTCACAAGAACCATGCCTGAGCAGCAGCCAAGGGAGCAGCTGACTTAAGGAGCCATGTTCCCTCCCTCCCTCAGCTGCCCAGTCCCCAACACCTACACCAGCGTGATCCAGAAAGGCAACTCCAGCAAGGCCCAGTTCAAGCTGAGAATCTTCTCCTTCGTCAACAATTCTATTGTCTACCTGCACTGCAAGCTGCGAGTGTGTATGGAGAACCCCAGGAACTCATGCAGGATAGTAAGTGCTGGCTCCTTCCTCCTTCCTCCTTGGGGGACCCATGACCTACAGCAACTTGGGGAGGAAAAGATTTATTTTAGCTTATAGGTTATAACCCATCATCAAGAGAAGCCAACCCAGGAGTTTGAAACAATAATGATGCCGCATGCTCCTTACTAGCTTCTTCCCCCTGGCTTGCTCAGACCTAGTAGTGGCACCGCCCACAGCGGGCCAGGTCTTCCCACATCACATAGCAATGAAGGAACTGTCCCCACACACATGCCCACAGGCCAATCCAATCAAGGCAAGTCTTCTGTTGGATTCCCTCTTCCAAGGTGTGTCAAGTTGACAACAAAACTAACCAGTCATGTCACCCTGCTCTACCCCAATCAGCTGTGGTGTAAAATATTATTTTGATATCGTATGAGCAATATGAATAGAACCTCGCCAGCTATCAGCAACTCTAGTAGATTTTTCTGTCCTTGCGCACAGTGTTTACATGGAGCTTATGAATACTTGGCATTCTCATTTACTCAGACGATATGTGTTCTTCCTTTGGGAGACATGCTTGCTACTGTACCCATCTCTGAAGGTGGCAGACACTCTGGAATTTTTCCAAGTGACAAGCCTTTGGCCATTAGCAGGGTGTGGATAAGAGACACAGGGCCCAATAATTCAGCCATTCCCCTTTCTCACATAGTAGGTCTTCCCGCCGGCACAGTTGACTTCCCCTGGCACTCACTGAGGGGCATGCCCCAGTATAGACCTGGATCCATACAGTCCTCAGAAACAGGGCTAGCGGTTATAGCAATGTTCTCTCTGCAGGGGCTGATGCATCTCAGGGCTTTCCAACCTGATCCCCATCCCCACTCTGAGTTCCTTTATAGTGGGCTTTCCATTAGTTCCCAAGGCTGCCAGACAAGGTATGACGGGGCCATTAAAATACTAGAAACACACTGCTGAGTGAGTTGGGAACCCACAGTGTTGGCAGGCTGGGTCCTGAGCTATGCAGGAGACTCTACTGTGGCGCCGCCCAGCTTCTTGTGGCCTGGCCATTCCCTCACTTACAGAAATTTTTCTCCTCAAGTCCGTCTGTACATCCACATCCTTTTCATTTTAGGTCTCACCTTCAGGGTTAGAGGTCACATCAACCTGACCAGACAAGGTCAGCTGATGAGTTTTGTGTAAACTTGACACCAGCTGGAGTAGTTAGGAGGAGGAGTAGAGCAGGGAAACTCAACTGAGACAAGGCCTCCACGGGATCAGGCTGTGGGCAAGCCTGCAGGGCATTTTCTTGATTAGTGATTGATGGGAGAGGATCCAGCCTATTGTGGGTGGTGCCATCCCTGGGCTGGTGGTCCTGGGTTCTATAAGCAGGGTGAGCAAACCACGTGGAGCAAGTCAGGAAGTAGCCCTCCTCCACGGCTCTGCATCAGCTCCCACCTCCAGAGTCCTGCCTTATTTCAGTTCCTGCTTTCGCTTTCCTCAGTGAGCTGTGACTCTGGACACGTAAGCCAAACAATCCCTTTCCTCCCCAAGTTGCTTTTGGTCATGGCATTTCATCACAGCAAGAAACCCTAACTAAGACAGTTAGAAGGCTGAGGTCAGGATGCCCTCATTTTCTTGGAAAAACCATGGTGGATATTAGGTATACAGGGAACAGATTGCACCAAACTGCTGAGCAACACAGTGAAGGTGAAGGGCAAAGGTATCGGAGGAGTGCAGGCCTGGTTGAACCCTGGGAAGACACGAAAGGAACTCTGGGTTGTCTTGTTGAGGCACGGTCCGAGGGAGGGGAGAAAGACTCATGGTCTCTCCATTTTTCCTCTCTGTGTACCCCGTTCCATGCCTCTCATGCTTTGGGTGATGCTCCGGTTTGTTTTTGTCAACCCAACAGAGGCTAGAGTCATCTAGAAGAGGAAAATGCCTCCAACGGACTGCTTTTACGCAACTCTGCAGGGCTTTTGCTTGATTGATGTGGGAGGGCCCAGCTCCCTGGGGCCAATGGTCTGTATAAGAAAGCAGACTGAGCAAGTCGTGGGGAGCAAGCCTGGGCAATTTTCCTTCATGGGCTCTGTTCAGCTCCTGCTTCATTCTTGGCTTCTCTCACTCGACCATTACCTAGGATATGTAAAGCAAATAAATTCTCCACAAGTGGCTTTTGCCCAATGACTCAACACCCTATTCTAGAGGACCGAATTGCCAGGGTCAGATGAGGAATGCTCTAGACAGTGAGTTCATGGCCTGTAAGCACCATGTGAACTTTCTCTTGTCAAAAACAGAGCTGCAATGACTTCCGGCTGCTGAGAAGCAGTGAAGCTGAGCACCAGATGTCCTGGGGGCCGCTCCATCTCTCTGAAGGTGAGTCCTCCGGCTCTGGGTTTCAAAGGCAAAGAAATAATCCCAGCTGCCTAGTGTGCAGAGGGCCTGTCGGAAATAAGGGGCTTTAAAGATTTTTTACAGGACTCACAACAGCAGCTGAAATACTCCTCAGGACTCTTGCGTGATTGTGTGGGGTTAAGATCGTCACATATTGGACAGGATTTGTTCCCTTGGCCACCTGAGAGATGGGATCTACTTCTGTGGCCGTGCTGTGGGGAAGAGTCCCAGATTCCAGAGGCTCAGAGCACTGAGTTTGTTGGGTGCTGTGACCTGAGTCCCAGGAAGCTGAGGACAGGAGATCTTTGACCCTGAGTAAATACGTCTAGTGGATACAAAGAGGAAGGGCCCAAGGTGCAAATAGACAACTGCAAGTGTGCATGCATGTGCATGCATGCATGCGTATACTCATGTGTGCACACATGTGTAATTGTAAAACCGCATGAAAAAGCTGTTTAATTTAGAAGATGAACCAAAAGGACACTCCAGATGTTTATGTCCATGTATTTTCAGAATGAAATTTTCCAAACACGTTTCTCCTCTCATATGATCTAATTATTTGGAAAAACTATGGAATTTACATGCTGTGGGTACTAAGACAGAAGTTTCTAGATGCCTCCAATCCTGTCTCTTTTCTATAGTAAGAGAATTTTCAGACTTTAGCTGGCACGTCGTTGCCTGGAGTAAAATCACAGCTTCCACCCTCCTTGGCAACTGAGTGCAGCTGGGGAGGTCAGCTCTGGCCAGTGAGGGGGAAAGAAAGCACTGACAACTCCAGGGGACACCCCTCAAGGGACATCCAGTGCTACCCCTGGCTACATCCTTCTTCCTTGTCCCCTTGGGCAGCTCATCTTCATGCCAGAAAGATATTTAAGCTTTTCTCCTTGCTCAGCCTAATCCTGATTGGTTTTCTTTTTGTTAATTTTCCTCCTAACATTGATGGTCTTGTGCCTTTCTGTATTTCCCTGCAAAACAGCTCCAGGGATTCAGGCTGAGGGTGGGAGCTGGGTTTCAGGTAAGAGAGCAAGGGAGCCAGCAGGGAGGTCCTGGCTGGTGTGTCTCAACTGCTGTTTTTCATTTAAGCATTGGGGAAATAAAACCTTGGGCACAGTTGTCAGGGTACACCCCTAGCACACTAACTCAGACTGTTTTAGATCTAGGTGGGTGTTCACAAATGGTTGCTGACCTAGGTTCTGAGACCCAGGTGAGTCTCCACAAATGGCCTGTGTTCTGAGACCTAGGGTGGGGGTCCTCAGGCAACTGCTGGCTGAGGTTCTAGAAGCAAATGCCCTTTCTCCACTCATTATCCTCTTAAATTGCTGTAGAGAAGTGGTCAACCTGGGGCCCCAAGACGAAAGAGCATATTTAGATCACATGCTCTCATCAATAGAAATGTAGCCTCTCCATTCGTTCCTAGATGTCAGGGAAAATGTCAATAGGATGTGAGAGACACTGGACTTGGAGTTAGTGGACCTGAGTTTGATCATAGGCTGATGCACGAGCTGTGCGGTCTTCATAATACTGTTGACTATCACATCTATCCATCCACACATCCTCCATTCATCATCATTCTTCCATCGATCCATCCAGCCATCATCCATTTATCATTAATCAATGTATCCATCTAGATGCCGTTCATGCATGCATTTAACTTTCACTAATCCATCCATGCACACATCCATCTATCCATCTACCCGTTATCTATGCACCAATCTATCTACCATCTGCTCACCATACATGTATACAGAGAGACATTCCTCTCTTTCTTCCTCCATCCACTATGTGTCAGGGACCCTGGTTTTCTTTTGTAAGATTGTAGTTTTAGCAGATTGCTCTGCCTACCTCCTGGAGTTGTATCTAATGTGAAATACAAGTCCTTTGAGAGTCCCTAATGTGTGAGGCTCCTTAAATTTAAAATCTGGCTGATGATAATACTCTTGGGATGCTGGGCACAATACCTCTCATTTCTCGTTTTCCCACCGTGAAGTTAAGATAATATTTCCTACTTCAGGCAGATCATGGCCTACAGGCGCTTCTGGGTAAGACTTGGTTGTTGCCTTTTGTAAGAAGCAGAGATCTACACTGGACCAGCGCTCTCTAGCATTGCCACAAGGGTGTGGCTGATCTGTCTTCAAAGCTCAACCATCCTCCTCTTCACCGCACTTTTTTGCTGTCTTGTGGCTTTTATTTCCATAACGTTCTCAGACAAATGGGCATGAAAGCCACTGTCCACACATGGCACCTGCAATTGGTAAGGGCTGCTCTGCTGCAGGAGAGGTGTTAGCAGAAGCACTGGAGGAGCTGCAGGGGCAAGGAGAGGCAGGCTGATGCGTTCCCACAGGCTCTGGTCTCTATCCCCACTGCCGCCGTCCCTTCCCCTTCAGGGAAGCCTGAAACTCACCTGGAGATCAGGGAGGATGTATGTGTTCACGTGGCTGGACCTGGGCCTCGGAGGCAGAGCTGGGCTGCTCAGCATCCTCCTGCTTGTCTTTGTCAAAGGGTTGGGACCGGCTCTGTGGAAAGGGCTCCACCACCACCATCACCACTCCTGTCCAAGTGTGCATAAGTAACCATGGTGACAAAACACCATGGACTGGGTGACATATGGCCACAGAGTTGTATCCTCTCACAGTCTGAGAGCCGGAAACAGCCTGACACAGGGGTGTGGGCAGACCCTGCTCCTCTGAAACCTGTAACCAAGCATCCTTCCAGCCTCTTCAGGTTCATGTGCTGTGGCCCATTTTGGGGTTCCCCAGCTACTTCTCACTGCAGCCATACTGCAGTTCTAGATGCTAATTCTACTGTGTGAGGGCCCAGATCCTCCAGGGTGACCTCATCACTAGTCCCCCTACAATGGCCCTGCTTCCAGAGGAGTCCTGAAGTTCTTGAATTTGGGCTTGAATGTATCTTTTTACACTAGATCACATGACAGAGGACAAACTTCCACACATATCACATGTTGACGATCATAGGGAAACACAGCCATCCTTTATCCTGAATATGTGCTATCTGCTCTTAATCCCGCTTGGGACTCTCCCGTGGCCACGGCTTCTTTAGTCAACTACTCAACCTGCTTAGTTAGCATTGCTGAACAAAGACACGGGTAGCGTGGGATGACTGGGGGATGCACAAATGTCCAGGGGCGTTACCCAGGCTGCCGGGCACTTCTGCAATGTCTGAGCTGGGATTCCAAGTACCAAGAGGGCTTGCTTCTGCTCTGTGTGGGTCATATGTGCTGGGAGGACTTGCTTCCACTCTGTGTGGGTCATATGTGCGCTGGGAGGACTTGCTTCTGCTCTTGCTTTCTCTCCCATGGGTGAGGTGGGGGGGATTTATTTCTATTGTTTGAGAACTAACTACACACATGCCAGGTGTGAGGCCAGGATGGGTTGGTCACGTGTGTGCTGGGGACTTGCTATTGGTCTTCATTTTCTGCTCTGTTGTTAGGTCTTTTATCTGCTCAGTGTTCTCTGCACTTATAACACTTCTCCCTGCTCCATGGACAGACAGGGTCTGACTGCAAGACCCGCACAGGTCACACTGTGATGTTTGGGGCCTCACATGCCAGGGGACACTGTGTGTCCAGTTGTACAAGCATTTCTGAGAGTTTGCTCCCCGTTGCAGACTTAGCCTACTGTGGGCCCAGTCACGGAACAGCCTGGCCTGCAGGTCTCACTCTGAGCTATGCTGAGTTAGTGGTATGGCTACTAGTGATAAGGACCAGACTGGCCGGGCAGCATCAGGACAAGGACTCCTTGCTCTCAAGGGCTGACATTCTGGACTGTCACCGTCTGTCCCACAGTGCCAACAGGGCATATCCTGCCTCTGCTTCAGCATCTGCAATGCAGGTTCCCCAGCTGTGCTGGGAAGAGCCCCTTCCTGGCCCTTGGAGGCTGGATTCTGGTGCCAGCTCTCCTGTATCTCTGGGAAGATACCTGACTAGACATGGGGACCCACATTCCTGGGGACGTTTCACAGTTATAGTTAGAGGATGGTACCTCACCCCAGCATGCCCAAACAAGGTTGTCTGGTTGAAACTTTTTGTCTAGGTAGCCAAGTGGGAAACCCAGGACCACTGTAGGGCAACTGTGCTGGCAGCAGCATCCCTTAGGCTACATCCTAGAAGACAACACGGTGTTCACTGTGGGACCTGGAAGTCAAGTGGGGAAGGGAAATGGGATCTGAGTCATGTAGCCGACCCAGGTTCTTTCCTAACCAGACCATTCAGGAATGCTAGAGGTGGAGGGGATGGGGGATGAGCATGACTGGGGTACACTCATGATCTCTGCTTGGATGTCCTTGACAATGTGTCACACTCATCCACAAAGCACTTATGGGCCAGGGGCTGGTTGGTGACTTGAATCTTTTCACTACAATGTGAGAGGTGTGTGTGTGTGTGTGTGTGTGTGTGTGTGTGTGTGTGTGTGACTGCAGAGGAGGGCATTGGTCCTTCACTTTCCACCTTAGTCTCTTGAGGCAAGGTGGCTTACTTATCCTAGAGCTATGAGGGCAGCCAACCCCAGCCATCCTCCTGCCTCCGCGCCCACAAGACTAGGATTTCAGGTCTGTAGCCTCTATGTGGCTTCTGGGAATTTGGTTAGGTCTTCATGATTGCACAGCAAGGGATCTTACCTTCTGAGCCATCTCTCCCAGCCCCGACAGTATTGACAGTATGGGTATTTAAAGACTGGGGTGGTGCTCGCCCAGTATCAGGCGGCCCTGATGAAAGAGAATGGAGTGGCATGCGGAAGAACCATCGGAGAGAATGGCCCCTTCATCTCTGTGCTGCATACCCCAAACAAGTCTGGACCCTTTAGCAGCCTACTCCTCGCCCCTCTCCAGCCTCTTCCCTAGGCCCCAGAACCCCCAGTCTTCTCTCTGTCTGGTTTGCCTGTTCTAGAAAGTTCTGATGAATGGGTCTCATTAACCACGGTCCTGTGCTATCCTTTACATACTGTCTCCTAGATTGCATGTGACATCAGAGCTCTATTCCTTTCTGTGGCTTGATAAGATTCCATTGTATAAGCTGGACATAGTGGGGCTCATACCCATAGTCCTATCTCATGGAAGGCTAAGGCAGGAGGATTGCTGAGACTGAGGTTACATAGTGAATTCCAGGTTCAGTGAAATCCACAAGCTACCATGTGAGATTGTACCTCAAGAACCAAATAAACAGGCAAAAACCCAAAATCAAACAAACAAAAAAATTCCATTGTGTGTCTTGGTAACAGTTGGCCCATTCATTCACAAGGTGGTAGACGCTGGGGCTATGGCCCCATTTCACCTCTTATAAGCAATGCTGTTGTGGACACGGTATTCAAGCACTCATTAGAGATTTTTTTTCTCCATTCTTTGGGGTCTACACTCTGCTGGACTTTTGGCTGCTACTCTGGCCTTGGGTGGGTGCTGCTCTCTGATGTAGGTGGTATAAGGGCCCAGCTGTGTCTCCACATGAGGAGATAGCTGGCTCTCCAGCTGTGAGGGGCCCAGAGATTCTGCACAGCCCTACCTGTGGGCATACACTTCTCCTTGTACACTTGTGGGCTGAGCTGCTCTCTTGGGATGAGGGCTCCTGCCTCCCTCGCTGATGCACAGTTACACACAGGGCGTTGTCTCGAGGGGCCTCAGATCAAATTCAGAGCACACTGTTTGGAAGTAGTGATTGAACACCTCAAATCCAGCCGCCGATCTAAGCACATCTTTTGCTTCCTACCAGCTTCACAGTTGCTGGGCCAGGTGCCAGCCATAGGCACATGCTTCCCCTGACACGGGCCCCTCTCTCTCTTACCCTGCTGCCTGTCTTCACCCACAGGTGAACCTGCACGTACAAAGCCAGGCCTGGGGACCCGTTACATCATTATCATTGTGGTGGCTGCATTTACTGTGGTGGCAGGGGCTACGACCCTTCTGATCTTGCATTACCAGAGAATGAGGGGCAAATACAGTCTCAGAATCCAGACCGATGACTTCAGCTACCAGGTGTTCGCTCAGTAGGCGGCCCAGCTGATCAGGAGACGGGTAAGCGTGAGCACGTGAGCATGTCTGAGGCTTCACCCTGCGTCCATCACCTGCTGGGCGAGGGGTAGACGCTGCGTGATCCCTAACCGACACGTCTCACTCCCCAAAGCAGCTGAGATCAATCAGAGAGGGAACATTGGCAGGTCAACAAAGAGCTCTGCCATTTACAGCATGATCTCAGGAAGCCGGAGGCAGTACAGTGATCCTGGTACCCACCCTGAATCACGTCCCAGGAGTGCAGCTGGATCCACTGTTGACACTACAGCTCCGGCCAGCATTAAACTCAAAGGCCTTCCGCTGTGAGGCTGCCCAACCTGCCAGTCAGCCTGGTTTGTTTGGGGGGGGTATAGTGTGCCCCCCCCCAGAGAACAGTGACTGCACATAGTCCCCACACAGCTTCCTATAGCTTCAAACCGCCTCTTGATCAGCTAAGATAGCTAACACACTGCAGATGCGACAGGTCACCACACTGTGCTCTTTAGTGATGGCCAGAAAAATCTGTCCATATCCGGAGCAGACAAGTTCATTTTTTTTATTAATTTATTTATCTGAGTGTAAGATCGGGGATCAGAGGACAACTTACAGGAGTTGGTTTTCTTTTTCCACCCTGTGGGTCCCAGGATTGAACTCCCATCTTCAGGCTCTTGGTGCCAAGATCCTTTCCTGATTGAACCATCCCACTCATTTTAAAAGAATGCTTTGATATGGTTGGTGGATCTAAGGCTGTGAAGCCCAGGGATGGAGGCCCCTCTCTGGACTTCTCCTTTCCCTCCTGTAGACTGATTCTGTGACCTCCTTCCCCACACAGGGCACACTGTAAATAAGGTCCGGTGATTAATTCATCAAGCGTTGGCAGGGCTCCACTCTGGGCAGTGCTGTGTCAGCCCTTGGGGATGAGCCACCATGATGACAACCACCTCTGTCTGCCCCCAAGAGGCTGAAGATGCAGAGCCGAACCCACCAGGCAGGTGACAGATCTGCTGAATATGTGACAGGGTGCTGGAGTGGCCCTCACCCTCAAACCTAGCACAAACCCGGCCCCTCCATTACCCAAGCTGCCGTTCAAGCTGTCCACAGGACTCTTGCTCCCCAACAATTGCATGACACTCACGTCTTCGCAGACATTTGACAGTGCCTGTGATGCGCCTTCATGAATGGACCCATCTGGTAAATTCTCCACTGTCACTGTCCCTATGCAAACACTCTAGGCTCTTCTTCTCGGCACACGCCTTTCACTTAGGCAGTGACCCAAGAAGTCCTAGAAGAATATGGGAAGCTTTCTGAGCGATAATCACGTGATATGTAGGCACCATTCACATCCATGGCCATTTATCATGGAATGCCGTGACGGGGAAGGGACAACTTACCCAGCACACCACAGGGAAACAGGGAAGGGATGGGGAGGTATGCACCATATGAACAGGCCCTCTGCTTGATTGATTTGAAAGACCAGAATTGGTTAGTTAACACCTAAGACAATAGTGAGGTTAGCATTACAATGGGGTCTTAGCCTTTAATTGATATGTGTAATTCTGTCGAGTGTGGTTGTCACACAGAGTATTTAGGGGAATGGGTTTTCTGATTTATTGCATATTCTGGGATTAAGAATGATGACCAGGAATCTGTGTGGCTAGCTGATTTCGAGCAATAAATTTCTCCTACCCTGAAGTGTGGCTGGCTGTGTTGCTTCCCATGTGGCGTAATTGCTGTGATAGTCTCCCTCAGTACCCCCCCAGGGCCAGATGGTTCTGTACCAGACACTCCAGGGAGTTGCTGGGGCTCCCCAAGTCTCAGCCATTGGTTTGGATTTCATCTCCTCGCCTTGCACTGGCTGTTCTTGAGAAAACGAAAGGATCTGAGAAAACCCAGTTACCGAGCCCAGGACCAGGCTGCTCTTTGGAGTTTAAATTCTCTTTCACATTCCACCTTCAGTTTTCCTGCGGTCTCCGTCCTGTAAAAAGGGAAACTCGGCCTCCTCCTCCTCACTCTCACTCCTTGGTCTATTCTTTGGTGAGCGCTGCCTGAGCAGTCACAGTACACCAGACCCTGAGCTCAGTTCTTCAGACAAGAGAGTAAGAAGGGCAGAAGTACCCAACCTTCACAGAGTACACAATTGTGTTGGGGGGGGTATTTAGATCAATAAAAAATGGGGCCAATAGCAAGTAATCAGAGAGACGTGATATATTGAAAGTTGTCCCTGAGATCATCTACCCACCCACCCAACTACCAATCTGTCCATCCACTTTTTCATATATCCAGCACATCCTCAACCACCATATCCTTAGCCATTCAGCCCATCCATCCATCCATCCTTCCATCCTTCCTTTCAATCCACCTACTCGCCTTCTAGCCTATCCAATCCATTGATTCATCTACTCACACACTTTTCAATCAGTTCATTGACCTAAGTACCTATTGATCCATCTATCCATCCACCCACTACCTCTTTACTTTCCCACCTACCTTCTCATTTATTGATCCACTTATCCATCCATCCATCCATCCATCCATCACCCATCCATCCATCCTACCTACTCACATTCTGATCTACCCATCAATAGTTGATTCATCAACTTACCCACTTATCAATCATTTCATCAATCTAACTACCTATTGATCCATCTATACACCTACAAATCTCTCCACCCACCCACTCACCACCCCTCCTCACTTCCACCTCACTACTCACCTAGTGGTCCTCTTACCCATCCATCCATCCATCCATCCATCCATCCATCCATCCATCCATCTATCCATCCATCCATCCTCCATTCATCCCTATAACCTAGGAGTTTTTGTTGAGTCTGTGTTCTTGTGTGGATGTATGGGATAGAATCCTTGCTGTACCTATTCACAGCCTATCTGAAGAAACTCCCCACGAACGTACCATGCATTCAATCAAGTCAAGGGACTCTCAGGAGGAGGGAGGCTCGTGTGCTCACATTCCTTATAAACACGTCCTTCAAACACATTCTTTTGGGGTGGTTCAGTTAAAGGGATTCAAGTCAAATAGTGCTGAAGTAGAAGGAATGTCGCTGATACAGATGTCACTCCAGACTGACTTCAGGCTTCAGAGCTCTGGAGACATTAGTCCACACATGAACAGTCAGGTCTCCTGTTGGTGGCGGAGACTGCAGGAATTTTCTCATTCAGCACTCACCAGGGCATCCAGGGGTGAGGCTCTCCCTTTGCAGCTGAGGACATCAGTTAAACGAGGCACCGAATTGAAAACAAACTCACCTGCTGTCAAGTCCATTGGAACTGATCTGTTCTCAAGTCGGCCTCCCCCTGCTCCTGGGGGAGAGGGGAGTGTAGTTGGAATCTGCTTGTTTGCTTCCCAGCTGCCCAGAGCCGAAATAACCACACAGAAACTATATTAATTACTATACAGTTTGGCCAATAGCTCAAGCATATTTCTAGCTAGCTCTTACATCTTAAAGTAACCCATTTCCATTATTCTGTGTATCTCCATGTGGCTGTGGCTTACTGGACAAAGTTCCAGTGTTTGTCTCTTCCGGTGACTACAAGGCATTTCTCTGACTCCGTCTACTCTCTCTATATATCTTTTCAAGCCTGGCTATATTCTGTTAAGCCATTGGCCAAAAGCAACTTCTTTATTAACCAATGGCAATAAAACATATTAACAGCATACAGAGGGGAATCTCACATCAGGGCAGGAAGGCCCCGTGTAGGTTTCTGAATGTACCTGAGATGTCCAGATGGTGGTGCAGCCCCCCAAAGTGGTCATCCTTTACCTTCTGTGGTTCTGTCCGGGTTCCTGGGCGTACTCACTGTGGCCCTGCCTGACAAGGGGTCTCAGGGTGTGAGATCTGATGGAGGTTGGGGTCTGATGGAGGTCTGTTTGTGGTAGAGGGTGTGGTGGAACGAGGTCTGTTGGAAATGAGAAGATCTGATGGAGGTGAAGGACTCCTGGAGGAGGGTGTTATGGAAGTAAAGATCTGATGAAAGTGGGGGTCTGGCACGGCTGATTCTGATGGAGGTGGTAGGTCTGATGGAGGTGGTAGGTCTGATGGAGGTGGTAGGTCTGATGGAGGAGGGTCTGATGGAGGTGATGAGTTAATGGAAAACCTCTGAGCTTTGCCTTGGTGCCTGGCCCAAGCTGCAGCTCTCTATCACGACCACTAGATGGAGCCTTGATCCCAGTCTACACCCAGGGCTGTGCAAACCCTTGTGTTTCTCTTGCAAACACAGCTCTGGCTTCTCTTGTTTGTTTGCTGGATTTTAACCTCCTGCCCTTAAGTGAAGATGAATCTGAAGTTTTTCTGCAGGTCTGTGTCTGTTGGCATGGGTCCTTAGAGGTGACGCTTGTCTTTGAGAGGAGGACCCCGCAGTTCTCCTTGGCAGGCTGAGTTAGAGGAAGGGAAGAAGGGAATGGGACCTGTGGGGAGGGAGTGCTGACATCCGCTTTACTCAGTAGACATCCTAGGGAAAACAGTCCCTTTCTTTCCTCCATTTCCATTTCTAGGAGGAAAAGATGGCTGGGCAAGATTATGAGGATTCCCCAGTCTTTGTGTCAGGTGTATTGCAGGGCCTCCATTCCAGCCCTGGCCACAATGGCTCTTGGTCTGCAATGTGACATCATGGATGCTCAGTGCAGTGGCTGGCCTTGTAAGTCCCCACACACAGAGCAGACCTACCCTGGTACCGCCCTTTCTCCCCGGAACCCCTGCCTTCCAAGAGCCTAGAGTGAAAGATGGGGCATGAATCAGGCTGGGGAGATAAGTGGACTCCCTCCCACCAGCACACCCTGAGGTGTCCCTGGACAAACTTAGAACCCACCCCTGCTGGGGCTCCCATCCCCAGGACTTCCAGCTTCTGCCCCGGGAACCTTGCATAGGCACATGGGCAGCCAGGCTGGTGCCAGGGCTGGAGCCCTGTCTGGGGATACCCCACAGCAGCCGGAGTAACCTCTGGCTCACAATGTCCCCATGCTGAGTTCTGGAGCTGCTTCTGGGGAGGAAGTGGCCACTTGACCTTTCTCGGGGTGCCCATAAACAAGTTAACCCTCCAGGGCCTGGCTGGCTTCTCCCTGGGGAGGCCTCTTTTCAGCACCCTTTCCTTCCTGCCTGCCGAACCACCATCTAACCGCTTGTCTTTGGTCCCCATCCTAGCATGGCATCTCTTGGCACTGAATCCAATTTCTAACGGCATCCAGCTTCCCTGAGGAGCTGGGCTGCTGATGTCTAAGTCAGATCCAGGGAATGGCTCCTGCTTCTTTTCCTCCAGAGTGGGTACCGTTACTAACTTAATTTCATGAGAACAGCCATGCCTTGCCCTCTGCGCAGATACATTGGACCTGCTCCACACCTTCTCACTGCCATAGATGTTCACTAACCAGAACGGAAAGTGACCCAAACCACAAGGGTCCTCCTTAGAGCAACCACCAGGGTACTTTGGGCTGTCACAGGGACCTCAGTTACTCTCTGGAAGGTCCCCAGGCAGGTGTGGGTCTGGAACAAAGGTGAACAATGCCCTCCAAGCCTACAGGTCCTCTCTGCCAGGTGCCACCTCACCTCACACCTGTAGCTAAATCAACTCTTGCTGGTGCAGAGTGTAGGAGATGGAGCCTGGAAAGGAGGGCATTGAAGGATCAAAGTCGCCATCCCAGCTCCACTTGGCATTTGGTCCCCTGGTTTCCTGGCTCTGATCACCTGCCTCGAGTTGACTGTTACCCCATCAAGCACGTTTTTTTTTTCTCCCAGGAAGCTGCTAAGCACACACACACACACCACACACACAGAGTAATCAACTTCCTCTGACAAGAATATATAATATAGACCCCATCAAGATTAATTCCCAAAGGCAATTCCTTAAGTAAATTCAACTTGGGAATCTTATTTATTTATTTAGCATACATCTGGGGCTTTTCAAATCATGTTTGAAGGGGCCCTTGATTCATGTTTGACCAACTCCAGCCATGAAACCAACCTCACCATCAATCCTGCTAATTAAATTCCCCTCCGACGTTTTAAACCGAGTTTACAGATTCAATTTATTCCATTTGTTCTGTGAAGCACCTCAGCTGCCCCCACTCAGGCCCAAAAGGGCTGCAGAAAGCTAATGAGTCTGTTGGTTTTACGGGTGTGTAAGTGGGGTCCAGGGATGGAACTCAAGGGCCCTCCGGATGCTGGGCTTGAACCCGAGCCCGTGATTTCTCTGTATGCAGGTGGCTCCGGGGCCCTAGTAAACATCCCAGTCCTGTTTGTGACATTACTTTGTTCTTCCTGGTACCTTTTGACTCAGCACTGCTAAACCACAAGGAGGAGCTCAGTATAAAGCTAGAATCACCCGTGTGTGGCAGGCAGGAGCCAGAGGCGCTGTGAGGGGAGCCCGGCTATACCTGGAACTCACGGGTGTCACCAACACTTTACACACAGAGTCCACTGTGCAGCCCATGTCCCTGGGCCCCATGGCAGATGTTTCTCAAGACCAGAGACCATGCTCTGAGCCAGGGCTGATTTCCTGTCCAAAGTATCGGTGATTTCTCAGGGTACCACACCGTACTGACAAGCCTGCCGTGAGCTGCAGGTCCGGGGCCTGCACATCCTGCAGAGGAGCCAGACTCCCAGGCCCTGTCCAGGCTCCTGCACATCAGTCTACCCTTCCTTCCCATTAGCCTGGCATCTGCT